GGCGACTTGAACGCGAGACGTCGTCCCGCCATTATTCACGAAGCAGCAAAAACCAAACAAAGAAACTGGAGATACAGTTCTTCTGAATATAGTAACGCACACGTGTCTGTTTGTATGCTCGTCTTGCAAGTACTGCTGTATCAGTCATGCCTATGACCTCACACGTGATTGGACGAGGAGTCTAAGGGTCCTCCAATCACATACGAGGTTATTGTTATACGGAAGGACCAGTATTTTAGGAAGACAAATGGTTGGGACTTTGAAACAGCTGATATGCTTTATGTAAAGCAGTGTTTTGGTGTCAGCAGAACGACTTTCCCTAGAAAACTGTACAGTGGTGCCTCTTTCTCCATTCCACCAGACAATCTTGAGTCTGACAGACATGCAATGTTGACAATGTATCAGATGTACCCTTGTGTCACTGAGGTTGAATGTTTTGCCACGACATGTAAACGGGTAACATATATGAATGTAACTTACTCAATCGATAGATGCAGAGCAGAAAGGTCAGCATATGTTCATGCTAAGTGGTGTGGAAACACTAACAGTTTTGAGGAACCCGTCCTTGACCCTCTAGCAGAACTACGACCAGCCATTATAAAGCAGTTTATAGTTGTTAATGTTGGGTCAAAGGGTACGGCATTTAAACATGTTCTTGCACAAGTTTCCTGGCTTCATCTCCACCCGGACAGACATTTTTATGGAAAGCCAATAGAAGTTTGGGGCTTGCAGGGAACAGACACGTCGTACCCAGCATCATTTCTGCCAGTTGAGCGCATTGCTAGAAGATGTGTGGTTAATACATCCTCTGTGCATTTAAGTAAGTCCAAAGAAAAGGTCACTGTAGTCCTGCCACTATGCACTGTAGTTGAGCTCTAGGAGACTGTGATCTCTGCAGACCCCTCATGCTGATTCAAATGTTGTTTGCATGGAATGCTCATTTTACCTTGATTAAAACTAATTTTTTAAAGAAGTTATTTTGTGTATCTTTTTTACATAACATTTGCCATTGCTAATGGCCTACACAGTAATCTAGCATATTTGAATTAAATAAATCAATTCAAGCCAAAATGTAAGAGTGTATAATTAGGCTACTGAGCCTGATCTATTTGTACCAGAGATTTTCTTACCTTTTAAAAAAATGTCACCTGGGCTAAAACTCCCTCTGCGACCCTGATTTGCATTTGTTTAGCTCACAGCATTTTCATTTACATGTCAAAGCCTCCCCTAGAAATAGGAGGAGGGGGGTCATGGGGGGACAACTGCCAAGGGAGGCCCACATCAATTTCTGACAATTTACGGCAGTTTTCGGCGTTGCCCGCAAATTGCCGCAAACCTGAAATTCCACGACAATTTACAGTGCCGCATACTGCCGAAAATCCCACTTTTCATGCAGTGAGAAGTACAGTGCATTACACATGTTGCAGAATCAATCATCATCAACTTTGTCTCAAAAGAGTTGACTCATCCCCATCTTGTACGCGTCATTGATGTTATCAAGTTCAGTCTGTCAATTGAGACACCCAGTAGCCACATCTTCTCCTGGAACTCTCAGAGGTTATCCAAGCCGTAAGTTGTTTTACGGGCCTACTCCTCCACCGTGTCCCCATCCCAACCACTGCAGTCAACAGAACTTGCATGAGTTGCATTGGAACATCTTCACACCCAAATTGTAGCTTGGAAATGTATTTAAAGCAATTATCCAAACATACATTAAATCATTAAGCAAAAACAATTTAAAAAATCACCTATAGTATTTAAGGAAGGGGTTAAGGGAACATCAAAGTGACTACAATTATTACAAATGCAAACCTGAAGGAGGAGGTAATCACGCTAGAAGTTAGCTTCTGGGACAACGAATGTCTGCATTCAATGTATTGCTAATCTGTCCAGTAATTGTTGAGTCATTTCACAGGATAAGTGACAACTTTCACCTTTGTTTTTGATCGACAAAAAGTACCTTTTAAATGTCTGCATCAAAATGGATGATCAGCCTTTCAACCCACATTACCATCCCCGAGTCACATCGCTAGCTGAAAATGTTATTGCAGCAAGTACTGTAGTTGATGTTGCTCATGACATTGCACAGGGAATTACTGTTTCAGTGGCTTTGACCAGGAATTGAAAATATTTTGTGGTAGGGCGTATACTCTTACAGCCAACTACTACACCGTTCCCCAGACAATACAGTTAGACTGCGCTCTGAATGAACCACATATAAAGAATGTATTATTAAAATCAAGCAAGTAAATTGTGACAGAGTTGTAATGTGGAGACTACTAGTTATTATTTTATCAAACCCCAGTCAATGCTTTTGCTCTGATGTATTTATTGATACAATAGGTTGTTCTCTGAGCTTAAGAGTCTTAATGTGTGGCTGCTGCGCAGAAAAGCACTGCAGAGACTTCCTGTCTGAAACCATGAAGACAAACCATGAAGAGACCAAAGATTGTTGAGAGATAAACTTCGACTGCCGACTAGACAGAGGCTAAATGAACATTCTTACACTAAGTTTGTCTGCCAGGAACTTTAGAACTTCATGCTTTTATATTTGCTATTTGCAACCACAAACAACGTGGAAATAAAGGATTAGAATAAACGTATTTGCTCTGCTTCTGTGCACTCACCCAGCACTTTCCTTCTTGTAATCATTATTGTAAAGCAATTCATACCTCAAGTTTGAACTCAAATATTTATATGCCTTTTTGTCTGGTGGAGGGACTACACTACTACTACTGCCTCACACAGGAGTACACACAGTCCCTTTGTCTGTCTTGCAATCTGTTGACCTTGTGTTTCCTTAATGTGGTGTAATGGAGGTTGTCAGCCTCTTGGGAATCCTGGTCAAAAAATGCATTTAAAATGTGTAATCACAATATCAATCAATACACATCACTCAGCAAAATTGTTCATGGAGTCTGGCAAAGAAAACATTGATTGATAAGAGTAATAATTATCAGCACAAGTGAATCGTTAAAGATCCAAACTATAACCAATTCATTCAGTAACACAAGCCCGATATAAAAGCGTTAAGTGCCCATTAATCATTTGTCAATCTCAATAGATGATTTTTGTGTTAACTGTCTCCCAAAAAGTATGAAGTTGCGCTCAAGATTGGTTTCTAATTGGGCTGGTAACAATAACTTGATGTTCACTGGAACACAAAATCCGAAATGGCCACTGTGATGACCACTGCTTTGATGATACATCAGTAAAAGAAATGCCTTCTTGTTAGCGCAGCTGTAAGTTAAATAAAATAGTTCGGGCATTGAAGTTGTCCAATGTCGCCGCTGTGCAAGAGAACACAGCACACTTCCTGTTTGAAACCACAGTGACGAAGAAGCAGAGGGTTGTAGAGAGGTACGAAACCAAATGTATTGAGGGATCGTTTTGAGCTACCGACCACATTGAGGCTAAAAAAAAATGTTCACATCATTGGGTGTCTGATTGTGCAATCAACACATTTACTGTCAGCCACCTCTGAACATTAACATGGGCATTAAAACACAGGGTTGATACTCACAGATCACTTTGTGAATTTTATAAATTACATTTTGTCTTGTTGTTGTGCTGTGGGAGCGACGGCTGTGTAGTTTCCAAACACATTTACAGAACTTTAAGGAGTCATACATGCTCGATGAAGTGTCCCACTGACTGAGTTGGAATTGCCGAGGGTTTGGTGTGCTTTTGATTCATTACATAATCACAAAAAAATAATCAAGTTACGCCTGTATTCTGAAGGGGGAAACATTATACACTATGGTATTAATGCCTTGAGCAGTTGGTACTTATTTATTTTCCAGGCGTGCTCACACTCTTTCTCTCTTTCTATCTGGTAGCTGAGCTGTGGTTTTATTTTTTTGCATTGTTGGCTATGAAAGCTACAGTGGAAAATATGACAACTGAATCTCCTCAGAAGACCTGACGATTGTAAAGGAGCATGTTTAATTGTTGCTTTGCAACGTCGATCTTTACATTATTGAGAGGTGATCTGTGACAAAATTGCCACCTCTAGTAAAACTATGGGAATATGCAGCTCTGCAGACTTCAATCCTGAAATCACACATACACTCTCATATCTTTGTCTTGTTTCTTCTTAAAGCAGCATAAATTAGGTTGTCAAAGTTTTGGAATACAACTTCACATGTCATGACTTACTCATATTCTTCCGGCATTATTCACAATAAAATGTTATGTTTCGACTGTCTCAGTGAGGTATGCTGTTTTTTTCGTAATTAAGAGTTGGTTGTGAGCCTCTTGGGTCAAGCAAAACACTGGCCTCTGATATCCTAATTTCTAATCTTTTTTTCACATTTCTTATAGATGACATTTCAAGAAAGACTAGGAGAGAAGAAAATGATTGTTATGATTGTTTCCGTTAATTGTTGTTGCATAAAAATTAGGTTCTTTATTCTTATTATACCAACAGATTAACGTTATGTTCCCTGTGACCCGGTGTACTACATCAAACAGCAGAGCTTCATTTTGGACTTCAGAATAAGTGGTGAAAATTGCAAAATGATGAGTTTCCTTGAAAAGAAAAAAAAAAGTGCTTTAGGGAACTGAAAATGCGAAACTTCTAAAGTTATTACTCACTAGACATCACGCTGACTCAATTGAAAGCTTCACTGAGACCAGCCTTTGAATGAGCTATGACACAAGTCTGGACTGTTGGGAGTTGTAGGTATGTAAATTTCTTGTTTTTCTTATGCATGTTTCACAAAGTTCAGTGAGATGTGAGGTTCTGTCTTCCTGTGTTCATGCTTTGCTCGGACTTGTATTTCCACCCATGGAAACTTATAGTGTAGTTCTCAGCACCTCAACCACAGGGCCGAATGTTGAACGGTGACAGACGGCTAAAGATTGAAACGTGCAACATGTGTATCTGGCTACAGAAGATATTAATAGGCCATAGGGGATTTTCATGAGCATGCTCTATCTATCTTTATCCTCTATTAACCCTTTTGTACGGGGGAAGAACTATTTGACCGTGCCACAGATTGCATTAAAAAAAGTTTTATTTTCTTTCAACAGCATTTCAAATTGTACATTTAATCACGTGAATGTTGCTGTCTTGCAAATGATTGACAGGAGAGAAATGGTTAGCTGTGAAGGCAAAATCCAGTCAGCGCTTTCTACTTTTCACTCCAGAGTAAACACAAGTGCTCTCCACGTTGTCCTTCTCAGGGGGTCGTTGACTTTTTCTGTTCAGACTCAGCGCAGCATAATAGACGTCTGCATCTTGGTTCTGGTAACGACAAAATAACAAATCATGTGAGGCATGAAAAAGCAGTTATTCAAATATTTGGGGTATGAATCTATTTTATAATACAATTTCACCTACCACGATGTCAGAAGCTGCAGAACGTGCTGGATGAGTAAGAACTCCTAAAAACATTTTTAAAAACCCATCATTAAACCTGAATACAGAAAAAAAGTTGAAATTGTTTGCTTCAGAAAGTCTTACCTTTGCAGAAAGAGCAAGAATTCTTGGTCAACTTGTACAAAACAAAAGCCAATGCGAGCAGCAAAACAATTAAAACTGCCAATGCTGCACCCAGGCAACACACCAGGAGAAGAGAGACTCTGGTGGAACCTCCTAACATGCCGTAACAAGAAAACATATCCTTTTTAAGTATTTGTATAGATGGATAATTCAATAATTATGGTTAATTTCTTGGCATTTTGAAACATCCGCAGATGGTACAAACAATCGCCCGATTTCCTCACCTACCTTCAATCTCCACTCTCGTTCCATTGCCAAACACGATCTCACCACAGGAGTCCAGAGCACAGTAGTACATCCCTGCATGGGGAGAACTCAAAGACAAGGTGAGGTTTAAAGTGCATTCTCTGTCTGGTCGTTGGGGAGAAAATCCACACTTGACTGGATTTTTATCCATGATTTTTAGCTCAGGTGCACGATGTCTGAACCAGTAGAGAGTCTTCTCCCCCGCACATTCTCCAGCATGCACCGTACAGCTCAAATTCACAGAGTCTCCCGATCTAAGCTGCTTCAACGGCGGCTGACCGAGGACGGAGCGGATGTTGGATGGTGATGCTCGGACATGTAGGAAAACCCCCTCTCCCAATTCAATTATGTTGAACTGTAAAATCCCACAGTAATATGTCGCTGAATCCAAGTGGTCAAGTTCTTGGATTATGAGGTGGTTGGTGCCATCTCTACCTCCTGTTGAGACTTGAAACCTCTCTTTGAACGGAGAAAAAATGGACACCTCTTCTTTTTTCAGCCAGCTTGATATAAGGACAGGTTTGCTGCCAATTTTTTGCTGATACCAAGAGAGGAAAGTTACAGCATCATTCTGAGAAATGCACTTTAAAGTCACATTCTGCCCAACGTTAGCTTTTATAACCCCAGTGTCCTGGTTGATGCTGGAGGTCTTATTTACAGCAGGCACCTGACCTGTTAGGACACATGAATAAGATATACATTATCGCTGCGTTTAAAACCTAATCTTTCGCATTTCAAGTCATATTTTCTTAACAGAAAAAGTGAAAAAGGGTTTCAAATACTCACAGATTTGACTAAGCACAAGAAAAATGAAAATTGCCATCATCACTGTAGCTCTGCAGTTTGTAGCCTGTGTGTTGACGGACAGAGCCAACCCTTATAGAAGACGAAGGCTGTTTGTGATTGGCTAAGATTATACCTTTGGTGTACAGTCCTGCTATTTCTCTTTTTGCCAAAAAATTTGTCTGTTCGGATGACCACAGGTGTAATTTAGGTTGATTAGGGTCTCTTTGGACCTATTATTTGGTTAGTGGATAGAATTTGTGACAAAATGTTGGTTTGGCGTGAAACGCGTTGTTTTTTGGAGCATTGAGTATGTCAGTGTTGGTTTTCTTTTTTTCAATTTGATTTATGTTTTATTAGATAGCATTACATGTGTATGGGTGTATTAAGTGTGTTCAAAAGGAGTGTGTGAGAGAGTTGTTGAAAGAAAATTAGAAATCTTGCTCACATTTAATTTTACTGTACAGGAACATTTTGAAAACTTATAGCTCCCTTTATGCCAGTGATGTGGACCAATGCTTCTATAATGCACACATTGTATGTCCACAGTTTAGAGGAAGATACATATGTAAACTGACCACAGTGTTGCACAGAATTGTTTCTGTCCTTTGTGCTCTTCATGATCTGATTTAGTGTTGAATGACTATTTTTAACTTCAAAAGGTGTTCTATGCTAGAGTAAGCCGTCAATGCAAACATAGTTGAGAACAAAAGGAAGAGTGAGCATCTCAAAGCTTTCATTGAGTGTGGCCTGCGAAGCAGAGCCATACTCCTTGTTATCTCTCTGGCTTATTATAAATCGCCTTATTCTCTTCCGTACAAAGGTTTGGCAGGCTTCTCCTCCCGCACCTTTGCTCGGAATTGTCTCAAAAAGTGTCGGGACCCATCGGGAATTGTGTGCTATGACCTCGCTAAGAGAAATTACTGTGTTTTTTGTGTTTTTTACTGTGTTTTTTGAAATTAATGCGTTTTTTGGTTTTCCCAAAAAACGCAAAATGCCAAGCCCAAAGGCTCCATTGGAATGAATGGAGTTAAAAAAAAAAAGAGAAAAACCCTGACCGTGAAGCCTAGTTTATAGTTGTGCGTTTTCAGAGAAACGCAGGAACACGCACACGCAAGAGTCCCTTGCGTGCTCCTTGCGTGCCTTTTTTACCCTTTCTTGCGTGCGTCGACCCATTTTTCTAGACTAGCGTCATAAGCTGCTAACTACATCCTTTCCGTCTCACATTTCCGGTTTCATAGCATAGTACCGCCATTATTAAAACAAAGATTTTTGAAGAGCGAATGAATCAGATTGAAGAGCTTTTGTCGGAAGAAATATGGAAATATGACCACTTATACAACCTGTCATTGGCGGACTATAAGGACGGCGCAGATGGCCTCCAATTCATGGAGACGTTGGAGGAGGAGTCAAGCGTTGCAGTTAAGAAAGAACCCAACAGGGTGTGGTGTGCGGGGACCGTAGACATATATATTTAAAGGCTAGATGTGTTATGGCGTATAGAACGTCCGCACATAGTGGCCATCTTGGTACAGTACGCTCGCTCATCCATAACGCTGTGTTGTTGGTACATACATTAAATAATAATAACGTAATTTTCTTTTAGCTAGGTAGTTTTGCTTGTTTAAAAAGTACATGTATCACTACGAACACATGGTTATGGGTGAGCAAGCTCACTTTTCCAAGATGGCCGCCATGTGCGGACGTTCAACTCCGTTAGATGGCAACGTGGACGGGATATCTAGCCTTTATATATATATAGGCCTATATATATCCATGGGGGCGACGATACGGCGGCGGGGGGGGGGTGCGGACGTTAGGTGGAGCAGACATTACACTGGTGGGCGCTAGCATGACGCCAACATGGCGTTAGCTAGCATTGCACTCATAATAACAGGACTTAACTGCTGACAAGTGGCTAAAACAGTCATGTCTTTGGCTTGCTAGCTAGCCTTTGTGGCTAGCCTTTACTTGCCTGCTTGGCCGACTCATGCACAGGCACCTACGGGCAGTCTAGGCCCCACTCTTAAAATGTTCTAGTTATATTCTATTACATCATTTGTAAATATACAAATAGCACATCCTGTATTGATACGCTTCACACCATTCTATGCTTCTGCCACATGTAAATATACCATAACTATCCAAATGGTAAAATCAATAAATTAGAATTATTATATTTTTTGTGTAAGTAATATAAAATAAAAATTCAACCGCTGGTTAACATCCTCTTTGTCGCTCTCTGGCAGCTCATTCCTCACTCAAGAAAAGAGTGGAACTATATGGCACTGCCTTTTTATTCCATGTGGTTTTGACAAATTACTCTCAAAACTCAAAGCAACAAGTACAGAAAAGTCCTAGACCTAGAGCAATAGCACTAGCATGGGTGCCTTGAGTCGTAGATATAAAGAGATAACATCGCTACTCTATATTCAGTTTTGCTTGCCATTGAGGTTGATGTGATGAATAGAATGTGTTGCAGCTGCTTGTATCTCGTGTCAATATGTTGCAGTCGTTGCAGTATGATGCAATTGAAATTCTCAGAAAAGGCATAAAATATATTCCATCACAGTGAAAACAAAGGTACTCGAGCAGTGGACTTTACCAAGCAGAGGCCAACCACTGCATCTGACTGGAACAAGTGGTGATGCTTGTGGTCTGTACATGCAATAACAACACTTTACGGTTGTTGAAACAGTAGCGATGAGTCACTACTGACCAAAACACTATTTATCTTTAATCCAAAGCGACTTCCTGTAATGCAAAGTGACTGTATAAGAACGCCCAAAGATCCTTCTTTTCTTAAGAATGTGAGTGTGACATGTGACTTGTGTCAAAAAAGCAGAAGAGGAAGCAGCCCTGCACCTTGTATTTCGAGCATTTGGCCACTTGTCAGGGTCTTTTATCTTAAATGTTGCGTGTCTTTTTAAACCTGCTCTGTCTCATTTGTCAAATGACAGTAGGATTGAATGAGTCAATCTAGAACATTTGGAGGTAAAAATACTCTCATAAAGAATTTACAGACTTCGCCAACTTTGTTATTGCTAGACTATCCCACATTCGAAACACTCACACTTCAAACTCTAGTACCACAGAGTGTACGGTCCACTTTTAATAAAGTAAGATTTTTCAAGCTGTCCATTTAGGAGTTAGATGGAGTGATTACTACATTACTCTCTTCACAAACAAAAGAGCATCTTGACTGGGTTTTGCACCCTGTAGACCCTGTTGCGCTGTGTTAACAGGATACTGTACATTTCATGCAAGATCTATTTGTTTCTCATAGGTGTTGAAAATAGGTCAGAGCACCGCCTTGGGCAGCAGACACACGTTTTGTTTTCCACTGAGTTTTTGGCATTTCGAAGTAAAACAGGTCAGTTAGAGACTGATGGAAAGTACTCTGCACTAATCTCTTTTAGTGGCATTTTACTATTTACAACATCAACATGTCTTTCTACTCTTACCCAAAGATTTACAGAAACATTAAGGCAACTCACAGAAAGGAGAAGGTAAAGATTGCAATGACTTCCTCCTCTTCCCTTGCAGCTTAGTTCTGTATCGATGCCTTAATCATTTTTGTTTGTGTATTTAAAGTGTTATTTTATATATTCTATTTGTGGCTTGGCTTCTCGCCTGTGAATTCACCTGTTATCACAGTTTCATTTCTCTACGCACGAGATGGAGAATTGAAAAAGCGGAGGCGTTATTGTTAAGCGACTGGGACAAACAAGCAGCATCACAAGAAAGACCACAGAGACATCCTTTAAGAAGGGGACGTAAGGGTGGAGGGGAAGGTGACAAAACCGCTGGAGTGGAACTTAATGTTAGCCAGCATGACCGCTGGTTTAGTTTTCTTTCTTTTTTTCTCAACGTTTTTTTAATACTTGACTGCAGGACCTGTAAAAACCTCACTGGCTTTATGAGAGTTTGTGAAGATAGAGTAATAAAGATACTGTTGGACCAAACACAAACGCTTTATTTTGTAGTATCAACTTGATTGGATACAAAGAGAGACTTGATCTTGACTTGAAATGATAATATGTAGTTAGGATGATTAAAATCTGACCTACCTATTGACTGTTATGGAATTATATCATTTTAAAATGAAGGTTAATGTTTACAATAAAATGTCAAACCATAAATAGTAAAATTTTTGATTATTTTTAAATGAGATTGTATGTTGTCGTCGTGCTGAAGATGCTCAGGTTCTTTAAAAAAACAAACGGGTCGGAGGTGAGATATTAACCTTCATTGAGTCGACCACAACAACACCTTCGAACACATCTCTGTGTGGGTGGAACTAACAGGACATAAAGTGTCTTGAGATTTTCTCATACACTGTCTCTCGGGTGGGTTTACTCTAAATAATGTATCTTTCCATTCTCACCTTGTGGTCCCGGCGACGTGTCATTGTCGTGTAATGAGTTTAGGTAAGACAGAATAAGCAACCTGATGCAGCACTAATGTGAGTGTAGGTTGACTGCTGCTCTCTACTGACTGACAGCTTATCTACAACCAACTGACTGCGTAGAAGCAAGGCCTGATGCTCAATTACATGGAGCACTCAGTTTAGTCATTATCAAGAGAGCCACTAGGATAATCCACTTGGATAATGCCCTGTCAAACTATAATGTCCTCTAAACGAAGAAATAATACAAAACATACAAAACTATAATTAATGATAATAATCATTACGAGTCATATAGAATCTAGTGTTTTCGTTTGTTCAAGTCAGCCCACACTACGAATCTCTTTCTTTCACCCATTTATCTCTTGTGAGTTCACTGGTTTTATTCAAGTTCAATACCGAATAGTAGAAATACAATTTACCAAGCTCCGAGAGGGTCAGCTTAAGACAGCCCACCTTTTCCATACACACAATGATCAAAAACATACATTGACAGTAAACACCTGCAGGGTAAATGAGGACAGAGGACGTTTTAGTAGTGGGAATGAATGCATGCATTTAATGAATAGATACAGTATTTTCACACTGGTGAATGCTGAATGCTGCTTAGCAGTTGGAGGTCATCGCAAAGCAAACATTATTGATTTAGAGTCGAAGATGTAGAAATAAGGTTGTATATTGCTATTAGGGTGGCCACCCGTCCCCTAATATACGGAATCGTTTTGAATCAATACAGGACGGGGTTTGACTCTTATTTTCCGAGTTGTCGTCAATGCAACATCTCATGCATATAATCCCACCCGAATTCTGTGAAGACTCGTCCTACTCAACCGCTCGCTGCCACCGTTGGTTTGATTGGCCGTGAACCTGAAACAAACCAATCAGAGTCAGAGGAGGGCGGGTCTCCAGATACCCGCTCGTGTCCAGCTCTGAAGCGAAGGCGGATGCAAAAGTACCGACGAGAGTGGGAGGAATCACGCCCCCCACCCGCCGGCCGTAGCGTCCCTATTTTTCTGTACCAAGGTGGCAACCCGCTATTTTTGTTAAACAAATACATTTTTTACTTCACCATGGTTAAGCTTTGAAAAACGTTTTAAAAAGAAGTTGTTCAGAAAATAAAAAGCTGATCTTGCAGGTGCTTGATTTTAAATTCAGACTATATGTATGATGAAGAGTTAGCTTTAGGGGTGTAACGATCGATTGAAATGGTACATAATCGATTGGATCAATACTTGGAAACTGCACATTGGATTTAAGCACACAAACGGTATGGATGTGTGTTTCTTAGTTTTTTTTAGCACTTTAGACACGTTAAATGTTACTCGATTCAGTCTGCCTGTCTGACGTCATCAGTACGCAGCGGCAGGAGACGGAGCGTGGAGGAGACGACTGCGAGCGAGACATTTACAAACCAACTTATCGATCCAGCGCGTGGAAACATTTTGGCTTTTGCAAACACGGAGGTGTTCTAAATAAGTCGGTCGTTGTTTGTAGAGTATGTAGAAGCCAAATAAAAAAACACGGAAACACGACGAATCTTTTCGGCCACCACTGAATCGAATCCTTCTAAATTAACCCAGATCGTCCATGAATCGAATCGGCAACCATGAATCGCAATTCGAATCAAATCGTAGTTAAAATGAATCGGTACACTCCTAGTTAGCTTGGAGCTAACGATGCAACAACAACAGAGCGGACAGTGTGGACCCGATGAGGAACTGGCAGCTAGCTAGTGAAGCATGCTCAGCTGGGCCGGCTTGATTTACAAAAAACACTATATTTTAGCAACTCGTTATTGTGACCATTTATAATACGGGTAGATGAAATCCAGCGTTCTGATTGGTCGAGAGTGAGTCACCATTATTGGGCGCTAATGCACAGCACCTGTTCACGTTGATCCGAGCGTTCCGCATCACTCAGCACTCAAAGTAGCGGGTTAGATTTTGCGCGACCCTTTTAGCTTTTAGCTCGGTGGCGATCGCCGAAAAAAAACACGGAAATCCCACAAATGATCGCTTTTGCAACCGGACAATTAAGGTGGACGTCATGAGCGATGTGAATGAATGAGATGCTGCGGGACCCGATGCTGTTTACGTGCACGCACGGGAACTATTATTTCTCTAGACTACTGAAATGAGATACGCAACGTTTGGTGGCTGCAACTATTTTGTGCTGAAAGGCAGCTATTTACTTTAATTATAATTCCGCTGATAACCGTCATATAAATACGTATTATACTTTCTAACACCATGAATTTAACATTTAGAACCTTCACTAACACGTGGTGTAGGAAAGGGGTCACTCGGGGTCTGACGCTGTAACCTCCTGTCTCCTCCTCTCTCTCCTGCTCTGGCCGGGCCTCTTCTCGAAGTCCAGTGTTGCGTACTGCAAAGCATCAGAGTCCTCATTCTGCATGAAATAATGAAGCTAAGTTATTTCTAATTAGTAACTGAAGCTAAATTTATTTAGAAATGAGATGTGCCAGTATACAACATATAAATACAGCTCATGGTGGTCTTACCTGACTGTTGGGGGTGTCTGCTGGGACGCTCAAGTGGGAGACCGTCTCTGTGGTAAAATAAATAGTGGGATTTTAGGACAAATTGATTCAAAACTAAAAACACTAAATGCGTAAGGAAATAAGGTTTAGAATTATGTGTGAATCCATCTTTACTTGTATCTGAATTTAAAATAACAGAGAAAAAGACAAACTTCCCCCCCCATAGTAAATATGAATTAGTGTTACCTTGTGAATGCAGATATTTCCTCCTTGACACTTTACAGAGGATGCCAATTAGGATGCCGTTCAAGACAACAGAGGCAAACAGAGCTGCAACCGAGCAATGCATCACAAAAGAAGAAATCTCCTCCTTTTTCCCTGAGAAAAACAAAAAGCAATGTAGACAAGCAAAAAGAAGACGTTTTTTTTTTTCTTCTGAACGTTGCCCACCTCCGACCTCGAGTCTTGTTCCGTTGCCGAACAATATCTCCCCGCATAAAGCCACGGCGCAGTAGTATGTGCCAGCATCCGACTGGCTCACGCTTGTCTTGGAAAAGCTGTGCACGCAGCTCTGTGCGGGAGGCTCCGGGCTGTGTACGCACCGACTGCTGTGCATTACAGCTGAGAGGGAGTTTGTTGAATTCTCCTTTTTGAACCAGTACACGCTGAGTTCTGCGTCACTAGTTCCAGCGTGCACGGTGCAGTCCAGAGTCACAGAGGCCCCGGGCTTCACGGAGTAGAACGCCGGCTGCAGGAGGAAAGACCTGCGGCTGAAATCTGAGAAATACATGAGTACAGACAAATGGAAAATCAAATGGGGAAAAAAGAGTTTTATGTGTACAAAACTAAAAGACAAAATACCTTTCAGAACCAGTAGAGTGCCATCATCAAACTCAGTCATCATTATAGTGGCATGGCCGCAGTAGTACATAGCTGAATCTGAGTCCTGGACGTTAGAAATGTTCAGATGGTAGAACCCCGCTCCCGCGTAAACTGAAAAACGCTTGTTGTCCTTAAACTGGTTGTGGAAGCTGTTGCTGTCCGGTGAATGTTTGTAGAACGAGGATATTATCTGAGGTTGCTCCCCTGCAACCTGCTTGTACCAGCAGATATGTTTGGCCCCAGAGGCATAGAAACAGGGTACGGTCACACTCTGTCCGGGCGTAGCGTAGAGCAGAGCGCCACCTGAAACACAGAAAACACAGAAATCATTAACCAGTGGACGCAATATCTCAATTTAGACATTCTAAAAGGTCTACCACAATTAAAATATTGTTAAAATGACATACTAGCTCCAAAGACAGGAACCAAGAGAAAGTAAAACTCAAGCATCTTGGGTGAACAGACAATCAGTGCAATGGCGTGTCAAGTAAAGGGGTCGAGGACGACAGCAAAGCCGCAGTGGAAACGCGTGTGTGTGACCCGGGTGGCGTGCGTGCCAGTGCTCCTACTAAAGGAAGTGAGAAATTGTGTTTTCCGTCAGCTTTTTTTAATTAGTCCATTGACCCTTGCTAACCTCCGACCTTTCTAAAACACCCTCTGTAGTTTATTTGTTTGACATTCGTCGCACTTGTTTTTTCACCAGGCTTCAACGCACAAACAGTCTGCCCACTCACACACGCAAAATCAATTAAATGTTTCCCTGTTTTTGAACGTTACGGTTATTTGTAGAGGACAGTAGACAGACATGTCCCGGATTACCAGACAGTTCATACTGTGTGTGCCTAAAGTATCCTGTGCTTTTAAAACCTTTCAAATCAGTTATTTGACAAAACGACTTGCAGTGATGATCTACTAAAGACAGACGGCTGGAGAAGGTTTTGTAAATCCCACTAAATCTCATTTTACTTTACTTTGAGGTCCTTTTCACTACATTTGAACAGATGATGACATCATCTGACTTCTTGCATTTCAGTGACTTGTTCAGCAAAGTTCTATCCAAAGACCCCTAACTAATATGTACTGCATGCATGTTATCTTAGGTAATTGTCTTCGACAAAGAGGTGTGTTTTATTGACAGTAACAAGTAACAACGATCGCAGGTCTAATCTTATACAGCAGGCTGCTGAACCTTCCAGGATATATTCTGACTTAGATGGTGTATTGATAACTTTGTATTTGTTATATGTTTGCTATAGAAGGTAGAGTGAATTTTACATCATTTGTTGCTCTATCTTTTCTAAAACAGTGAGGTGGTTTTGACATGTGACTGAATTGCGAGAAAATGCTTGTAAATACCAACAGTAAAATAGTCTCACAAGCATAAACACACCAAATGCAACAAGCAGTGAGGCCTAAAAGCAGAAGTAGCCGCTTGACATTTTAGTCATTGCTAAATCACCATTTTTTGTCCATTAAAAATAACTAAATTTGTATTATGTCAGCAAAGATTAGGAAAGAGGAATTAGTGTATTACTAAATCACAGCAGATCTAGTGCATCTTTGATGGCTTCTCACCAGAGAGAACTGCTATATAAAGTTTGAGAAGACTAAATATGTCAGCACCACATTGAGCCAGCAGGTGTCAGTGTAGCCCAGAACACATTAGAACACAACACAGAGGGTGATATTTGCTGAGTGCTGACACACCACAGCATTTACCGCCTCATAGTGGATAAAGGAGAACAACGTGGACTCATATATCTAAATGTCAATTGTTAGTTTGGGTTACGGTACTCAATATATCCCATAACAGGGAGCTCTCATGACACAAAGTGTCTTCAGTTTGGTCCACTTCACATACCCACAAACCAGTGGTCGAGTTGGTATGAGGCACAGTTAGGGGAAACCATATCCTGTGATGTGGCAGTACAGTTCCTCTTTTCAAACTCAACTAGAACTGATCAGTGATGATTGTGAAATAATGGTGACTGCAAAGTTGTTTTGAAAGGCCAATTGAATGACACTGTGGTAGAAAGAGTCAAGCAGTTTAACAGGTTATATCCACAATCCAGGGTGGACGGTACAGTGGATTGTTTGAATCAGATCAGTTATAAGAAAGATTTTCCAACCAATTCACCAACCATTTTGTTCATGCGCACACAGATGCTGCTGAGATAAAGTAATGCAGAGCTCACAAGAGAGAACACTTTATTCCTCAAAATCTAGCTGTTGGATAGTCTTTCATTTATAATGAATTCTGGATGGGAGTAAGTAGTGTTAATTTAAGCTATTATTTTGGTGCGGCAGCGAAGGAAGTGATACAGAAGAAAATGCCTGTGGGCTTAATATTACTTAATAAAAAAGTAAAAGTAAATGAAATACTCATTAGTCTCATTAGCTTGGTGTCTGAGTGAGCTTTACAGTGTTTTTTTTTTAAAGTTCTTAACTTCCTATTTCTGTGCTGTACTCGTACGCAGACAAAGGCTGGGCGCCGTGTGATACAGACACACAACATCACAGCGATTCATCAGACCCTGACACGCACAGTGAAAAGGTGAGGGATTTTTTGTTCCTCAGGAGAAGGTGTGTGTGCTTAGCACGAGGGGTGGAGAGCATAGAACAGTAATAAGAATCTGGCCCAATTTGGGGTTTTATTTTTAGTCCTTTCAAGTTAAGTTTGCCTTAAAAATGGGTGCAATGCATTTGATTGTTAAGATATAACACCAGACGCACACCAAAGTTAACTTTCTTGTTTGTCCTTGCTTTTGCAGACCTTGCCACAGAGTAGTAACCACAAATTACCCGGCTAAACCTCAGCTTCCTTCAGGACTGAAAACAAGTGGTACGTTTTGATAATTACACGTTTTCTTTCAAATGCGACGTCTAAGGTTTAAGTGTGCATTTTGTTTCATAGTAAATTATAAGGTGAGCCTTTTGGGTTGATTTTTACACGTTAAACCTATTAACAAGCAGAAATATTTGACATGCTTTATTACATGATCAGATACAGTTACCAGATTACACTGAAAATAACTATACAGGGGATGTGGGAAATGTAAACAATGAGAATGCAAAGATGTCTGCAAAGCGGAAAGTATATTATCTATCAGCTTCTGAACTGCAATGAAAAATGTGTCTATTTAACTCAAGGTTTACACATAGCAAATCAATTTCAGTTACAATAAAACACAATCGTCCCAAAGTCGGCAAAGATACACAGTTCTGGGTCATTTAAGTTATGATAGATACATTTAATAAAGTAAGGGTAATATCAATGTGGCGCTCTTTTTTTTTAACATCAACCCTGTTTGAAAAATACTAATGATATACAATAAAAATGAGTACAAAAGGTGAAGTAGCTTGGGTCGGATCCTGCATTTTATTCGGTATGATTTACTGTTCTTGAGAGATTTTTTTGGCATCTTGGTGTTTTTTTGGGGGCATATTATAAACGACTTAACTTGTTGCCATCTTGCCTCAAGAAAATGGAAGAGAAGGACAATTAGTTTGTTTGCTTTGAATTGGTAATTAATCACTTATAAATGCCCCAACAAGAACCATTAAAAAGATTATATTTGTATTTGCCAGGTTTTAAAAGGAATGGTTTAATTATCTTCATTTACAGCATAAGAAAAGTTTTGCACTATTCGTTTTGAGTATTTTTGGAAAGAGTAAAAGGAAACACAGGTAGATTATTTACATGCATAAAGCCTGAGGAGCAGAAAAATAAAAAAAGCACAGAAGAAGAAGTGAAAACAAACGTTTTCTAGACTAAAACTCAGCTTCTGCATATCATGAAGGTAACCACAAATTTAGAATTAGGACACTGTGTTTTATGATTTAACCCTCTTTGCATGAATTAAGGCTATTTTTTGTAACATAATTATTTAATTATCTCAACAGAGAAACAAAGAAAACTAAATATGACATTCATAGTACACGTTTTTATCTGTTTTAGATCACATCAGCGTGAAGCAAATAACCAAGTCAAAGTTCAACATCACGACGCGTGCCTTTAAAGATGATGGTCTGTCCTGTCAGCCCAACTCCAAATATCAGCATTCATCCACCATTAAACCAAGCAGGAAATATGAGCTCTTTGAGCATATTCACCATCACCCTCCACGGCTTGTTCTCCTCCATCGGCATCCTAGAAAACCTCCTCATCGTGGGGGTAGTGGGCTTCCATGTCCGCCGCTCTGTCATTAGCATCTGGATCCTGAACCTCGCAGCCTCAGACCTGTTGGCCACTGCCTCCCTGCCCTTCTTCACCCTCTACATGGCCCGCGGAAATACCTGGACCTTGGGCTCAACCTTCTGCCGCATCCATTCCTCCATCTTCTTTCTCAACATGTTTGTCAGTGGCTTCCTGCTAGCGGCCATTTCTATGGACCGCTGCCTGGTGGTGCTAAGACCCGTCTGGGCCCAGAACTACAGGAATGTCCAACTAGTGGGGAGGATATGTGGGGTGATCTGGGCCTTGGCCGTGGTCTTCACCATCCCCTTCTACATATTCCGTGACACCATTCATCTATCTAACGGCAAGATCCTCTGTTACTACAATTATGCTCGACTCCTCCCTGCTGAACCATTTGACCTGAAATCTTTATGCAAACAGCGCAAAGAGGTCTTAGCCTTCTTGAAACTCTTTCTGTCCTTCCTAATCCCTCTAGTGATTATCATTGTCAGCTATGCCGCCGTCAACACCGGCTTGGCACGTAGAGGAAATCGGCGCCCATTCCGTTTCGTTCGGCTTGTAGTGGCCGTGGTGGTGAGTTTTGTTCTCTGCTGGGCTCCATACCACTTATTAATGATCATAGAGGTGACAGCTCCCAAGGGGCATCATGCCGGAAAATTGGCAACCAAATTCCTCCCGATCGCAGCAACCATTGGCTTCCTAAACAGTGTCCTTAACCCCATTCTGTACGTGTTCAGCTGCCCTGACCTGTGCAAGAAGATCAGACATTCTCTGGGTGCAGTGATGGAGGGTGTCCTGGCTGAGGATTTGGCTGAGTTTGCCCGCCGCCGCAGCACCGCTCAAAACTCTCTCTCAACCACCGAGATGGTGTTGAAGCGCAAGAATACAATTACAACCTTTAGTCTGAAAGGAGAGGAGGAGAATACTGAAAGTCTTACTAACCCTGATGAGGATTGAACAAAAACTTACTGCAATAATGGCCAGGCTTTTGTTTGCTTCTTGGCCTATTATCAGTACATTCAAGTGTCCAACACTTGACTCCTGCAGCTTCCTGTAGGTCTATTTTAAAGAAGCCATAGTGACAAATGATTAATTACATTTGTGTTCATCCTCACAATGACGGGTCCACAGGGCTGCTCTGAAAAGTGTCTATTAAGGGTGATTAAAGTTATGCAGGTAGGGTTATGGTTAACTCTTACACCTTTAATTACATGTTATTGATGGAAAGATCCCCTCAACTAGGTTTTGTGGTAAATTAAATGTCTCAAAATTGCTTCAAATTGTTTTCTTTTTTAAGTGATATAACTTTAGTAATTTTGGTCATAATCCCACAAGCATTCAACAAGTTACTTGGCATTTCTTTGCAGTTTATACTCAAAGCCAACAAATGAATGGCAACTGCTATAAAGATTGTGTAGAATTCTGCAGGCTTTTTTGATTTTTACTTTTATGCTTGGTAGATGTGTACATCTAGGTAAATGGCCCATAAATGACTGCTTCTTCTTAGTTTCTTGCTTTTTTACATAAAGTCAATCCACTTTTTTTTGCCATTTCTGCTTTTGTTAGACAATTATACATTTGAATGATTGTAAGAATTTCAATTTTTGAAACGTCTAAATGTATGAATTTTGCAACATTTCTAAATATTAACAATTAAAATAAACACTCTGCTGTGTCATTTCCCTTCCATTTGCATCCTGTAGCTACTGTCAAGCTTGTGTTTCTTCAGAGATTCACACCTGTTCTATTTTCAGACTTTATAGTAAACACGTGACTGAACCTTTTGTACATGTTTCAATTGTAACATTACAGTAAAATAATATAGTTTCATTGTGAATTGATTGAAATGTTTCCATACAAAAAAGAGGAATACAATTTAGTAAAAAGAGGGATCTTCTTTTGGCTGTATAATCTGATGCTATGTCAGGTACGCATGAAATAAAAAGTTGTAAATCTTTCACCTTACTTTAATTTTTCGGTGTTGAGTTAATGTCAGGTGGATTGGTAACTCTAATTCGCCTGTAGGTGTGTGGACGTGAATGAGAATGTTTGTTTGTCTCTATGTTAACCCTGCAATTGGCTGGTGACCAATCAAGGGTGTACCCTGTCCCGAAGTAAACTGGGATTGATCCCCCCCCCCCCCCGTTACTCTGTATGAAGGATAAGCGATTTGGAGATAGATGGATTCAATGTCAGTAAGAATTGCACTTTTGATATTTTGTGCCGCACATATTCTATTTTCATCATGAGTTGTCGCACATTTGACCACAGTTTTCATCCCACCTGCATGTTTTCTAACTCTCCTGTCATTTTAGATCCTCCCACATTATCAGCTCATTACCCTCACCCGGTTCTCCTTTCCCTTCTCACCGGCAGCACTTTCCCTCATCAGCCACTCACCATTTAAGCCCGTCACATTCTGTTGCTCCCTGCCAGATTGTCTTGTGTGTTTGCCAAGTTGTCCAGCAGTTCTCAGTTATCACAGTAAATATACATCTGTTCCAACCTAGCCTGCCTTTCAACCACAGATTCCCTGTCTGCTCCTCTGGATTTGTTTGCCTGATCCATCAGATCTCCCGATTTTGACCATGCGTGAAGTTTAAGTAAATCCACCTGTCTTTCTTATTGTTGTCTGAGTCATGCTTTTGGGTTCCTTCGTGTACCGGTACCAGTAACCAGTAACTGAACTAGTGGAAGTCATATAATCTGACCTAGATGGATGTTTTGTGTATTAAATGTTCGCTTAAAGAAGGCAGAGTGAATTTTGCACCATATTGTGTTGCGCCATCTTTTCAAAAACAGTGATGTGGTTTTGATACTTGACTGAATTGCAAGAAAATGACTTGTCAATCCTATTGTTGAAATAGCCTCACACTCACAAACGCACCCAATGCACCAAGCAGTGAGGCAAAAAGCAGAAGTAACTGCTTGGCACTTTATTCTTTGTAAAATTACCTTTTTTTCCTTTTTTTTTCCAATTTAAAAATAACTACATTTGTATCATGTCAGCATTAAGCGAGAGGAATTGGTGTGCTAGTAAATTGCAGCAGATCTAGTGCATCTTTGATGACTTCTCACCAGAGGGAACTGCAATATAAAGTTTGAGAAGACTAAATATGTCAGCACCACAGTGAGCCAGCAGGTGTCAGTGCAGCCCAGAACACATTAGAACACAACACAAAGGGTGGTATTTGCTGAGTGCTGACAGCATTTACCGCCTCATAGTGGATAAAGGAGAACATAAACCCATATATCTCCGCAGTATGCCTCCACAAACCATAAACAAGCTTAAAATACAAAAAAAACAAAATCTATATTGGCTATTGAATCAGATCACTTATAAGAAATATGTTCTAACCAATTCTAGACACTACATACCTTCATAAATCTGAGATAAAGTAATGCAGACCCCACCAGACACTTTATTCCTCAAAACCAAGCTGTAGGATGTTCCCCAGACGACGGAATAGTCTTTAATTTATAATGAATTCTAGATGGGAGTAAGTAGTATTAACTTAAGGTAAAATGGTGGTGCGGCAGCAAAGGAAGCGATTCAGAACAAAATGCCTGTGGGCTTAATATTAATAAATAAGTAAATGAAATACTTTTATAAAATAGTCAAAAAATCATCATCGTCCTTACTCAGTTGCTCTTCAGAAACCACCTGAAACTAGTTGACCAAATATACATAGTTGAGTCTCATTAGCTTGGTGTCTCACTGAGCTTTACGTTTTTTTTTTTTTTAACAGTTCTTACTTCCTAATTCTGTACTGTACTCGTACGCCCATGAGGCAAAGGCTGGGCACCGTGTGATACAGACACACATCACAGAGATTCCTCAGACCCTGTCAGGCACAGTGAAAAGGTGAGGGATTTTTTGTTCCTCAGGAGAAGGTGTGTGTGCTTAGCACGAGGGGTGGAGAGCACAGAACGTTCATAAGAATCTGGCCCAATTTGGGGTTTTATTTTCAGTCCTTTCAAATTAAGTTTGCCTTAAGAATGGGTGCAATGCATTTGTATTGTTAGGATATAACACCAGATGCACACCGAAGTTAACTTGTTTGTCCTTGCTTTTGCAGACTTAGTAAGTAAGTAAGTAAGCCAAAGAGTAGTGACCACAAATTGCCGAGCTAAACATTGGTTTCCCTCAGGACTGAAAACAAGTTGTACATTTTGATAATAACACTTTTTCTTTTAAATCCGAGCGTCTAAGGTTCAAGCATGCATTACATTACATGACGTTAAAGCTATTAACAAGCAGAAATATGTGGTATGCCACTATAGAGAGGATGTGGAAAACGTAAAAGATAAGATTGCAAAGCCTCAAGATGGCACCATAGTGTCTGCAAAGCGGAAAGTACGTTCTAAGCTTTTGAACTGCAATGAGAAATGTGTCTTTTTAACTCCAAGTTATTATAGACTAATTTAATATAGTAAGGGTAATATCAGTAATCGTGTTGAGTCTTTTGGAAGAATCAAATGAAACTGTAACAGAATTATTTAATTATCTCAATAGAGAAACAAAGATTGAAAACTATATATGTTCTCATTTGTTTTAGATCACATCAGCGTGCCTTCAAAGATGGCGGTCTGTCCTGTCAGCCCAACTCCAAATATCAGCATTCATCCAACATTAAACCAAGCAGGAAATATGAGCTCTTTGAGCATATTCACCATCACCCTCCACGGCTTGTTCTCCTCCATCGGCATCCTAGAAAACCTCCTCATCGTGGGGGTAGTGGGCTTCCATGTCCGCCGCTCTGTCATTAGCATCTGGATCCTGAACCTCGCAGCCTCAGACCTGTTGGCCACTGCCTCCCTGCCCTTCTTCACCCTCTACATGGCCCGCGGAAATACCTGGACCTTGGGCTTAACCTTCTGCCGCATCCATTCCTCCATCTTCTTTCTCAACATGTTTGTCAGTGGCTTCCTGCTAGCGGCCATTTCTATGGACCGCTGCCTGGTGGTGCTAAGACCCGTCTGGGCCCAGAACTACAGGAACGTCCAACTAGTGGGGAGGATATGTGGGGTGATCTGGGCCTTGGCCGTGGTCTTCACCATCCCCTTCTACATATTCCGTGACACCATTCATCTATCTGACGGCAAGATCCTCTGTTACTACAATTATGCTCGACTCCTCCCTGCTGAACCATTTGACCTGAAATCTTTATGCAAACAGCGCAAAGAGGCCTTAGCCTTCTTGAAACTCTTTCTGTCCTTCCTAATCCCTCTAGTGATTATCATTGTCAGCTATGCCGCCGTCAACACCGGCTTGGCACGCAGAGGCTATCGGCGCCCTTTCCGCTTTGTTCGGCTCGTAGTGGCCGTGGTGGTGAGTTTTGTTCTCTGCTGGGCTCCATACCACTTATTAATGATCATAGAGGTGACAGCTCCCAAGGGGCATCATGCCGGAAAATTGGCAACCAATTACCTCCCGATGGCAACAACCATTAGCTTCCTAAACAGTGTCCTTAACCCCATTCTGTACGTGTTCAGCTGCCCTGACCTGTGCAAGAAGATCAGACATTCTCTGGGTGCAGTGATGGAGGGTGTCCTGGCTGAGGATCTGGCAGATTTTGCCCGACGCCGCAGCGCCGCTCACAAGTCTGTCTCAACCTCAGAGATGGTGTCGAAGCCGAAGAATATTGCTAACCCTTATAAGGATTGAACGAAAACTTACTGCAATAATGGCCAGGCTTTTGTTTTCTTCTTTGCCTAGTATCAGTACATTCAAGCATCCAACACTCACCTCCTGCAGCTTTCTTTAGGCCTGTTTTAAAGCAACCATCATGACAAATGATTAATTGCACTTGTGTTCATCCCCCCAATGACATATCTACAGGGCTGCTGTGAAAAGGGTCTACTGAAGGTTATAAGTTATGCAGGTAGGGTTATGGTTAACTCTTACACTTTTAATTTCATATTTTAAATGGAAAGTTCCCCTGGGATTTGTGGGAAATTAAATGTCACCATTCTTGAAACGGTTTTATTTTCTAAGTGATATCACTATAGTGTTTTTGTTATTCTCTCACAAGCCTTCAAAAATGTATTCTACATTGACATGACAGTTTGTACTCAAATTCAACAAATTTATGAGAACAGATTGTATATTACATTTCCTACTTTTACTTTTATGCTTGGTTGATGTGTACATCTTGTTTAACAAAATAAACACAACTGTGTCTTTTACCTTGATTTGCATGATGTAGCCACTGTCAAGCTTGTGTTTCTTCAAAGATTCTCAACCGTTCTATTTTCAGACTGACTCATAGTAAGTAAGTGACTGAACATTTGAACATTTGTACAATTGTAAAATTACAGTAAAATAACATTGATTCATTGTGAAATGGTTGAATCGTTTCCACACACAAGAAAGAAATCCAATTTAGTAAACTTTTTTTGTGCTGCACACAAATGATCCTATTTTCATCCTCTGAAAAACAATTAATATCATCATGAGTAACTGAAAGCTTAACTTTTGTAAGTATTTTAGCGGATAAGGTTCAAGCACCTTGAATGAATGCATTTGCTTAAACACACTGAACACATCAACTTTCTGGCACACTTGCTTTGACTAAACACCAGGAGCTCAGCTCTGAGGTCAAATCCAAATTATATTTCTAAAAGATTATCAAGTCCAGTTTCCCTCTCCGTGTGGTTATCTGATGGAGGTCTTGTACTGGAGCCAATCTTTTTGCTTTGCCCCCTTCCCAAACCGGGCAAGGATCTTTGCAGCTCTAGCCGAGCATCAGGGCACAGGAAAATATAGAAGAGCGGATCCAGTAGGGTATTTAGACTTGTCAGACCGTAGCATATGCGATAGGTGAGGAAAATGGAACGCTCCATTCCACATGGCTGGTCAATCAGCAGCAAGGACACAAATCTGTATCCGCCCACGAGGTGATAGGGTCCAAACACAACAATGAAGTTGATGGTGATCACGACAAGGATTCCCACGATTTTGCGTCGCTCATGGTCAGAGAGAGACGGAGATCGCCGCAGTGTCACCCCAATGTGGGCGGAGGTGTAGCTAAGGGAGGAAGGAGTTGCAGATGAGGACCTCCTGTCAGCCATCGGAATATACTTATAGTGTTCTCCAAAGACTTGTAATACAATGTATACCACACTATACCATACATAAACAAGGAAAAGTATCTCTGTACCACAAATGTTTTTTCAGCTCTATTTCTGTTCAGGATGCAATACTCTTCATTCAATTTGTTGGATTCTTACAACTTGAGGTAATAATCCAACAACTTTAAAGTATTCTTTCCTTCTGCTGTTACACAATTTGTGTTAAAATAATTTGTATTATTTTGAGAGGAAATAATCACTGGGACCTTGGTGTTAACTTACCCGAGTATGGCACATGGCAGCAGAAAGCCCAGGGCCACCGTTGTGATCTTGAAGGAGGCGTATCTGGGGCTGACGGGGTACTGCTCCAGACACAGCAGTCTGTCAGAGTCAAACACTGACGGCAGCAGCCCACTCAGACAGAACAGGAATGTGAGGATCCAGACCGCCACGCCAGACAACGCTGCCAGCCGGACAGTCCGCACTCTGCGGCTGCTCAGCGGGTAGACAATGGCCAGGCAGCGGTCCAGTGCTATCAGGCACAAGAACATGACGCTAGCGTAGACATTTACGTAAAACACGTATCCCACCAGCTCGCAAGTTAACTGGCCGTAAGGCCAGCGGTGACTCGCTTGGAGATAAATAATCCATAGTGGTAGGGTGAGCAGCTGAAGAAGGTCTGATAGCAGCAGGTTGAGAATGTAGACCAGCTGACAGCCTCCTCCACCGGAGCGGCCTAGGTGGTACAGTCCCCAGAGAGATAGCAGGTTGCTCGGGAGACCCAAAGAGAAGATCAGGCCATAGATACAGGTCAGGCCAAATGTGTCCGTGTCCAATGGGAGGCTGCAGCTGTGATTGAACATGTCTCTGTTGATAAAAGCCCCAGATATGAGAAACTACAGGTGACCTCACTTGGACATGAATTGGCAGTTGTAGGATGATGAGTTGTCTTAGAAATATCCATTCATTGACTCAAAGCAAGACTTTGATTAGTTTGATGTATCTGTTTGATCCATCCACCTGTCATTAGTCCATTGCATATTATTCATCAATGCATTTTCCTGTGGAATAGGTCAGGCTCATATCATGTGCTGTCAGTCAACCAATCTCCAAAGCATCCGAGATCTGTCATGTGAAACAACCACCTGCAGATTAGAAATCAAGACCGTTCTCATATCATTGAGCATCAGCAGGTCCGAAACATATAATCCAACAAAAGAGCTTTTCACTCACCACTCGAGGCTGTAAGACTAACTTTATCCCACAGAAGTGTGCTGCCCGCTCTGCAGCTCGGTGACCTGTGCTCAAGAAATGTTGGGAACACGGTGTCTTGACCAAGGCTTGTCTGTTCTGTGATCGTTTCCTCCACAGGAAACCCACTTCTTCAGCTTTAAAGGCAACATCCTGGGGCAGGAGCCTTTCTGCACCAGAACAAAAACATACTCTCTCTTTCTCTCAGTCTCCAGCTCTCCTACTAGCAGTAGCAGACAGGATGATTTAGGTGGACAGGAGCTAAGGGGGAGGGAACTGATGAAGTGTCCACTAATGCCCTTTATATTGTCGAACACTGGCTACATGCCATTAAACGCATTAACACTTTTACCATGCTCTTTTAAACATTCCTTTCAACAAGTGTTTACATGCAAAATGTAGTAATGTATAAATAACAATGTATACAATGAATGAAAATAACTCCACGAAGGAGTAAATGAGTGCAATTTACCCAGGGTGAACTTTGATTGTGCACCAGTGGGAAAAAAAACCGTACACAATTGAAATTGTTTTGGGGAAGAATAGGTTTGTTGAGACAATGGGTGTACGGCAGTATTTTTACCACATGGTTTCAAAGGGAGGAGACTGTAATCACTCTCTTACTTTCCTTTAGAAATGTCACGCATGTCCAAATTATAAAATAATTTAACATTTTAACTCCCTGGAGGCTTTACGACCACCTTCTGCTCCCCAGAGCTCTGGTTGCCATGCCACTAGTTTTACATGGAATTGGACATAGAGGGACAAATATCATCTGGTTTTTATTCCTTCTGTCCATAGAACCGGGAGGTGTACGTTAAAAGAACGGGATGAAGCCGATTTTTAAAGCCGGCTATTCGGTGGAACAAGGTCAAGGCTTTAATTGTTAAAAACTGAGTTGTGCAAAAAACAGAAACCCAGAAGAAGCTGCAACAAGAAAAAACATGCAATTCTAATTGTGGCATCCTTAGACCACTCAACAAAGCCAGAACATATTTTCACATTATTATCATCATTACTCTTTCTTTTAATAAATATTTTATTAGTCCTTCTGGAAATGCATTATACCCATAGCACTACATCTGGGGGCCTGTCGGTGGCTCACAGTATAACCAGTATGTACAGTATGAAGGCCTGCGGTTAATGCGGAGCCCATTTTAAAATTTTGCCTTTTTTATTTTGTGTAGATGGAAATAAATTCCAAGAAAGCTTATAAAAGCCCTTTTACAAAATTGTGTTGAGTGATCTTTATCTCTGCTATAATATTTATTTCCTCCTCAGTGCTTAGGCCCTCTGTTAGTATGTGTTAAATTTATCTGCTAAGAAAACACAGGTGATTTTATGACAAGAGTCATAAATGTGTGTTTGCTATTACAATCTTTTTAAAGATTGAGTGTAGAATTTGTACAGTGTACGACAGCTCTCTTCATACATACTTTTTACCTTCATGGAATAGAGACAAAAACAATAGACATAATCATGTACACATGCTGTTGGTAAGTTTGCACATACTGTATGATATGGTGTCGCATATTTTTCTTTGGGGCACACAGTCCATGATGTGAGCCCTCAGAAGGTTCCTCTTCATGCAAAGTATTGGTGCCATGAAGGAAGTGAGGACATTTACGATGATCTGGCTGTAAGACAGCGGCTGTCACATTTTTTTGTATTAAAGATATCTGATAAAATCACTTTAAAGAATGGGTTGGAATACTTATGTAACTTAACAAGTCCTTAGTATTACTTCATTTTGTTGTAAATTACCATTCGGGCAATGTGTTGTACAACCTACGACCCGATTGTTCCTGTGTCAGAGTATTCTGATAACATATTGTGGTGAAAGGTTATGGACTTCAGTTGTTTTGATCTTAGAAAGTCAAGAGCAGACTATGATTAATGTGCGAGACTAATTTTATGATTTAAAATCATTTTCAAGTACAAAAATCGATCTACTTCACACGAGCCATGATTATTTATCTTATATCTCTGGTAAAAATCATTTACAATAAAAGGTTGTCTGTATTTTCAACAACGATGATCAATATTATTCAATTTGAATGGTTTCAAAATTGTAGAAGAGAATTGGTTAATGAATTCCCCTTTTTTAAGATATTTGAGTGTTCATTCCCCAAACATGCAGTGAGTGGTCTTTAAGCATGACTTTGGTCATAATCAGTTACTCTGCTTTGATCTTCCTGCGGCGCCCTCGGCAGCAGAGAATCTTACAGACTACGACTGAAGCCCAGACAAAGACCCCAATAAGGGCCCCAAATAGAACTGCTATATCCAGGCAGAAGTAGGAATACCAAGGAAGATTAAAACCTGCTGACTGCAGGTGGGCAGCTCCTTTGTTCCGAATGACGTACTCAATCCAAAAGATGGCCGTGTCCATGGGAGTCATTGGCCGGTCGCGGTGTAGCTGTGAGAGATGCTGTATGTTGTGGCGGTACGAGGGAGTCTCGAGGATGTCCCTTAGAGCCTCCAGGAAATCTTCTTTGGTGATTGATTTTGCTTCCACCACCCGAGCTGCCCCGCGTACCTTCAGCCGCAGCAGGTTGTCAAACTGGTCAAAGAGCAGGGGCAGGCCCAGAACAGGAACGCCATGGTAAATGGCCTCGTACATGCCGTTGGTGCCTCCATGGGCTACGAATGCACGAGTCTTGGGGTGTCCCAGGAGGTCTTTCTGGGGCAACCAGTCCACCAGTAGGGTGTTGTTGCCCAAGGATAATGGTTTTTCACCCACAAACCTCCACACCACCTTCTGAGGGATTTCAGCAAAAGCAGCAGCGATGGCGTCTGTGGCTTGACGATCAATGGACGACACAAATGTCCCTAGAGACATGATCACCACCCCATGCTCCCCAGAGCTCTGCATGAAGGCCTCCAGCTCATGGGGAAGGGGATTGGATGGTTTGCACTGGAATCCCCCTATGTACACCAAGTTGGGCATGGTGGGTCGAGGGAACTCAAAGACAAAATTAGTCCTCACCAGCCAGATATCAGCCGCAAGCTCCAACGACAGCAGGTCAGTCCCAGGAGGGAAATGCCGCTGTAGCAGATCGGCGTAGGGAGGGTTAATGATGAATTGTTGTTCAAAAAAACTATAAAGATAATGCAACATATTCTTGGTTCGTTCCAGAAAATCCATCCGATCACGGAGTTCGCTTCCTGACACAGGGACATAGGAGACAGGAGAGGGAGCTATAGTCAAATGGCCCTCCCCATTATTAATCCATCGCACATTGAAAACCATCGGCAGCTTGAGGTAACTACCTAAAATGACCCCTAAAGTCAAAGCAGGGTCAGTTAACATTAAGTCATACTTTGCATCATGCAGCTTCTTCATAAAAACAGGGTCATCTAGCATTACAGCAGCTGATCTAGCAAGGATCTCATGGCCTTTTCCCAACATCGATGTGACCAAGTTCTGTTGACAGAAGGTGCTTATGAAATGTGGTGACCGGCGGCATTCCATGACATTTTGTAGCATTCGATTGTAGAAATTCCTGTCCGACTCATCCTCCAGCATGGTCACATTAATAGAGGTATAAATCGAGGAGTTGTTAGGGATGTACCAGCTTTTGGCAGAGCGCAGCACAGTGATGTTGTGGCCTCTGGAATGCAGCTCTCGGAGGATCACCTCCATGTTTATCCAGTGGCTGCCATCAACCGGTACTACCAGGATCCTGCTGCCACTGCAGCAAGTGGGTCTTAGCAATAGGAAGCACAGCCCTGCCAGGAATGAGGGGATCACTCCAGACATTTCCTGCAATAACACAGAAAAGCTTATACTTATACATGCCAAAAGCCAGGTACAGCGCGTGTTTTTTGTCTTTGGTTAAGTCTGATCAATGCGCTATAAACCTATCGATCTTCGAAATTGTACTGTTTCAAATTCTAGTAATAGTACAGTGGCATGAGATGTGACCGGCAAAAGTATTTTGTTGGTAAATCATTATTTCAAAAGTAAGGCAATTTTATTTTTATAGCACATTTCAACAACATGGTTATTGAAAGTGCTTCAAGTAAATCAAATTCCCCACCTGGTTATTGTTTTATCAAAATCCAGAAGTTGTGCTTGAGCTCCACGTCCTCTAAGAGCCAGGAAACTATGTGAGATCTGTGTTTCCACACAGCTTGAATTCACACACAGGCTCTATTCTAACAGGTCAAAGTCCCCTAAGTGGGTTACAAGTTACTTCCAAAGGCATGTGCATTGTTTTCAAGAGCAAAGGTCAATGCTGAAGGCATGATGTAAGTATGGTAAAGTGCTTTTAATGCTTTTGATTCAGTAATTTACATTTGTCTTAATTATGTCAAATGAATTTCTTTCTAATGATATTAAGACATCTTTTTAAAGTAAAGTTATCTGTTGGATGTCTTTTTAACTAATAAACATATTCTGTATGAATACAAAGTGACTCATCAGTTTACTCCCGCTCAGCTCCAGATCTCTGCTCCTTTTAAGCCTTTGGACGACAGTTTTCTTGTCTCGTCTGACAAGCAATTTAAATTTGTTACTTTATTAATAGGCTTGCTGAGAAAACGTCAGGAAGAGCAGTATAAACACTTCTGCTTCGACACAGTAAGAGTGTGAGAGAAGGGTGTGGCAGGGAATTAGGGAAGGGGGAAGCAGCAAGGTCAAATTGTAAAAGGAATAATAAAGTGAGCATTGCCGATTACAACAGAGGCACAGTTCAACACACTGTATGAGCCGCAGCCTTTGCCTCCTCTAATCTGCCTCTGTGGAATTATACAAACCTGAACCACAGAACAATTTGTGCTAACAGCTGACCACACAGATGCAGGTTGTGATCAGGTAAAAGCATTTTTTTGTACTGTATACTAGTTCAGTAGTTTTACTCAGCCTTTATTATAATTTCAACGTGAGAAAAATGAATCTCCATTAACATCTTATTGAAATTATTGAAAACTGACCACATTAAAAGGAATGGAATGGAAAAAACATTATGTGCAATTGTTAAGGGATGAAAAGTCTGGTTCTGAAACTGAAAATACAACATATCTATATGGAATGCTGTTGCATTAAAACATTATATTTGGATTAGGTACGTTTTAAAAGAAACTATCTTAAATATATTGTCGGTTAATAACATATGAGCCACAGCTGTTCTTATTTTCTGTTAAATTTGGTGAAGTAGCACCACTCCAGAGATGAGCAAAAATACATCCAAATATATTTTAACACAAAATACCAAATACTCCTCAAATAAATGTATTAAATAAAATACAAAATACTTGTGCCAGAAAATGTAACAAAATACAAAACATGTATTTTGTATTTAGAATGTAAGATATTTTGGGGGGATTTTCCATTTTCTCACAATTTGGTATAGCAGATCATTCAGGTTTGGGCTTAATAATGTACACAAAGCTCTGGTGCACCCCACAAAAAGGAATATCAGTAGCAAAATGTCAGTTTAACTAAGAAAATGTATTAATAAAACAACTTGATTAAATACATATATATATATCAACAAGATAATATTCATCTCATATGAGTAGCATGACACCTTAGGCCTATGTATACTATAAGAGCAAAATATAGGATTAAAACCAGTTATACACACGTAAAAAGCCTAAATAATTTGCTGTACATCAAGTTCTGCACAGAAAAATGAATACAAATAAAAGGTAAGTAGTAAATCAATAGAAAAGTGATCAAGTAGCATAACAAGTGAGTAGCCTACTTACTTCTCTTTTACTATACCTAGGATAGTGGCATGGTAGCTTACTTATTTCTCTCTTACATTGGCCAGTGGCATGGTAGGCTATATAGTTAGCATTGATCGCTAGCTTGATATTAGAACGACGACCATTGTAGGCTGTGTAGCCAGACCTAGATGTAAATTATACATCAAGCTAGTTGACGTCCGTCACCCTCGGATAAAATGTTTACCCAGACAGACAATCCGTTGAACTTGAAGATCTGAATACAACTTGTACAAGGTTTTTTGAGTATTTTAAGTACAAAATGACTCCACTGAGTTGTTTGTTTTAAATAATGTTAGATTTTTTATCGGCCTTACCAAATACAAAATACAAAAAAAAAAAAATGTGTTTCAAATACAGGTAATGGAGATACTGCCAATCTCTGCGCAACTCAACATAGAATCTTTGATAGATCAACATGATTGCATCAGAAATTTTAACCATTTGTTATGCAAATTCATTAACAAAAAAACTGTCCTACCCATTTCTACAAAAAATACTTTTCTTTTGCCTATTTGTGTACCGGCTATTGTCAAACCTAGTGTGTACTTGCTGTTTTGCTCACATCACCGATGTTACTGCATCAAAGCAGCTTAATCTGTTCAATCGACAGCTCATTGGCCAATTATCTGCTTGTGTTGAAAGGGGGCGGGATTCCTGGGAATTTGTTTGGACCATAAAAGATTTAATCAAAAATAGAATGGCATCATATATCTAAACCTAAAAATTGACGACATCATTCATAAGGGATATCATTTTGGTTCTCCAGATTTTGAAATGAAGGCAATGCTAAATAACCAAGTATAACGCAGTTGTTCTCAATATATGAAAATTAAATAAAGTATTCTCAGGTCACTAGTTGTAATAGATTTTTACACCCGCTTGATTATTGTTTCTTAATGGTTATTTAATAGTTTGAATATTTGCCAAAGTTTAATCTGCTTCTGAACAGTTCCCGTTGATTTATTCATTTATTTTATTCCGACTTGTCTCGCTCTCTGTCCAGTGATATTTTCTGTGTGTGTGTTCATAATTTAGCTACCTTAGTGAGACATTTCCAAATAAATAGTAGTTAATACGGTGAGGTGTTTTAACTCAGTCACATTTGTATCAGAGATGCGTCGTGTTGGACATTGATTCAAGTCTTCGAAAATAGACACTTTGAATAACATTTACATGCACATTCTACATTCAGTGCACTTTTTCATAGTTTGCCTCATGCCTAATTATTTAAAAGATGATACATAAACCCTCAATCTCACATTTTGTTTGTGCTTTGCACTAAAGTAACCCTATGATCAGACTTCAGGTGTGTTTACAATCAAAAAGATTCAGTGTAGACTTTATACAGTGATATTTCCCTTCCTAGAATGAAGACAAAATTATCTAGGCCATTATCATGTAGACATCCTGTTTGCACATACTGTTTTTGCTATAACATGCAACTTCCTTACTAATGTGATTGCTCAACTCATTTAGATTATTCAGAATTTTGTCTGCAGAGCCCTGCAGAACATCACAGGTATTTAAGGTAAATAGTATTCATACAAAAGGGAACTTTTTATGAATTTTACAATGAAAGCAGACTATGATTAATGCTCTAGTCTAAGTTCATGATTTAAAAACATTTCCATATAGCTCCAAAAATCCGATGAATGTACTTGAAGCAAGCCATGACTATTTATGTATAATCTCTGGTTAAAGCAATTAAATTAAAACATTGTCTGTATTTTCAGCAACGATAATTAATATTATTGAATTTGAATGTTTATAATATGAGAAAGCAATGTTTCAAAACTCTCAAAGAGAATCAGTTGCTGGGTTTCACTTCTTCGAAGATATTTGTGTTCATTCCCCAAACAAACTGAGTGGTCTTTAAGCATGACTTTGGTCATAATCAGTTACTCTGCTTTGATCTTCCTGCGGCGTCCTCGGCAGCAGAGAATCTTATAGACTACGACTGAAGCCCAGATAAAGACCCAAATAAGGGCCCCAAATAGAACTGCCACATCCAGGCAGAAGTAGGAATACCAAGGAAGATTAAAACCTGCTGACTGCAGGTGGGCAGCTCCTTTGTTCCGAATGACGTACTCAATCCAAAAGATGGCCGTGTCCATGGGAGACATTGGCCGGTCGCGGTGTAGCTGTGAGAGATGCTGTATGTTGTGGCGGTACGAGGGAGTCTCCAAGATGTCCCTTAGAGCCTCCAGGAAGTCTTCTTTGGTGATTGATTTTGCTTCCACCACCCGAGCTGCCCCGCGTACCTTCAGCCGCAGCAGGTTGTCAAACTGGTCAAAGAGCAGGGGCAGGCCCAGAACAGGAACGGCATGGTAAATGGCCTCGTACATGCCGTTAGTGCCTCCATGGGCTACGAATGCACGAGTCTTGGGGTGTCCCAGGAGGTCTCTCTGGGGCAACCAGTCCATCAGTAGGGTGTTGTTGCCCAGGCATAACGGTTTTCCCCCCCCAAACCTCCACACCACCTTCTGAGGGAGTTCAGCAAAAGCAGCAGCGATGGCCTCTGTGGCCTGGTCATTAATGGCCGATACAAATGTCCCCAGAGACATGACCACCACCCCATGCTCCCCAGAGCTCTGCATGAAGGCCTCCAGCTCAACAGGAAGGGGATTGGATGGTTTACACTGGAACCCCCCTATGTACACCAAGTTGGGCATCGTGGGTCGAGGGAACTCAAAGACAAAATCAGTCCTCACCAGCCAGATATCAGCCGCAAGCTCCAACGACAGCAGGTCAGTCCCAGGAGGGAAATGCCGCTGGAGCAGATCGGCGTAGGGAGGGTTAATGATGAATTGTTGTTCACAAAAACTATAAAGATAATGCAACATATTCTTGGTTCGTTCCAGAAAATCCATCCGATCACGGAGTTCGCTTCCTGACACAGGGACATAGGAGACAGGAGAGGGAGCTATAGTCAAATGGCCCTCCCCATTATTAATCCATCGCACATTGAAAACCATCGGCAGCTTGAGGTAACTACCTAAAATGACCCCTAAAGTCATAGCAGGGTCGGTTAACATTAAGTCATACTTTTCATCATGCAGCTTCTTCATAAACACAGGGTCATCTAGCATTGCAGCAGCTGATCTAGCAAGGATCTCATGGCCATTTCCCAACAAGGATGTGATCAGGTGCTCTTGACAGAAGGTGCCTATAGAGGGCTGAAAATCGCGGCATTCCATAGCATCTTGTAACAGTTTATTGAAGAAGTCTGGGTCCAACTCATCCTCCTGCATGGTCACATTAATAGAGGTATAAATCGAGGAGTTGTTAGGGATGTACCAGCTTTTGGTAGAGCGCAGCACAGTGATGTCGTGGCCTCTGGAGTGCAGCTCTCGGAGGATCTCCTCCATGTTTATCCAGTGGCTGCCGTCAGCGGGCACTACCAGGATCCTGCTGCCCGTGCAACAAGTGGGTCTTAGAAATAGGAAGCAGAGCCCTGCCAGGAATAAAGGGATCACTCCAGACATTTCCTGTAACAAAACAGAAAAGATTATACCAGAACCAAAACCTTAACATGTGTTTCACATATTGTGTAGTCCAAACCTGATTTTGACCAACAAAAGAAAACAGCATGTCGTATTGTGCTGTCGGAATATAACACTCATTGCCAGTAGTTTTTATCAATTTTCCCATGGTTTTTTGGGATCCAGATCAATGATATTCAGTAGGAAAAGGCGGATGCAATCTTATGACTAATGTCTGAAAGGACTTCAGTTGAGTTGGCTTTAACTTGTAAAGTTTTTTATTATATCTATATATGTCATTTACTTATTTTACAGGAGAAAGTCTGTTTTTTCAAATAAGGCTTAGGCTCAACACTGCTTATGCAGTTCAAGCTTGGGTTAGGCTTGTACAGAAACTATGCAAGTTCATGTTGGGTCAGACCAGATGCTTTTTGTCCTGATCACATCTTAAATTGTCATGTCTCCCCTGTACACCGAAGCTGTAAATTGTAAATTAGCCAGAGCCTGACCCTGTATTTATTTTATATAATTAACTAATGACAAGGCTGCAATAGTCTGCACATAAAACAGTGTTCAATGTTTTGGATAGCATGCGTGGATTGGGGGTAGTTTGTGCAAGATGAGATAAAATAAAATAATCCGACAACAGGGAAATTTTTGGGATTACAGCCGCATAGTTGATCTGTTGAAAACAAAGAAAAAGCACAAAACCTGTACAGTAAATAGTGAAACAGTAATCGTAAAGAAAATACAATTGAATCAAATTGAGTAGTTTGATACAGACATGGTGTTGTTTGGAACCAAGTGTTTTTATTTCATAGATATTTCACATTACAATTGGTATTGATACAATATTGCACATTACTGAATGAATGAGTGATATGTTGTTTTTTATATGGTGTATGTGGTCTGTTAGAAGCAGTGTTGGTTGTGCAGTGTTTTAGCAGCAAGAAGGAAGAACGTGAGCGATATCTCACTGTCATTGCGTGTGAAGCCGCTGGTCGCACATCTGCAGTACCTGCTAGTGTGTGGAGGAGATATTGTCCATCAGGGGTGATAGCTTGACTATCATTATCTTCTCTTCCACCACTTGTAACTAGCCAGCATTCCAGGACGCCGCTGGCCGTCTGTTCAGACTGCCGTCTGCAGTCAAATTGCTGCTGTCGCAGCAGACCACTCCATAAAGGCTAGCTGATGCCACCACAGAGCTGAAAAAGATCCTCAGCAGTGTTCCCTGCTCCCCTAAAGACCTGAGTGTCCTCAGCAGAGAGTCGACTGTGTCCCTTTTTAAATGGAGGAGGAGGGTGTCCACCGGAAGTCCACCACCAGCACTGTGGTTTTCCCTCATTTGATCTGCAGGTAGTTCCACTCTTGACAGGCAATGACGTTTTTGTTTGATCGTCTGTATTTCCTGTCATTCCTTTCTGCGATGAGGCCCACAATAGCAGAGATTGCAGGTGGCAGTTTGTAGGTGAGGTCCGAGGTGTGTGGGGTGAAGAGAAATGAGCCAACAGATCCTCTTGGGGCCCACTTCTTGTTGGACAGCAGCCGGCTCACACTTCAAAATTAATTTCAAATCAGTTCATTTTATTTAGTATAGCCCAAAATCGCAAATTACAAATTTGCCTCAGAGGGCTTTATAGTCTGTACACATGCAACGTCCCCAAAATTCTCACATCTGCACAGGAAAACCTCCCCATATTGTTCTCCAGATGCATGGGTCGATTGGTATTGAGGGCACAGGAGAAATCTAAAAACATGGTTATCATAGTGCTTCCACGCAGAAAGTAAATGACAGTGCCATCCACCCCGATGCCAGGTTGGTAGGCGTACTGAAGTGGGCCCTTGGATTGGCTCACCAGTTTGGCGGAGATGGACAAGCACCAGCCTCTCCAGAATCTTCATCAGTTTGAAGGCGTTGGAAGTACAGTGTGTTTGCAGGCTGGAAGGGAGCTGAATGTTGTGGGTGGGGGAGTGTAGTTGAGGTAACACTAGGGGGTGTAGACAATGGGGGTTGCATCAAATCTGATGAAGAATCTGTGTTGGTTGGCTTGTGTCTGATTGTCGGGTTCTGTGTGTGTGCGTGTGTGTGTGTGTGTGTGTGTGTGTGTGTGTATGTGTGTGTGCGCGCGTGTCTGTGTGTGTGTGCCCGCGTTTGTGTGTGTGAGAATTGACGACAGTCTATTAAGTTTGGTATATAGCCATTTCTTTTTTTGTATTTCTTAAAAGCCGATATGTGTGTATGTGTATGTTTTGGGACAATGAAGTCTAATTCATTTAGCCTGATTCCTCATGAAAATGGTTTCCAATCGATAAACTTTAAAAAGACATAAAACAAAACACAAAGAAGGGAGAGGTGGAAAGATGATTCATGTTGTCACAAACCCCTCCTCACTGGTGGGAGGGTGGAGTTGCTGTGCCATTGTCCAACACCTGCACCGCTTGACTACTTTTGACCCGTCTGTTTGCCATCCATATTTTCTTTGTTTCTTGACTCCTTTCCGCTCGCAGGATTATCACCTCAGGAAACCTCTACAACACAATCTCCCTGCACATGGTATCATCACATCACCACTTTCCTGTCTCTACCAGCTTGCCTCATCATTCCTCATCCAAGTCATTAATAAATACTTTATAATACTGTTTTAGTATTGGTTTGACCCTTCAGAACCCTGACACATGTAATTTATTTAAATATTCTGCAAAACCGGACAACTCAAAAGCAGTGTCTGGGGGGACCACTTCATTAGAGGAACGTTATTGTGGTTTGCTGCTACTACTGCTGCAAGTGGACTGTCATTCTGAATGTGGATCCTATACTGTTTGGCCTAATAATGGTATGAAAAAGCATACGAACGCTGTTCCAGTTTAGATTATATTTTAGCTATCTTTCTTTTTTTGATTGCTAGCTGATCTACTAAACGTTGTTAAAATGGTGGATGGTTATGAAATAAAATCATAGGGTTTGGCCTTTCCTAAAGACAAAGTGGAATTCTCACAGTAACAGATCCTTTTTGTTACAATACAAAGTTAGGATATGTACATGGAATAATGCAACATATATATGTTGTTGCGATAATCCTGTATGAAATACTAGTTGTGGTCCAGTGGAATAAAATGTTTTTTAGTATAAGAATTTTGTAAAAAAGTAAATCAAACATCCCCACCTGGTTATTGTTGTATCAAAACCCAGAAGTTTGGCTTGAGCTCCACGTCCTCTGAGAGCCAGGAAACGATGTGAGATCTGTGTTTCCACACAGCTTGAATTCACACACAGGCCCTATTATAACAGGTCAAAGTCCGCTATGTGGGTTACAAGTTAACAACAAAGTTGTGTGTATTGTTTTTAACAACAAAGGTTAAAGGAAGTATGCTAAAGTGCATTTCAATGGATTTGATCTAATAATTTACATTTGTCTGTTTACTCCCGCTCAGCTCCAGATCTCTGGTCCTTTTACGTCTTTAAAGGACAGTTTTCTTGTAGACTCGTCTCACAAGCAATTGAAGTGCTAGTTTATAAATCGGCTTGTTGAGGAAACTTCAGGAACAGCAGTATAACCACTACAGCTTGGACACAGTAAGGGTGTGAGAGAGTGGAGTTGCTGGGAGTTATGGAAGGAGGAAGCCGCAAGGTCACATTGCGAAGGGAATAATAAAGTAAGCATTGCCGATTACAACAACAGCAAGAGGCACAGTTCAACAGTCATATCAGTGAGCTGCAGCCTTTGCCTCCTCTAATCTTCCTCTGTGGAGTTACACAAACCTGAACCGTGGAACAAATTTAGGTAACAGCTGCAGGTTGTGATCAGGCAAAAGCATTCATTGTGCTGTATGCTAGTTCAGTATGCATACTCAGCCTTTATTATAATACTTAGGTAATTGGAATGTGTAAAAAATGAATCTCCATTAACATTTAAATAAAGTTACTAACTACGATTACATTGAAAGGGATGGAATGATTGGGAAATTGTGTGAAATTATAAAGGAAGTCTGGTCCTGGAACCAAAGGGACAGGAGAGAAGATCTTTTGAATCAGCTCATTGTCAAACCATCTACGTGTGTTAGAAGGGGACGGGATTTAATCTGAAGATTTAATCTGAAAGAGAAAGACACGATACATATAAGTATAGAAGTTGACCTCTGTTCTCAGTATATGTGTAATTTATTTATTTCAGACCCAGAGGGATCCATAATACAGTACAAAGCAGACACACATTGTAATAGATACAAAAAACTAAAAAGAAATAAAAAGAATAGCAATACAACGTATAAAACCCTTCAACAGTTCATTGTCTAACATACAGACATGTTCTCCAGTGGTTCCACAACCTGGACGCAAATCTTACAGAACTTTGTCCTGGGTTAGCCAACACAATGATTATGTCATTTTCTGACTCCGATACCCTACCCATAAATCTTTACATCAAGTTGTGCAATACTGCAGTACAGGTAGGTACCCCAACACTAACAAACATCTGGCTTGCACTAGAGTCTCTTGGGACTTTTAGCAGCAGCCTCATGCAGTTATTATAACCCACTATGAGCTTTCTAATGCTGCCTTGCTTATAACGACACCATAGATGGGCAGTATACAATGGTGTACAGTACGTCCTAAAGAGTGAGATCTTCACAGGGACAGAGCACATACTGAACTTACGACTCAACATGTTTGCTTGTGCATACAGTTTATGACGCTGACTATGAATGTCCTTATCATCGGACAGGTCATTTGTAATAATATGGCCCAAATATGTATAATCTGTGCATACCTCAAGTACAGTACCAGACAGAGTGAAGTCTGGAAAAGTCAGACTGTCTATCCTCTCTACTCCTTATGGTCATGATTTTACTCTTTTTTGGATTATACTTTATGTCAAAGTCAGTACCATACTGTGTGCAAATTCTCAGTAGCTGTTGTAAACCAGCACTCTACGGGCTAAAAATGACCAAGTCATCAGCGTACATAAGGTGATTAATTAATGAGTCACCAACCCTACACACTGTACCACAAGCATTTAAAATCACAGACAAATCATTCATGTACACATTAAAAAGAAAAGGAGACAGAATTCCACCCTGGCGAACCCCATTGGTCACTTCAAAGAGAGCCGTTACATTCCCCCATTTAATTCTCATTGTCTGGTGAGAATACCAATATACCAAGATTCGAATCAGAAAACCAGGGACCCCACTCTTAGTCAATTTTTGAAACAATTTTTGATGATTAACACGATCAAATGCTTTAGAGGCATCAATGAAACATAAAAACATTGTGGAATTTCGTCTATTATATTTATCTAAAATTTCCTTTAATGCAAAAATACATAAATCAGTACCATGCTTTCGTTTAAAACCAAACTGATTATCAGTAGACAGGACATATCTCTCAATTCTACACAGTATAACTGTCTCCAGCCCTTTTGACATAACACTGGCCAATGCTATTGGTCTATAATTATCTGAGCGATTCAGCTTCCCCACTTTATCTTTAATAACAGGTACCAGCTCAACAGACTAGAATCAGGTAACTCTCCATGAACAAGAAACCCCGTGTAGCACATAGCCACCAGAGGACACAGTTTATTACTGTCAAATTTAAGATGTTCAGCTGCAATATGATGAATGCACATGGAAATGTGTTAAAGATGTTTTCAGGCGGCCTATTGTTTGTTAATGGTTCTTAATTTCCTCTGCATAAATTTATGAATTGAATATGCTTGTAAACAGTTGTCATTGTTTTCATTCTTTATCATTATCATTATTATAGAGAAATTTACGAATAAAGACTAGTTAATAAGGGAAGGTGTGTGTAGATGTGTGTGTGTGTGTGTGTGTGTGTGTGTGTGTGTGTGTGTGTGTGTGTGTGTATGTGTGTGTGTGTGTGTGAGTTTGTGTGTGTGTGCGCAACAAAAGCGATGTCCCAAATTGGGAAATTTGGAATTTCTTTCAGTCATTTGATTAGTTCATAGTTGGGTCAAGGTTAAGCATTTAGTGATGCTCCATTGCTTGAGCTGGATTAGGCTCAGAGTCGCAGCCTGAGGCTGCTGGTGAATACATGCTTGTACATACTTGCCATGGGGACAACTTAAACTTAAACAACTTAAAAACGGAAAGGCCCAAAACGTTTTCTGAGGTTTTTCCCTTGTAGACCTTTTCAAAACGTTCTCTCACGCACCTTTCCAAAGTTCACCTCAGGCCCAAATATTTTACCAATTCTCCTGGGACGCTTACTGGTCGAAACTTTCCCTTCCTTCAATTGTTCTGTGACATGATATGGCTCATTTCAGTCCTTGTGTTCACACCATTTACTCACATGCCTAGCACGTGCTATTACTGTTAACCAAAACACTTTTATTGTTCATAGATTTATTGTGCTACAGCGTTTAATTCTTTTAATTGTAAATTTATGTTTATTGCCTGATGTCGGATACAGATTTGAATCTCATGTCTGGTATTTAACACTTCTAGGCATGTATTCACCTTGGCAGATACCATGAATCGGACAGAACACACTGAGATTTATTGAGTCAAACTTCAGAAGGACTTCTGTTTTATTGCACTGTTGAAGAGGAGTTGCATTTCATATAAATAATTGGAGCAGAGAGAAAGATTTAGGAAAATAAATGACTATGTTTTACCATAATGGTCTATATTGCACAACTTCCTTTCAGTTAGAATTGGTACAGTTAGTTCTTACACTTTGTAATACACTATAAAAGTGATCTTCACACACCTGCTATTGAAGGGTAGGAAAATAAGTTCTGTGTGTAGGAAAAGTTAAATGTGTCTACAGGCATGTTATGGAGCTTACGCGGTAGTTCTGGAAGGAAGACTTTTTATGCCACGCGTAACTTACAGATGCCTCAGCTGGTCTTCCAGTATTGTGTATACAACCAACAGAGGTGGCGCTGTGGCTCTAAACTAATCATATAGTTGCTGTCAAACCTTTTAAAGGGTTCTCTCTGTTGTTGCTGTCAGGTGTAATTTCAGCACAGAACCGGATGCGACGCTCCTCCACCCCCAGGCACCTCCATTAGCGATCAGCTATCACTTCCCTTCACCATCACCACCAGTGTCTGGACTCAGAGGGATTCTGCTGTGCAAAATCACGGCCCCTTGATCATCCCGGTTAAGGATGGAGTCCAATCGCCAGAGATTGTGCACTATTTCAATGTTATACATGTGTAATAACTGTTTGTCAATTCAGACCTAGTGTCTCCAGGTTTAAATCACTTAACACACCAGAAACAAAGTAGACATTCAGCTGAGAATTATGGGAATGTTAATTGTTATGTAGGTAATCATTTGCAACCTTGTGCTGAAGGAGAAGATAGAAGTTCACCAATGCCAGAATGAACCAATCTCTGGGAACCATAAATTTCTCTACCACCATTTTCATTCAGCAGTTATAGAGCAATCTTCATCTGGACCAAGAGTTCAACACTGTCACCCTCAGACCCACGCAATTATATATTATGAAGAGTTCTTGGTCATCTTGGTCTTTTCATATAACAAGTGAAAATGAACCCATATATATACATATATATATATATATATATATATATATATATATATATATATACTTTGTAAAGATTACAATCACAAGGATCAAAGACATACTACATTGTAAAGATTTCTGTGTGGAATCTGTGTGCAATTTCAGTAACCCCAAAAAACTTTATACAACACAGTTCAGTTTAAAGCAAATCTGTCACCGTTACTTTCTCGTTAATATCTGTCAATGGACGTCACAAAGGTGGAGTGTGTGCTTCTCTTTTCTTTCCCTCATCAGGTAATACATCAACCAGATGCTCAGTGACATTCCACAGAGGCAGACATGCTTGAATCAGCAACGGCTCCCACGCAACGATGATGCTGTGGCGGCTTCAGCAGTTTGTTCTTATCGGACGGCCATGTTGACGAAGGTTATGGGATTCTTCCTTGTCTTGATCTCTCTCGCGATTTGACACCAGGTGCAGGGCCCGCAGCAACAGGAGTACACACAGTCCTTACAGAGTGTACCCTGTGGAGACGGAGACACAGTTGGGAGTGGCAGGGCGGGAAGATAAGAAGAATTAGAGATGCAAAAGTTAAGAAACAAAGGCTTTCTATGTACAAGCAGCGACACCAGGAGCCGAGCAATCAGCCCGTAAGAAACTGGCACGGCACTAGTTTGCTGTAGTACTAACCCGTCCTTATCGCCAGCTGGTCACGTACTGACACTGGGTCAGGGACCCTGGGTGTCCATTTCTAACATTGGTAGTCCAAAGTGTCAAACAACAACGCTGCTTAGTTCAGATTTGGAAAACATTGTGGTCGAGGTAGAAAAAACTTTGTCAAGTGAATGCAATACGCAACGTGGACAATACAAAGACAGCAACACATTGCTGATTTCCCATTAGCCTTCCTCCCTCGCGGCGGGGTGTGGTTAGCTCAGCTGCAGAGGGGAGACGGGGAAGTGGTTCAGGGAACGGTGCCGGCAGGTGATTAATAAGCGCAGCAGAAAGGCATTCTGACTGATTGTCTCCCCTTCATAAACAGCGAGCAGGACTTGGAGCGAGAGAAAGGTGCAGACGCTCAGGGGCGAGGCCGAGGAGCGGAGACAACCAACCAACCAACCAACGAACAAGCAGCGGCAAATAAACAAAAAATAAAGTCTGTTGCTACTTCCACCGGTGTGTCCTACAAAAGAAACCTGCGGAGATAGCTCCAGCCCGGCTGCGTTTACGTTATAAAACTCCCAAAACACATGCTGCGAGAATCCATTACTGAAGCAGATTACTTTATATTGTTGTAAACAAAGACTCAAAAAACATACAGGCTTTGAAGAGGGCCTTGACAAAGTGTATTTTATAATACCGTACTGCTAATTATGGGGCTACAGTCTTTAATCCTGTTACAGTATAACTGATAAACAGTGAAGGCAACAGTATTTTTTAACACAATGCTGCAGAGAAGACATTTTAGTCAGCATATCGTCGATACCTCAATGCCATAGCGTTGGCGCACTGACACCCTGAGTGCTGTGGTTATAGGAGGGATGAGTCCAAAAGCGTCCAGCAGAGGTAAACACAAACACTCCCCGACCTCATGGGTTGTCATGCAGGCGAAGCATGGAAGACACCAAAAGGCAAGGCAGCCTGAGAGAAAGATCTAGTTTAGGATCAACAATGGAAAAGTCTTTTCTAAAGTCACTGAGGTCTTAGCCAAACATATCTTCTTGGGCTGTAAAGTCGCTTAGGGCTGTACACAGACATTATTGTTGAAAAAAATATGTTTTGTTATCTCGTAGCAACTGCATAAAAAAGTGCACTCACACTGCGGCAAGTCTTGGAAGCAATCACAGATGCCAGACGTCCACTGGTTGGATACGCTGGTTGAGATAAAGGGCCTTGGCTGGCGGACGGTTTCAGACATGACTGAAGCTTCTGACAAAAAACACACATTGCAGTAAATCTCAAGACCAAACATTTTTGCTAAATGATACAATAAAACACAGACTTTAGCTTAAAATATTGACACTTTGAAGTTGCATAGGCCTATACATGGAGAAATTGTGTGTTTGTGATCCATTTTCAGAAATTATTCAAACAAGACTGACAGGATTTCTTTAAATTATTTAGTTTTAAATTTTGTTTGTGGTATTTGCCGCAGAACTATTCAGTAGTTTATGAAAGAAAATATACATCGTCAGCTGCTCATTACTTTATGAGATGGGAATCTGTGAAAATATAAGCTTGCTCAGATGGAGGTTAAATTCTATATTCTGTGGTCCTGGTGGAGTCACAAATGTAAAGCCAAGAAGAGAATTACAACCTCAGGAGCACACTAAACTGGTCAGGGCAACGAGAGTTACACATCGCTGTTATTGGGTAAACAACTCACATCTTTTACCTTTCCGGTAACAAGGTGAACAGACAGGTCTGTAGTCCTGCTACCAAATTCTAGGCAGGTTGCAGACTACCTTTACAGCTCCAAGGTCACACAATCCTCCACCTGAAGTCAGAGCCTTGGAAAACACTGCTCAGGTGAGACATTCGTTTCAATAGGTAAGTTATTATCAGTTCTAGTCTTCTTCTTTGCTAAGAAAAGAAAAACACAATTTTGGATACAACACAAGAACTCAGTAGGTTGTCTTACCTCGCTGTGAGCGGCATTCCCGGATGGATTTTCAGGGCCGTGTTACATCTTATAGGCTGGCTGCAGAGCGGTGAACGTGACAGCACAGCACAGGCCGCATGTCACTTACCGGTCTATCAGGTCTGACTTGTGTCAATACCTTCGGCAGTCAGACATCAGATTGTTCTGACTGTCACGCATCCTTCTAAATCTCAGACGTCATTGTGATACAAAGTGTACATTACTCTAGCATTGAAGTGTACAACTCCTCTGTCTGGCCTCACTAAGGTCAGAGAGAAGTCAGTGTGATAAAATGAAAGAGACACGTGGCTCCGTGCCTTTCTTTAAATGCTACAATGTTTCTATATCAATTACTAATTTCCATCCAGAAGAGGCTATATCAGACATTACATTTTAAACATACTGCATTATCATTTTATTTTTTAAGAGTTCCATGTGGTCTAAATTCATGGTCTAAAGTCATATAATCCTTTTAATAATGAAAACACATGCCACAAAAATGGATGATACGTCCTGATTCTATTGGGGACCGTTACGCGGTGCTGAGTCAAATCTAAAACAACTCTAAAACAATTTTCTAATGGTATTCCATCCAGTAGTTCTCAATGTGGGGTTTGACTACCAGCAAGGAGTACAAAAATAAAGGCCATGAAATGATTTTTAGGAGTAGAACGTGGAAATAAATGAATTGTAAACAAATCTACATTCATGTTTTAGACTTTTGTCCAATATTTATTTTGTGAACAATATAATTTTATATAATAATAATCCTTTACCTTTTTTAGGCCAAAGAAGTTCCCGCCACCTTTTTTACCACTGAAAACTTAATGACAGAAGCGCCCCAAATAGACAGTGCTTTGTTTGCACTTCACAGGGCCAAAGTTGTGAATCAGCAGTTAAAACATTTCGTTGTATCAAATATAGAATATATAGAATAAAGGTGGGCCAAATTCATGAGCTAAAGTCGCCCCAAGTCAAATGACTTTTTATCCCTTCATTTGGAGAGAGGCAGATCTTTCCTCTCTGTGGGACAGAGATCGGGTGCCTGCTGAGTTCCCCGAAGCAGCAGGGAGTGGCTGCGGATCAGAGGAAGTGTGATTAAATCAACTCCTGTGCACTGGAGGGCAGGCTGCGAGGGGTGGGGGGGGGTGCACAGAAGACGTGAGTTCTAGAACAAGTGCGCCTCCTGCAGGGACACCAGAGCAGCGTATCTGGCTGAAGAGGAGGAGGCGTGGGATGCTGCTCTTCTCTTCAGCTCTCTGGAGATCTGGAGCCAAGATAGCGGATAGCAGCAGCATCCATACAGGCAGTCGCTCCACACACTCCCCTGTAGGACACATGCAGAGCGGCCTGAACACGGGTGGGAGGCTCGAAACCAAAAGGTGAACATTTGCATTTAGGTCGCAAATACATTTTTACTGATAAACAATGAAGCTTGAAGCCATTTTTTTGTCTGATGTACTATGATACACTTTGTTTTTTTGTGTTAGATTGAGTTAGTTCTAAGAGAAGATACTGTGTTATGTAGTTGTAGTTTATTTGTAGTTTTAACACATTTCTTATGTTTCAACCCACCAAATTAGCAGTAAGGTTGTGCAATAATACGGCAGCTTGAAGTTCACAGAGAGCAGTGCCTTTGTCAGTGTAACAGTAATTATTGAGCTCGACTGCTTCAGTTAATTAATAGCAGCTCCCTGAGGACACTGAGTTTCTTGAAACCAAGTATTTTCTCCTAGCAACAGCAAATAAAGTACAGAACTTGTCAGTAAGGCCATGATTGAAGTTTTAGTGGGTGAGATTTGATAAATCAATAAAGTCTGACACACTAACACCAAGAAGGCAGATCAATGTGGAGCACGTGTCTTCTCAGCAGGGTCACTTTTTATTTCTCTTTCTTACTTTGTCACTGTCAAATCCTAACATTATTCTCACATAATCTGTATATAATATTATTAATATCAATTGCTACATTGCAATCTGTGTATTCAATGTTGAATGTGACCTTACAATTAATAATAGCTAATTTTGAGATAACTCGTTCTGGCTAAAAGCTGTCGAGCGACCAACTAGCAATGCTGTCCCTAGAGACACGCCACTCACTACTGTCTCAGGAAATAGTGACGAGAAGATGTAGAAACACTGTATGCACAGAACAATGATGCGCAACTTTGAATTAATACACAAATACGTAAATTAATCTGACCGAATACACAGTTTTATTCTTGTGACACACCACTCTTGCAGCATGATCTCCTTCCACCCGTGAGAGAGAGTTTACAAAACAGCCTACATGCTGTGACTTGTTTTCATAATAACTTCTGGCACTTTCCTAGCTCATGCGCTGCGGTATTGACAGCTATCCGCAGCCCACTCCACCTCCGAAGAAGCCAACATTACCAACCACCTCCTTCTCTCTGGTGGCAGCGCTCCAGCTTCTGCCCGCCTGGCCTCCTACCACTCCTACCTCCTGCCTTATCTCGTCTTCTCTTCACTGTCCCAGAAACTCCGCGCTTATCCAACATCACACTCTCAAAACTTGGCCCCGGCGTGTGCTTTCGCGTATCGAACATCTGCTCGGTATTTGTTATGTGCGCAGTGACCTGATGGCAGGTATGTGAGTGTTTTGTGTGGACACTGTGGGCCGGCAGCCTGGCCTCCTTAATGCACTCACCGCTACTTGTTTAGTCATCCAGTTTTTTTATGGCTCAAATGTATTGATCTAACAAACATTTCCTAATTTAACTGCATCCCATCAGTTTAATCTGAAATCACTGCACAGACTCTAAAAACACTGTTTGCTTTGCTTCAGTAATATCCTGTGTTGTTATGCACGTCTCTGTGACGCTGCAGCTATTTCCCCCTGTGTGCTGTTATTGTATTTCATCACTAAAGCGTCCTCATGTTCTCAGCAGTAGTCCTAATTATCCAAAGCTCCTGTGGCTCTGTGTATTGAGCTGTGGGCACAGTGTACGCATTCTGCTGCATTGTTCATAACATCACAGTGTCAGGTGACCACTCTACTTGACTGGAAGAATTTAGTCCAAACCGAGCGGGGGTCCGGGGGCCTCCTCCCCCAGGGATTGTTTTTCCCATTTACAGCATGCTCCATTTAGTATGCCATTTGATAATAAAATGCGTAATATATCATTTGGGGAAAAAACTGAAAAAAACGCGAGGTCTGGATCAGGAATATAATTACCCTCGATATATAGATATAAATTCCAATGTGTGCTGCATTACCGGTATTCCGTATCGTTCCCTGACAGACGCCCTCATGGCGAGAGAGGCCGGTGGTACGCAGCCAATACAGTCCAGCAGGGGCAGGCAGGGACAGGAGCCCACAGCACTGGTCACCTTACAGGTAAACACTGGGAGGCAGCAAAGGGCAAAGCAGCCTGCACACACACACACACATGCACACACTAGATCAACTCACCGTACGCAAAATCATCATTCAATTCACTTTCGTAAACCCCCAAATTACAGATTTGCCTCAGAGGGCTTTATAATCTGTACACATGTGACATGCTCTGTCCCGAGAACAACACTTTCAAAAAAAGTTTGAAAAAAAGACACGTGAGGGAGAGCAACAGACGAGGGATTTCTCCCTCAAGAACGGAAGTGCAAATATATGTCATGTGTACAGAACGAACAACAATCCACATCGTGTTTCATCATTTCCCAAAATCCTCTGCGATATCACACCGTACACTGTATCCTGTTTTGGACACTTACAGTCTCCCACGTCTTTATGGCACTCACACAGGCCGGTACTCCATTGACCTTCCTCCTGAACTCTGCTCTCCGGCTGGACCTGAACAACCTGTCGAGACATAGCCGGGCTGGCAATCCACCACCATGAAGGAGAGGTGGGGTTACGTGGTGGTTGTGATGCTCTTCATACTGTTTGTTCACATAACAAACACATCCAACCTAACGCTTGAAAAGCCTCAGTTGCCAATGGGTTCCCCTTATACTTTGTACGTTTAATATACAACAAAGGTCATTGCACTTAATGTTCACGATTTAAAAATCTTCTAATTAAATGAATTAGACCAATTAAGGTTTTATCATCAATTAAATGTAATTAGATGCATTCATCAGTCTTAACTCAGAGCCAATTCATGTGTCTTTAATCACACCTACATGTGAGGAGAATATAAATTTGGTATCTGATTGAAATGGAGCTCTTTTTAACTTACATTGTTTGAAATCAAAAGAGTATATCACCTTTCACATGCCGATGATCTTCTTTGTATGAGAAATACTCAATTTGTAAAGGAAATACAGTCAATATTGTGAAATAGAAGTATGAAGTAGTAAGAAATTGATTTTGTTGAACTATGTAAAAACAACTCAAAATTGTACTATTTGCATTTAAATCCACTACTTAGATGTTAGACACCAACACATCCTGATTTTTTTAAAAACAGATGCAAAATAAATATGTAAATGCTAACAAATTACTAAGTTGCGATCTGATCTACTAGTTTGTATTTGAATGGAAACTAGGCCTGCTGCCATCTGCCCCCTGCAACTTAAAAACCTCTACACATTAACACCAGTTAAAAAAGAGGATATAAGTTAGCACACCTCGTATCCGTGACCCATAATTCTGACCAAAACCAACATCCGCAGGACACCATTATGCAAGTCACAAGATCAGCTCAACAAACCAGTGAGGTGTTTGCTCTGATCCGACGTCCACGCCCCTCGCTCACTGCCAGTTAAACACCGCTGTCTCCTGACCCAAGTTATTCTTTACTCCTCGGCTCCAAACTCGGAGATTAAGACTCCTCCAGAGCGTTCCCTTTTTTCTTTTTGGTACATGGGTGGCTCAGAGCCAGCCTGCTGTACTCGCAAGAATGATTTACTTCAGTGAAGTAGAACTGGAAATATGTAACCAGGCTGTTTTTTTTATTATCAAGAATTCATCACTTACCCGTCTCAGGGTTTAGTTGTCAAAATTCCAGGAAAAACGAGCAGGGGCCACTTTTGTTAAGCACTGTGAGACGTTTACCCTCTTTCTGTCTTCTCAATTTGACGTTCTCGTGTGAGCTTTTTGCTTGCTTGCAGTGTTTTGGGGTAAATATAACATGGTGGGTCAACAAGGCGATGTGCTCCCATGACTGTTACTCTGCTGACCTGTGGTATTTTGTTCCGAGACATCAGAGATAAGTTGATGTCTGAGTGACGCCATTGGAATCTCCTGATCTGTAGCAGTTGATTGAATAGCACAAATAAATCACAGTGTCATCATAGAGCACTTATCAAATGTCATCACTTCATAATAGGAAGCACAGATTCCCTTTTTGGAGCTCTGATACTTTCTGATACTAGGATTCTGTTCAGGGACTTCAAAATAAACGATACATTTTACACAAAAAGTGTCATATTTGTCACCACATTAAATTGTATCATATGTAAGGATTTTATTTTAAGCTGTGCAACATAAAAACAAATTCTCTAATGTAAATATCCAATTTGGCATCGTCCTAAACAGGGAAGGCCCATTGGAGTGAATCCTACTCCTGCCAAGCAAAACCTGACTCCTCTTCCATGCTGGCTGCAGCTGACACAGGTGATTGTACAGATTGACTTGATTCATGGTGGGTGACAGCGTATCACATCCACCCAAAAATATAGCACCTGATCTTTCTCAGTCAAAATATGCAATGACCATTCAATTTCTACAAAAGGAATTGGAAAATTAAGTAAATTATTGCATTTTTTAAAATCATGTATATTATAAATGCTAGACAATCTGAACTTGATATAATCTAGTCATTGTGCTAAAATAAACTAATGTAATCAGCTGACAGCAGCTCCACTTTCACTTTACAGATAGCAAGGTTGTATCGATCTTCTCATCCAACCCTCGCCTGCAAAGTGAAGAAGCATATTTCCCAAAATGTCAAAGTACTGCTAAGCATACACCAACAAAGGAGAAAAACATAATCTCTGTACTAGAAAATGTGTTTATTCACAATATATTTGAGGTCGCAGATATCTATAGTATATTACAAGCACGATGTGATGCATAAAGAAGGTAATTCACGTCATGTTGTGAGGATGTAATGGCGCATGTGATGATTATTTGATTTTGTGTGATGTGATATGATTTCCAATGAGCCGTGTTGAAGGTCCTTCTCTCCGGCTCTCCCTTTGCAATCCACTGATTCAAAGCAGGGAGATGGGAATACTAGGCATCCGTCTGCTGCATGCTGCCTTGATCTTTGGGAACTCTACAAATTGAGAGAAAAAATAGCAACAAATTAATCATCTTTACTGAATATTGAAACAGAAAGAGGTAAAGAAATCGCACAACCTCATACATTGTAAGTTCACTCACTGTGTTGGTTTGTTTTGCTGCAGAAGCACTTGATCAGATCCCTTTTCTCTGTGTCATTTGTGGGAATGTGACACTTTATTCCATTGGCCAAAACTGCAGTAAAATAGAGGTGGTCATTGAATTGAACACGATAGAAACTCACATTGTAACCCCTCACAATGTAATTTCCCTTGGCTGACGGAACCACCTTCACACTACCTGATATAACAATTCTTTTTTGTATTTTAACCGTTTTAAATCTTTAACCGAAATAATTGAAAGAACAGCAGTCACCTCTGCATCTGCACGGGTGGATGTGCCCTTTGAAATTATGAAATCCACTTTTGGGAGCTTCGCACAGTGGAAAAAGACAGACAGCAAGAAATCATTAATGTGAAACAATAATACATTACCTATGAAGCGCTTTGTAAGATTTCCTGTGTTGCGGATGTTGGGGAGAACATAAAATGCATCTGTACAGAAACAATTTAATTGAATTACCTCTGCTGGCGTAGAATGTGTCAATCAGAATGATGAGCAGGAGAGTAACACTTGTGATCCTCGACATGATGGGAGGGTGTTGCTCCGCTACTGACAAAGTGTTGGATTGTTTTACAGAGACTCACCGACAGTTATTTATACCGACCCCGTCCATGTCGGTCTGCAGAGTTTAAGCTACGGGCAGATCGGTCTAGACAAGTCTATGACAGATTTTCTTTTGGGTAATCTCTCAACCGTGCATGGATTCATCCTAACGATGTGATAAATGACACGTTGCCAACAGATATTTATAAACAAAACGTGATTTGGAATGTTTTTACAAACCTGGCTTCGTAACGCTATGCTGAAGTCCAACTAGAAACATTTAATGGCTGTTTTTCACAACTAAAGATTAACCACTGGATTTATACTGAAGTCACAAATTAGACAACTTTAGACTGGACTTTGTGACTGGACTATATATATATATATATATATATATATATATATATACATATATATATATATATATATATATATATATATATATATATATATATATATATATATATATATATATACACCAAGGACTGTACACTTTGCTCAGACCTTCCATCAAATCCAAAGTTACACATGTATGTTGCCTTTGTACCATGAATACCAGATATATTTTCTTTCAACCTATCTGACAGCATGATGCTGACCGCCAGTTGGAACTAAATGTGGAATGAAAAACTCAGTTATGACATTAATGGCATACTGTCTGGTGAGGTGCTCACAACTAACAGTTTAGGTTGACTTTGGCCTTCAGTGCTAATAAATAAATAAATAAATAAATATATAATCATATTCTGAATGTTATTATTACTGTTGGACTAATTAATGTTTAACTGCAAAGTAATAATGCGTGTCTGACACCCTGTTCTTTTGCATTGAATCATACTGGGATGTTTGCTGAAAATGATTGGCTGGCCCTTCCTAAAGAAATTCCACCATCCGCCACTGGGTCTAGTCATTGGCTGGCGCCTTAGTCCCTCTCTCATTACCCAAAGTGCGTAATTACGCACTGCGCCCCGTGGAAACGTTGGCACTCACGCTGTACAATCAGCACGGTCCCTTAACGTTACATACAAACGCGCACTGACGTCCACGTGCCGCTATGAGTCACGACACAATACGAGGAAATGCCCGAGACGAGAGGCCCCTTTAAATGGACGCTTCATCGCTGTAGTGCCGAGAGAGAGGGAGGGAGAGGGGGAGCGGCAGAGAGGGAGAGGGAGAGGGAGAGAGATCTGATCAACAACAACACTGCTCTTCTCTGCCGCCGCTTTTACTGGATTCCGCCGTTTCCCGCGGCCTCCGTGAACAAGAGGTGAGTTCACGTGTCTGGCGTTTAACGCCATTCCCGAAGCAGCGCGCCACACGCGATCTGTTGGTGATGCTTTTAGCTGCCGGCGGTAAAAACCCGTTTACAGCAGTGAATGTATGGAACGGACGCCCCCGCGGGGTGTGCTGCTCAGCCACCGTGACGTCCGGGTTGGCACACGATCCACCTGTTAGTCGCAACAAAGCGCAGAACACGTTGTTTCCGCGGAAGCAGCGGGGAAGTGTTTGTGCGCACTCGCCCGGAGCCCGGCCGCGCTCTGACGCGTCAGAGCTATTTTTTGACGGGACGTCTTTGGTTTCTTTCGCAGGTTACGAGGACTTTCCGTCCGATCGGCAACAGTCCGCGGTGCGTCGTTCGCACGGTCGTCGTGTTGAATGCCATTGCGGAAGTGAGAGGCTTTTGGACACGACGCGAAGCCTTGCGCTGTGCGGACATCTAGCGGCCGGCCGGGAGAAGGCTTCCTCCTCGAGATGTACGGAGCATCGGGTATCCCGGAGCTCATCCGGGCCAGCGGGCCGCCTCGGCAGCCGGGTCCGGCAGGCCAGTACGACCCGGGACACCCCCAGGTGAACGGCGACGGCGGCGGGGGCAACCCTCAGAGACTAGGGCAGAGGGCCCCCAAGCTGGGACAGATTGGTCGAACCAAGAAAGGTGGGGGGAGGTGTTGTTTTCTTTGTTTGGGTCAGGCACACGACAGGGACCATTCAGTGATAACAACACTTTTATTCGGTAAAACATATTAAGTTGATTTGTAAAAACATAGCTCAGAATTGCAACCCTAGTTATTGTACAATTATATTGAGTAATGTGTAAACATGACCTGTAAATCTTACAGCCTCTGAGGCACGGTAAGGTAAAATCTTTACAGAAGTAGTTTGATATTTTCGCGAAGGTTCTTGGTCGCTCTCCCTTGACGACACGTCGACATTATTAACTAGAAGGGGGAGGAAATGCTTATCCCGACCAAGCGAATGAATGTCAAACTATTCCATTGAGTACAAAACCTCTGAATAAAGCCGTTTTCAATTGAATCCCTTCCTGACCTTTGACTTTTCCTCCCCAGTGGACTTGGACGATGAGGACCTGGATGACGTCATGAACAACAACGGGCAGTGTCCCGTATCCCTGTCGCCCATCTCCTAAACTTCACCAAGAAGTGCAATTTAAAAAAAAAAAAAAAAGAAACCTCGCAGGTCCCCGTCAGTGATCTTGGTCTTGATCCTGTCATGTATCTGACCGACGCGTCCGACGGCTCATCCAGGCTCAAAAAAACGCCTCATTTAGCGGCAGTCGAAGCCGAGGCCCTAACTGTACATATTGTTTATTTAACGCCCCTTTGGGGGGACTGTGAGCGGATTGTGTTGCGTCGCTCTCTGCTCTACACCTCGGCAGGCCGTAGATTATCAGGACTTGAGAGAAGGAAGTGTCTTTATTCTTCAGAGCTTCTTAACAAGGGCTATACGTTTCTAAAGTTGCACCGAGCAAATGGTCTTTGGAGGAAAGCAGCTTCTCGCCTGCCTGTTTTCTGGTGAGGGTTTCTGGGCCTGTGGGTTTGAACACAGACCTCCTGATGTCTTAACACACAGGTGAAATGTTACGCTTTGGTTGTGCAATGACTATCGTTCTTTACTCTCACTCCAATGCAAGTGGTGCACTATTCAGTGGGCAAAAGGCAAAAAAAAATGCCTGCTAAATATTTATTGTTTCAAAAAAGGAATGGGAAAAAACACGTTGTTGTGTTGTTATGGCTTCTAAGTGTTTTTTACTTGTTTCTGAACGGAAGTTGCGTCAGACTTCTGTAACTTGAGATTCAATACGTTCCCAAATGGTGCACTTTGTAGGAATGCCTGTTATGTGCCGTGAAATGTTGCAGAATTCTATGCATGGAGTCTGTTAAAGCATCAAAACACGTAACTGGTATCCTGTTAATAAGGGCTAATGTAGAAGAATTTCAAACCGCAGCACCGTTATGCTCTTTAGGTCATGCAGAGTCAACATTTTCCTGAGCTCCTTGTTGGCTCGGCCTGCTGACTCAGCAGTAAAATGTTGTGAACAACAACGGATTTATGGAGGTTGTTGGCTTTCTAAGGCAGGGTTTCCCAGTTTGCAAGGCAACTGTGATAAAACATGTACAGTCGTAGTTCTTTTGATTGAATTGCCAAAAGGCATTTGACGCTGTATTACAACGATGATTGAAATAGATTGGCACGCAAATATATGTCCTAATGAACAACACTTTGTATTGATATTTACATCAGTAATCTGCTTAAGCTACACCCAGATGGTGTCAGGTTTTCTTTTGGGGTTCAAGTGAACTCTTTAAAGATAATACCATCCATTACTTCACAATTACAGTATGACATCATGAAAACAAGCAGCTCTCTATTATTCGTTCTCACTGCTGAGACAATCTTAACACTGAAGCTTTTTGGTGATTTGGGGGATTTGCAGTGGATTTTGTAATGCCATGCTACTGTCGCTGAAGGCTCACGCTGATGTCAGTTACTTAGTTGGCTGTGAAATTGTTACTTGTTGACTTTTACCTCTTTTTGTGTCATGGAAGCACTGCATTTCACAGCCCAAATGACTCAGTGATTGTCTTTGGGATTGTGGCTAACTTTTGCATGGAAATGATTGACTTTTCTTAATGCATCTCCAGAAATTAAAAATGAATCTTTGTGGAATTTGTCGATATAATACGCTTGTTCACGTATGTTTTCCTAAACATTCACATTCACATAATTCACATGAGTTTCTTATCCATAGTCAATGTATAACTGACAATAGACGTTTGGAGAAATATATGAAGAACCAGCATGGGAGCAAAGCAATGTACTGCTCAAAAGTATTATGGACACCTCAAAAACTAATAATAATGTATACACTCTGTGTCACAATCAGTTCACACTTACCTGTGAAACCATGCCAGTCAAGGATGAATTCATCCCTTTAAAAAGTTATTTATCTGATATGTCATTAAGACAGGGTAATATTATCTGCCGCTTCTTCTTCATATAGAAACACAGGAAGCTTTCGCGATTATTCGGAAAAAGACAATATCCATCCTGCGAAAGGAAAGTAACTTTCCCGTTTACATGCAAACTCGATTATCAAAACTATGGGTTAACTCGTCTGACTGATGGCTTTCCTCTTCCGTTCCCTCAACCACCCTCTGGAAAAGGGTTAGAAACACAGTGCCACATCTGGTTGGTTGGTTGTATACACCTGCACACCGCCAATATCAGCTGATAGCACAATGCTGGGAGACTGAGGCATGAATAACTTGCGCCTCGCGTAAAGGGAGTCTTCCTTTCGGAACTACCGCCTAAGCTCCATAATAAAGAATTATAGCGGCATATCCATAATGTCTTCATCAGAGAACGCTCCATTCAGAATTAAGGCCTTTAATCGGAATACACGACAGTTATAAAATCTGGAATATTGTCATATTCGTTTTATGTTTCCAAGGTGACGCTTAATAGAAACGGCAATATCAGCTGCAATTGCCCATGAGCCCGGTGCATGATACCGCCAGTGGGTCACGCTCACGTGCACTAGCATGCTCTAAAATGCCAGCGCTGAAAACAGAGCACGCATGAGAGTGACTTCATTACTTCTCCACATCTTTACATAGCAACCAGTTGTTTGCTGCTATATGAATGATCTTACTGTCATAGAGAGAACCTCTAATGAATAAATGTTAAATGTTTTTTGTCTTGTCCCAAATCGCGATTGGGAGTAGTGTTTTCTCTAAAAGTAAATAATGTTATTGATTCCAAGGAGAGGTTTGAGAACACAGCATTATGTGGAGGCTGATAATAATTTTGGTGTCAGTGTTTGTGTCAAGGAGGAAGAACGACTCATCTACTCAGTTACTGAAAACACCACACAATTAAGAATGTTGCATTATCTTTATTATTTAAGTACTGTTGGACGTGTTAAAAATCCATTCACTTTTCACGATGAGCCAGGTGTATAAAACTATGACATAAAAAACAGCCGATCCTGTTCAGAGCACAACACGTCTTAAGAAAAATATGACTTTAGAAAACTCTGAAAGCTGGAACTGGGCCACAGTGATCTACTTACTGTATAAACCTACACAGGAGCCAAAACCTCATCCGAGGTTTAATCAAAAATAAATAGTGGCAGTTTGATCTTGTAGTGGCTGATATGGAAGCTATTGGAGGGATAATGACACAGTGACTGCATGATAAAATATTTCATATTGGAGCTGGGTTTGTAACAGACAGGTATGAAACGGGCCTGTAGTGAGTATTGTAGTAAAAGGCCTGTGTAATAAGGCCATCCTACACACTGAGCCCTGTGTGAAGTCACACCCTGTTTATCGTAACGTCTATTTTAGAACCACCCACCGTTAAAACAAGACGCTGCATTGACGCCCTGTGTCTGTCGTACTGAGCCCCTGAGGCGCAGCCTGAACACCAAACTGCAGTTGATTACTTTCAATTACATGGCAAACACTTATAGATGCTGGTTCTCTCATGGAGGTGCAAAGATTGGCTCTAATCCACCATTTAGGCTACAACTCAAGAGGATACACCCACAGGGCTTGTATATTAAGTCGGGAATCCAATTACAATGTATTTGTGAAGATCACGTAAACAATTGTGGAATGTGTGGACGGGGTGAGAGACATCATTCATGGAATAATTGAGTGTGCCACATAATAATCGAGGGGTTATCAAAAGTCTGCCTTTGATTATAAAGGGGTTATCAAAAGTCTGCCTTGAGAAAAAGAAAAGAAAATCCCATTTCAGTTTGCCTGTATGAATCACACCTTCATTTTTACTCCTCGCCACGGCTGCAAAAAGGAGGGGGGATCTTTGTCAGCTTCTGTTGGTGTCCCAAGCTGTGTGTGGGGGGCGTTGGGGGGGAAGCACTCTCAGACATATTCTTTAGTGCTGCTCGGCGGACCGGAGCGGGGAGGGGCCATGGACGGGTACTTGGACACTTGTTTCTTTCGTGGACAGGAAGCCGCCAGCATGGCTCCGCCCAGGACATCTAGCAGGGAGCCGCCCCACGCGATGAAGATGGCGGCGCCAAACTCAAACCTGGGCAACACAACATTGTATTGAGTAGTCTTTTTTCAAAAAGATACATTTAAAGGTTCCATATGGAAAATGTGATTTCTCCAATTTAGCAAAGACACCATTTCTATCTCTTCAGTTCAATTAATGATAAAATGTACTCAGGCCTTTTATTTAAAGCGAGGCTATTGCTGAAGAGCAGCCACTGTTGACAGAATTATTGAATATGGGATGCAACTAAATGCTATAATGCCGTGTCAGAGTAGCACAAGTAGAGAACTATGAGAGTCGTGTCAACTGTAGGAATATACTGTAAATCTTAAGCATTATCTACAATCTACAAAAGCCTCCAGAGGCTCCTGGTCAAGTTAAACTGTAGTAAAATAGATTGATCAAGGGTGTTTCATTATTTGTCAAATGAAGAAGAATGTGTATTTTTTGTGGCACAGTGTCAAAATAAGGTTCCGCATTCAAAAAATATCAATAAAGTGACGGTGTTATTAGTCAAATGTAGCCTACTTAAGTTCCAAAAGTTAATATTAAATATTAAAAATGCAGGATGCAGAAGGATGAAGGGATCTTTACATGTCCAACTATAAAGGTCCTTGTGTGTTTGTAGGGGTTACTTACTTGGTGTTGACTGGAGTGTAGGGATTATAGAAAGCCCGGATCACATTATGAGCAAACCAGGAGCACGCTACGATGGCACAAAGCCCTGAGAGGAAGCCAACAACAAAGATCAATCAGTCCATCAGCTCATCATCAAAACCTTAGAGGGTAGAGATGCTTGTAGCTCTTAATAGTCACCAGGCGGCATCCTGTTGACTCTAGCACAATTAGCTTTACGGTTTTATGTTCTCTTCAGAGCCATTTAGATCTCTTATGTTAGAATCAGTGCCAGAAGCACTGAACTAGAAGGGACCAATGACGTCTGCAGGGCTGCAGCAGAGGAGTGGGAGGAAAGCTTTTTGCACGCAAGGAAGTCGACTTCAATTTGGTCACTACCCATTTCTTTTGTATTTTACCATTTCAGCGACACCATTGGTCCACACCGAATGGTCCCAGAGGACGCGTCGCCATACAATTTGGTAAAGCTCTGTTGTGCCCAGTAAATGAATCCCACTGACTTTGGTTATTCCCAAACATTTAGTGCCACGGCAAGGTCAAGGTTATCACTTGAATCAACCATCTCCACATGGACACTAAAAGTTGGATTAGGAAGAATTTTCTATTGACATTCATGGCTTCTAGTTGATGAATCCTCAGGAATCTGTCCGTGCCTAAGTTTGTATATTTCAGTCGCTTTGGGTGACTTCCCTTGTAATACTTCCAGCAATAAAGCATTTGCAAGCAGCTAGTACAGTTCAAAGTTGTCATAAATGTACGGCATTTGCTCAAAGTACCCCAACTATTGCCTCACAGAGGAGCTAGCATGGACCTTTAGTCTAAATGTTGGCTGGGTTTCCGACCTACACACAGTGGCACAGAGGATACTTTAGTGCTAGGGCTTTTTGAATGGTCTGATGAAAATAATCTGATGTTGTTCCTCGCGTAGACCCACTCGCAGAAGCTGTTCCTCCGGCTCTGAGTGGAACAACACCTTCATGTTGGTTTTCCCTTTAATTTCTCATCTATCTGCATGTAACCAATTTCCATTCACAGGGATTGCCGCCGTCAACGTAAGTCATCCTCACCTCCAACTAGCAAGATGATGCCTCCTGTCATGGCGATGCGAGACTTGCGCAGCTTTTCGTTCCCTCCGCAGGTGGTGCACTTCATTCCCATGCAGGCTACACCCAGGCCTGCCACGGACACAATGATGCCAACTATCATCAAGGCACGAGTGGCCTGAAGTGAACCTGGGGCAGACACAGAGGAGGAAAGTGAATAGAGGGGGGAAGGAATATTATGTACGAGAGGAGTACAGGAAAGTGCGCTGGTTGTGTGTGGGGACGCAGTAAACAGACGGCCTTTTGTTCAGCGGAATGTGGGAGCGCAGCTTTAAAACAACAACAAAAGAGATCATATAGAGAGAAATCGCTGACGCAGAAAGTGATAAATGATGAGGAAAGACTAACAAAGTTTCCTTGACCTATAAGGCTTTATGCGTGTGTCCAGAGGTTGTGAATTACACTCTCAGTGGCCTCTCGGGACATTTGGATGTGAGGCTTTCCTGGAAGAGAAACCATGGGATACACATGAACACACAAACAGACAGAAAAACCTCATCTCACACGCTCTGTTTCCCTGTGGCAGATCCTCATCTGTCAGTGGCCCCTTCTTCCCCTTATAAAACCACGAGGAGATGGTCCATCAATCCTTTTGCATCTTTTTTCTCCTTCCCTTTTGTTCAACACAGAGAACCCAGTTTTGGCGCAGTCCAAGTCCTCTCTTTCCCTCCCAGAAACAAACAACTCTCTCTCCTGGAATGGAGTATTTGTTTATTTTTCTGTGGGGTGGAGAGAAAGAGTAGGGGGGCTAGCTCTATGAAACACTGCGACATGGGTGAACTAGAGGGTAGGTTGTACAGTGAACGCAGATGAGGAACAGGATGCACAGTAGCTTTACCACGCTACTCTCACTGCTACTGAGACGTGCAGCTTTGCAGTGGATTTGTTACTGTGGCACCAATAAGGAACAGGAGGAGGTTGCTCATTACAAATACTATATTTATGATACCTGCTGTTGCATTTGCTACAACCGTAAGAAATACTGACATACTGTGTGCCAACATTATTTTAGGAATTCTCGATTCCATGAGCATCACTCCTCGGCCCACTGCGCCCTGTGGCGCCGAAGGGTCCATATTAATGTGATAATTTGGTAAAACTTCATAATCTATTGCTTTTAAATCTGCTCTCATTGTTTCAACTAATATGCAATTCGTTTTAAATTCAATTTTGTAAAAAGAAAACAAACTTAACAGTGTCTGTTGATAACAAGAGATGGCTTTAAATGCTGAACAACAGAGTCGGCGTGTGTGTGTGAAAGCGTGTGTGTGTGATGTACAGCTCTTACTGCAGCACTGACGTTACCATGGTCACTCTTCCGTTGAAAAGAAATACGTTTGGCAGGATCTTTCGTCAGAAGCATCCGCCGTGCGAGTGTTTGTATTATTGGTGTATATTTTATGGAACCGAGAAAGTGTGTCCCCGAAGTTATGAAGTAACACGAATCTGGTTTTGCAATGAAGAAAAAAGAAATAGAAACGTTTCACTGTGACCCATCGAGGTGCCACTCAGGTGCACCGGGTGCGTCTCCAGCGCAAACGGCATGCGTAAAGACACCGTGTGACGCGCAGCACCATCCCACCTGCGGCACTGAACCCACTGGAGACTGACACATCCCTACACGCAGTTGGACTACTCACTGTCGAGCTGCAGGATGGAGTCGTAGATTTTACACTGGACCTGCCCGGTGCTCTGGAAGGCGCAGGACATCCACAGTCCCTGGTACATGGCGACGGCTGTGATGATGTTGTCCCCGATGTACGCAGACATTTTCCACTGCGGCAGAATAGTCCCGATGATTAGTCCTACGATGCCAATTAACGACATGAAGAATCCCAGCAGCTGGATGCCGGAGTTGGCCATCGTTTTTCTGGAAAGGTCTCGTGAAGTCCCGAAATGTGCCTAAATGTTCCCGGGGAACTCTCTGTTAAAAAACCGCGAAGCTCCGGGTGTGCGCCTATTAAAAAACACTTGTGGTGTCCGTGTCTGTCCTGAACTGTGTACCAGGGGTCTTCAGTCGGCAATGGGCGTGCGAGTTGTGGGTGATGGTGTGAAGTGGGTGTGTAGTTATCCCGCCTGTTGATGCATGGAGCTGCGATGCTCTGTGGTCGCTGTTGGGAACTGTTCCCTCAGCTCCAGAAAAGCAACAGGTCGCCTCTCCTCTCAACACCTTCTCTGTAACATACCATGCTTTTTTATTATCTTTGAATGTAGCTCTGCAAGTGTCTGAAAATAGGTACTCAATTTGAATGTAAAACCATTGGAGCTATTTGGAGTTTGGATATTTGCCCGGATATAAACAGCATGGTTTTAATGGGGGAACGAAATACCAGCTTTAATAATGTATAAAACTGAAGTTATATACAGTTTTCTTTTCTTTCTATGTCTGGAACTCACAAGAAAATATTTCATCAAATGTCTCATGATATTCTTTAGTTTTCTTTTCGAAAATTAGTGTTGGTGTGTGTACGTGTGTGTGTGTGTTTGTTTGTGTATGTGTGTGAATACCCGCTGACCCAGATTGATGCTATAACTAAAGTCCCTGCCAAAACACAAATTACTAAACTCCCAACAGCCCTTTTACCCCAGATCGCCAAACACTGGCTCCAAGCAGATGACCTCCCTGTTGTTAGTAAAGTGGTAATGAGGTGAACCGCTGGGTGAGAAACAAAAGAATAACTGTACGGTCACGTGAAGGTGGCAGCAGATATCTTCAGCAGTGGGATATACAAACCCTCTTCCTACTAGCTGAAAAGCTTTCGTTGAATTTAGATATCCAGTGGACCCGGTGGACTTTATAGCTTGAAGTGTTGCAGAGGCCGGCATTGGTGGCCTCTATCATATGGAGTCTAATCCAGATAGGATTCAGCTTTAGATAAGCTCTGCAAAAGGGCTCCTTGGGGAGATCTAGGCTGATGGATCTAGACGTGTCTGTGATTGAAAACATGGATTTTATTTTTAAAGCACAAAAGAGTGTTCTAGGAATATAGATTTACAATCCTACATGTATTTGAAATCCTTTTGTGCTGAGAAATCTGCAGTGAGAAATTGAAAACAATGGTGTTCTGAACGCAAAGGATTGTGGGAAATCCAGTGCACGTCAATATGCAATGTTAAGACGAAAAGGAAGAAAACATCTGTCCTCTTCAGTCATATATGGAAAAGAATGACACGTGTTTCTACTGCCGACTGAATTATTTTATTTATTATTATTTATTATCTGCAGGACATTGAATGAAGTGTGACTTTTTCCACATGCACTGCATTTGCATATTCCACAAAAAAGCAATTGCAGTGCAAAGGCAAACGTCCGGAGAACTGAAATAGTTGATTGTATTTATCAACGCTTTATGTTTTCAGCTTTTTATCATCCACGAATTTAACTGTAGCATTTTACACCTCTTGTTACTGACTAATATTCACAATAGTTATTCCATTAACCCCCTCACGCAATGAATGGGCCAAAACTACGAGACAATGGCACGCATTGTCCAAAGCAGGGGTCAGGCTTTTGGCGCTGCAGTGTGTGTGACTTCATACTGTGACTTAACAACAGTGCAACAGTAATGGAAGAGGAAGTAATAACCCATAAGCCTGCTGGTTATCCCCACTTCCAGGTTGATGGGGATGGGCTCACCTACTGGCTGGGTTTTCTCATTTAGAATGTAATAAAGCTTTACTTTCACAGTTCTGTTACCGTTTTTTTTTTTCTCTTCCTCCACCCCTCGCTTTGCTAATTTTCTCACATTTTTGCCCTCCCTCCCTCCCCACCTACTTACCCCTCTTCTCCCACTATAACTCTTTTCCCCTAGCGTGTCCAGGGTAATAGGCATTTGCTGTTGAGGCCAACAAATGCCCCTTTGTTGCTGTGGATTGACCCCATAGGTCAAGGAATCTGTTTCACTTTGATACAGAGGTTGAGGAAGAGGAGGATGAAAGACTTGTTAGGATCAAGGCAGGATGTGAAAGATGAAGGAAAAGGCGAAAAGGAAAAACAAATGGAAAAAAGGCGAGCACAGGGTGCTGGGTGATAGGTGGAAGAGGAAGATGAGGAAGAGGAAGATCAAGGGGCAGTCCCAGCCCTACCAGTGTTGTTGCCACAGGTAACCTGATTTATCTGAGGTCTATTTGGCTGCCTTTTCCACCCAGGACCTGCATTGCAAAGGACACAAAAAGAACATTGCTCCCCCCCCCCACACTCCCTTTCACTACACCTCTTGTTTTGAAAGCGTAAACACACATTTGTCTTTCTGGTTTAGCCGTTGCTTCACACTCAGTAGGAGCTGGAAAAGAAAACAGCTAAATCAGCCCGAAGAAGGGCACTAACAACATTCTCTCGGGGGCTCTCCCTCCCACTGCTGAGGCCTCCTGGGTCTGAAGTGAGCAAGTAGAGTGCCAATCCAATGATTGAAGTCCTTTAAGTGCCCTTGGAAGTCACTCATGCATGAGCAATCAAACACGCTGGGGCCACGGCTTTTCCCTGAAAAGCTTTTTTGTGCACAAATGAGGGGGATGGCGCCCCTCTCTACATGTCCCCTGTCTTTTCCCCCCTTAGTCTCCTTATGCAACACAACTTAGCCTTTGTGCAGCAGCAGCAGAACGGGACCAAAAGGTTGTGTTCTTGGTCTTGTGAACTTAAGAGCTTGGCAAGTGCTACATGGTAAAAATATATTAAGAGAGTCGGAGACAATCACAGACTCTGTGGCATCTTGCAGCGCCTCAGTAAGCAGGAAAATGGCTACAGTGTAACTGTGGAATGTATTATACTGTAAACCAAACCTCCACAGGAAGCGGTTCCTTTCGTGCCACGGTAGAGGGCCTGTGTTGCGGGGGCACACTCCAGTCCAGCAGGTGGCAGTAAAGCAGCGTAACAATGTCTGACAAAGCAGTGAGTGTTAGGAAAGAAAACAGGAACGTCTTGATTTTGTGGCAAGCCAATTTGTTTTTTTTCCTTCTGATAGTGAGAAGAAAATATAAAAAAGAGTAAAGAGTAAACATAATTTTTGAGCATTTGATGAGAATAGGACCGCGGAAGGAAAAAGAATCAGCACTACTTACAAATGTGGGGCTCAAAGTTTGAGTATGTAGTGCATCTCAATTGTTTTTCATATATGGCAGTGGGTCTACCTGCAAAAGTAGACTGTATGAGTAGCAAATAATTTAAACAAAGACCGATTCACTCCAGCAGATTGATTGAATTATTCCAGCATAGTAACTGTTATGCGTTGTGTCACATTCCGATATGATTCGGGTGCTTGGTGTTTGTTTTCCCATAATTTTGGGAAGGTTTGTCTGAAAGAAATGTTACAAATATCACCGTAATCAAGATCACATTTTTTTCAGTTTCTTTGTTAGCTTCTAGCTGCAATTGATGAGTGTACAAATGCCGTGTTCACAACTTTTGGACATACAATATTTTCTAACAGACACGTTTGCTTTGTAGCCCAGAACGTTGCCCTTCTGTTTACATGCCTATGCTTGTTGAGCAGATGTATTGATGCGGTTTGGCTTTTGTGCACAGTAACCAGCTTAGTTGTTGTCGGGTTGAGTTAGCTTCACTTGCGCAGGTTCACGCGGCCTCCTCCCTATGGGGCGCCGTTTGTAAAATGTTGCACTTTCTAAAATCCTGCGCAGTTTTTCCACATTTAGCATTATCATATGAAAAAAAAAGCATGACAATATTCACATGTCACTTTTTCAAACATTTAGAGAGAAATTGATGTACATTCATGCAATAACTTTTCCGAAGAAGGCCTTAGGTAAGTTGACTTACTTATAGACAAGTTTCCTGAGTGAAATAGGCGGGTCGCCATTGGCCTTTCACTCTGTCAACGACTTCCGGTTGTGTCTGCCAAGCACTTCCGGTTAGCGAGTTAGCGTCTTTTACTGTCTTTGGTTAGCGTGCAGAAAAAGTAAACTATGGATGGTGTTACACGCCGACACGGCTCCGGGACATATTGTGCTGTTCACGGTTGCAACAACTCGTGGCGATTGCTGAATATTTGGTCGGAAGGAGAGTGTTTCACCATCAATCATCTACAAGGCGCTATAGATTTGCACTCAAATACGGAAGGCTTATCATTCGCGGAAGTCAACACAGTCTACTAATTATTACGCAGACCAATGTCAGCATTTTCATAGAAAGAAAAGTAAGTTAATACCTTTATCCATTCCGAAGCTATTAATAGATATGTCAGGGGTGCGCACTTTGACGCTCGTCAGTCGACTTTGAAGGGTTAAAGCATGCTTTTAGTGCAGGCAGGCTAGAGGGGATTACTTTTTCTTTTTATTACTCTTCGTGTTCTGTTATATATTAACACACGGATACATACAAACATCTTAATACAAGCATAAGATGGGCTAACGTACCTTCCAAAGTACGGCGGCTGCATGGCTACAGGTACAGCCTGCAGTCTCCACATCTCCCGTCTTGGTAACCAAAACCCAGGCGTTATGCGCTGAATTGTTAACGGACTGGCTTGGTTAAACATCGGCCTTTAGGTAAATTAAACTGGCCATATCGTGTAAAAGTACACAGCCCACTTTGTCGGAATGGAGGTACTGAAACGCCTCTGAGCTTTTCAGGTAATTAATTGCATTCCCATCCACCGCCATGGAATCAATAAAATAAGAAAAGATCTTGTATGTTGTGATGCTGGGCCATATCGACATCTTGTCCGCCCATGATGTTACCTTACTTGGATGCGGAATGGTCAAAACACCATTTTTAACAAGATTTTCGGTCGAATGTTGCCATTCCAAAGCCATTTTTACACCACTACTCAGCCTGCGCCGGAAGTTCTTGGCAGAAACAGGAAGTAAAGCGGAAGTGCCCAGGAAACTTGTCTATTGAGCTAAAGAGTAGGCTATGGTGGGCAAAAACATTTATAATACTGGCGCTTTTTGCCCCCCTTTACGGGCTGTGGATCCTGGACTATATACTTTCCCATATATTCTAAAACCTTTAAACATCCCTAAATATTTGCACATACTGCACACTGCGCACTGCCCACCATAGCCTACTCTTTAGCTCAATAAGTAAGTTAACTTACCTAAGGCCTTCTTCGGCCAATCTCCTCTGAATCGTGCTGGATGACACACCAAACAGATCCGCGATTTCTCGGGTTGATAGACCGAACAACACAAAGTTAGAAAGCTTGTCGCCAGGAATATCCAGAAGCGGGCGTCCAGCACCTGTGCTTGTAGTACCAGCGCTAATGTTGACTTCATCAACTTGGACCTCTTCCACACGCATGCGGTGCTCAATCAGTCTTAAACAATTCAAAACTTCGTCGTCTATGTATACATCTTGAAGAGCAGTTATCCGACCTAGTATTTCCAAAAAACCCTCAATATGTGTCAAAATCGTATCTGCAGAAAACCAATGTTGATCGATTTGATCTGCTAATGCTAGCATGCTACCTCGGAGCCCACCGATGTCTTCCATTAGCTATCCTTTTTTTGCACACGGCTCTGTTGTCTTTTCTGAATGTGAGATGTAGCCACGCCCCCTGATTTGCATATAAGAACGTGAAATGTAAAACGGCATTATGAAATAAGTCTCTGTAAATGTAAAACGGCATTATGAAATAAAAGACTCTGGAAATGAAAAGTGGCATTATGAAATAAAAGTACCATGAAATGAAAAGTGGCATTATGAAATAAAAGCACCATGAAATGAAACGTGACATTATGAAATAAAGGTACCATGAAATGAAACGTGGCATTATGAAATAAAAGTACCATGAAATGAAAAGTGGCATTATGAAATTAAAGTACCATGAAATAATTAAATGTATTTAATATATATGTATTTATTGCCTCATTTCTTTATTTTATGATGTATTTCAAATGCATATTTCATGTATTTATTAATTTATTTAATTTTGACTAAAACGGCATTCCATAAAATAGAGGCACATTTCATTTTGAAATGCGGTCCGCATGACCGCAGTGGAGAGGGGGTTCACGGCTCTATAACAAGAACTAATTCATCCGGACTTGCCAGCTTGTCCTGCCGAGGCGTGAATTACCGTAATTATTGTAATATTCAGTTGACAAGTCTTAAATGTTAAATGTAGAGCTAAATGTAGACTCTACATTTAACATTTACATTTAACATTTACATTTAACATTTAGATATAACATTTACATTTAGATTTAACATTTAGATTTAACATTCAGATTTACATTTAGATTTAACATTAATATTATTTAACAACTTTGTTCCTGCCAAACATTATCCTTGTAAAAGTTATTGCATGAATGTACACGAATTTCTCTCTAAATGCTATATGTGAATATTGTCGTGCTTTTTTGTTCATATGATAATGCTAAATGAGGAAAAACTGCGAAGGATTTTGGAACGTGCAACATTTTACAAACGGCGCCCCATACCTCCCTGCTTTTCTGTGTGTAGGCGAAGGATCAAAGGAGCTGCACGCTGCAGCGTGATAATGAATCGCCGTACACCGAAGCATGAAAAAGAACTTAAAAGAACTAAAAGCACCGATAACATCGAATCTTATCAATACTCTGATCTTTCGTGATTACTACCCGGGCCTCATTAATGCTCTTTATCGGTACCCATCCTTAGACATACACGTGGGTCCTCTGTATCTGCATACGTTCTACAGTATATTGTTGTTTTCCATTCAAATTGGTGATGTAAAGATGACATTGAACTATATTTTTCATTCCTGATTTTACGATATGTGTGTACACACACACTGTATTTGGCAGGGCGCTCATCTTCTGAATTCACATTATGTTACTGCCCCCTTGTGGCCACAGGCCAACACGTAAGTCATCACTGTTATTGCACAGGACAAGTAAAGAAGGCAAACACTGTCACTCATGAGAAAAATGTATTTTAAACTTTCAGACTGAAAAAAAATCAATTATCACAATGTGTTAAATACATGATTGAGTCAATGTGTGACCACATTTACCTTTTTATAAATCTATACACAACGTCTGTTATTTTGTGGTTTTGTATACATGTTTCTATATTCCATAGGCTCACCACAGAAATATGGAAGAGGTGATTCGTGGATATCTCAGAAGTCACCAATAAGAAGTGAGGTCAAACAATGCATGGCAGCCCGACTGTCTTTGCTTATTGGTGTTTTGTCTTCTAAGGAAAGGGCTCATCGGGCGTGTAGTTGAAACTGGCATCCAAGAACATGGCCAAGGTGCCCAGGGTGGTGATGATGACAAACAACCACAAGAAGAGACGGTCAACCACGAGGGCGATGAACTGCCAGTCCCCTGTTATCTGGAGACAACACACACACACACACACACACACACATACTAGAGCACTTACTGTAAACCCTGAGTCAGCAATGTGCTGCATGTGACAGACAGAATAACGAGCAGCCTGACAGCGCGAGACGTGTTGTGCTCAGTTTCTCACCGTGTCGTCCATGTCCTGCTTCTTCAGCTGCTCCGCCATGTAAGTCACGGCAGAGATGGCTGACTTCAGGTTGGGAGGGAGGATCAGACAGTAGCTGTTAGTGTCCGGAAGCCGCTGGAGCTGCACCGTGCTCTCACATCTAAAACAAAGCAGTGGGGAAGTGGTGGGAAAATGGGAAGTGCTGCAACGAGGAATTATGTTGGATTCAACGTCATTCAAACCAAATGTTTCCTAAATGCCATGTGCTCAATAATACCACTGTTAGAAACGTCCTTTTCCAGAATAATGTCTGGCTTAGCTACACACAGCAGAGTGGTTTGAATCTTCAAATTCCAGAGAATAAATTGTAAAAATGTAAAACTATGCATGGAAAATCCATAAAACATAACAGAAAACAACTGCAGAGGTTCAGCTCTTTAGCTGTAGACTGAACAGTTTATTAACTTCTTAACCAATACTGCTGTGCATTTAATTATGTCTTATTAGTAGGTGCCAACCGAAGAGTCATTCATTGCACCAGATCTACTTCTATCATTATTTAAAATTATTAAACTTTTATAAATCATTAAATTTGATTTATTTTTGTATATAAGTATATGCAAAATAAAAAGAAACGAAAAAACTTGCATATGATTGGTTAAGGTACCAGCTATTTTATCTTTAATAAGTAACTAATTAAAAATGAAAAATTTGTATTCAAAATCACAACATGAGGAAACTAAAAACTTAAAATGGCATGTTGTAAATATTACAAATTATAGGCATTAAGGATGAATAGAAAACGTGCATTAACTGTTATTTTTATGTATTTTTATCCAATGATATTTATTTGGTATTCAGTCTTAGTGTTTTTCAGTGAACAAGAGAATAAACAAATGGACAAAGTAAGAGGATGTTTCCATTCAGCTTTGCAAAAGTAATGTTCATACATGTCCTCTGGAAGTCCAAACAGCCCTCCCAGATGCTCGGTAGGCTCAGATTGATGCTGCAGATGTCACCAGCACAGCTCACCTTTGCTGACCCAAACCCCCGCTGACTGTGTGTGCTCCCTAACTCCTCAACTGTGTGACCTTGTGTGCCCTCTACAAGATCAAGATCACAGGCTGTAGCTGCTCTGCACACTGAGTGACAGCAGCAGCAGTGACACAACACCCGGTCAACATTCATGTGATGCAGTGACCTCTGACCCCGTCATTCTAAGCCCTTGCACAGCTGTTCCATGAAGCAAAACATTTGAGTAGTGAGGTCTGAAAGGCAGCGTTCTTGTAGTGCCTTCGTGCTTCTGTGGATACAGTAACTGCACGACCATAAATAAATCACCTTGAAATTATATCTTAGGCATTAAAAAAAAAAACTCCACATTTATGTATCCTTGAAGTTCAAAGAAAATATGCATATTTGTTTGTTCTAATACTTCAGGCCAGGTCACCGACCACGTTGTTAAGCAAAAGCTTGAAGTGACAATTCATCTTCCTCCATCCCATTCACCCCTCACCGCTTGTAAAACTTGGATATATTATGCATTTGAGGCTGAAAAATGTGTCTCTAGTTTTTACAATGGTAAGTTTTCACATTTATTTTTTGGGAAATTACTGTATTTTCAAATTAGATTTACTAGTTTATGCAAACAAGGTTTTTTCGCACTGCGCTTAACACAATTTAACTGAATACAAACATAGGTAATACACATAATGACAGGATCAGTAAGAACTAACACACAAGTTGTTATGGTTGACTGAACGATTCATCAGAAATGTAACATACAAGTAAGTAAGATAAGCGGTCAGCATGCTACAATATAATTTGCCTTGTTTGGCAAAAAGCTATAATTTCAAAATGAAAACAGATTTTTAGAAACTAGGAATTGACCCTCTTAACAGGTGCTCATCATTGGCAGTGGTGATTGTTTTTTTATTTTTATTTAAAATATGTTAACCAATTAATTAATCAAAATATGTGTTGAATTGCCCTAATTTGTGTTGCAAAGGGCTGAGGGGCATAGTAGTGAAGGGGGTGTATGTTCCAGCTAAAGGTCTGCCACCTACACCATCGGGGAATCAAGCTCATCGCGATCAGGTGTGCCAGGAGACACACCTGGACCTCCTCATCAAGGGGGGTACAAAAAGAAGGAGTAGCGAGAAGACACAGGTTGGGAGAGGACTCCGGCAAGCCGGATAGCGGCCCGGCTTGCGTAAAGTTGAGTTGGTTTTGACGAACGCGGAAGATACCTGTAGTTATTTGTTTGTTTCTTTATTTTGTTGGATCAAATTGCTCCAATGACATCCTCTGCCTTTTGACTGCTGCGCTGCCAGTGATTCCGAATCCCCTGTGCCATCCTGTTACAGTGACGAAAATTCATTTTTGCATAAATATTGACACACCCCACCCTTTAAAGTCAGTCAGTCATCAAAGCCACTTATCCTTCACACAGGGGGGTTGGAGTCAATCCCAGCCAACACCCTGGATAGGTCGCCAATCAATTGCCAGGCTGACCGAGACAAACGTTCAATTTGAAGTCACAAATTAACTTAATCCCTGGAGCTGGTCTTTGGACTGTGGGAGGAAGCCGGTACCAAGAGAGCCCACGCAGACACGGGGAGAACGTGCTCTTCAGCAACAGGCCATGGAAGCCTTTATAGGTAGAAGGGAACTTACTTAAAGAACATTTATTAACAGAAAAAGTTCAATGACAAGGTGAATATTCTGGCCTCAATCCAATGGAGATTTGTGGCTGGACTTGAAGAGCTGTATACCATCCCCAAGCAGCCTGATAGAGCTATTTTGCATGGAAGAATGGAGAGGCCTGATTGAGAAATATCCGCGCAGACTCTGTGCTGTGACTGCAGTCTACTAAATAGTGACTTGAGGGGTGTGAATATTTATGAAATAATTTACCGTACCTTTATTTAATTTAATTTATTATGTAAAGATATATTTTAAAGGGGTTTGCAAATTATTGTCAACATGATCTATCTGATGATTTAATATATAAAAGCAGCAAAAGGCTGAAACATCCAAGGGCTGGAATGAGTGGGGGGGTAATACTTTGTAAAGGCACTACGTATTTGTAAGAATTATATGTTCCCGTCCAATACAGTTTTCTATATTTTTAAGATATATTTCAGGCTTTAAAACATGTTGCCTTCTTTTAAGTCAAGGTCAGTCATGGAAAAACATTAGAGGCCGGTACACTTTGTGTGTGTCACCTCTTCCACACTGCACCTGTCTGAGTGGCACGTCTGCAGTCCATGCAGTGGATGCATGTAGTGTAAATAGGGTGTGCATCACGTTCATAAAGTGCAGAACGTCCGTCAGCAGAGAAGGAAAGGCGTCGGCGAAGGAGCAGGACAAGTTATTAGAGTCACATGGAGACAGTGTGACAGCAGATGGATTGCAGGACAATAAAAAGCAGCGACCACAGAACTCCTGCAGGAATGGTTGTGTGTGTGTGTGTGACCACAGCTCAGGGCTGGCGGTTTACATGTTGCATGCCATCCACATTCCACAGTTTGTATTCATTACTGCAGATCCATGGTGCCCCTCCCCATCTGACACAAACACTTTGTGTATACATTTACATGTGGGCATTGAGTACAACATTCCTAAAATGAACGGACATAAAACACCCGTGGATGACGTAATGCGGAAATAAGGTCTGTTGCGCACACACACTGCAAACTGTGTCAGAGGACAGAACCTGGCTTCTAACTAAGTCTCTGACAGACCTAGAAAATGGGTTTCCAGCTGAAAATGCAGTAGAATGCTGAAAGCTAAAAGCTGAAATGAATTTCAAAGAATGGCTGAAAATACTGAAATGACAAAATACCGGCAAGCTGAAATGCATTCCCAAATATTTGCTGAGACACAGCAGAAATAAGAAAAGCTTAAATGGATTTTTTTTTAAATGCTGAAAATACAGAAATGAGAACTTTGCAATATACACCCATTAAAAAGAAAAAATAGCTCCGTCATGTGACTCCACTAATCAGCTAATACCAATCACCTGTGTCAGAGTGCATGCGCGTATCTGAACTGTGAAGGCGCAGCTGCCACGTTCCCGCTGATCAAAGGCACACGCGTCCACGCCCACGGATTACGTCCACGCGTCAAACAAGTAGCCTACTCTTAGACGCAAAACTAAGTCGATCCAAAAATGAAGCAATGAAGACTGAAATTTGTGGCACACCTGACAAAATATTATATCATGACTGAAAAGTCATCGCACCCCTCTCCTGAAGGAGTAAAATATTTTAAAAGCTGAACAGTTTTAATAGCTGTAAATCGAAAGGGACTGAAAGATGCATTCCAGCAATAACAAGACAAAGACGGATAAGCGAAGGGAAAGACTGTACATCACGGACCAGTGACCATGTTGTCCAAATTAAAAAACGTCAAAAACATCCTCTGGCCCGATCACTCGGCGCCGGCCTTCCCCTTCCACTCGTGTGCCTGTATCTATTGCTCCCACCTCCTTCCACCTCCTTTCTGCAGGATTAACCCCTAATGTCCAGACCAAAACAGAGACTTAGTGGCTGGCGACAGTGGACGCAGGTGTGGGGCTTAGCCGGGGCTAAATATGACGCCTTTGGAACGGGATGAGAGATGCGGACCAAGGGGCGTGCTTCAGGGGGCCGTGGAGGCGTTTCTGGAGCCAGCGCTGGGTGGCGGGTCAACATGGTTAGAGTGACAATCCAGTAAGCAACACATTATTGTGATTTATTTGGAACAATATTCACCTCCCTAGAATTTGCTTATTTAACACAGCACATGGATACGCGCAGTCTCAGGTGAAAAATATATTAGCAATAAAACCCAAAGTGAAATCACTGTTTTTGTTAGTGTTCTTTTGTAAGTTATTGTTATCACATACAGTTTTAGCACTTGTCATTTAAATAAATACATACATACATAACATTAATACTGATATTGTTAAGATTATTTTTAAATAAAAATTGCCATAACGTGTATTTGAGATGTTTTAAATGTTAGACTAGCCTATATGCAAACTCTTGCCTGTTCATTTTGTACTATTGTAAGGATATGTTATCATTATGTCATCATTGATATTATTGACAATCGTAATAATAGTCTATATTTGATTTAGTGAATAGTGTAACATGAATTAATGCAGAGATCAATAAGGTATTTTATTGCATTTACTTGCCCTCTGCCAGATTGTCTTGTGTGTATGCCAAGTTTTCCAGCGTTTCTCGATTAACCTGATATCCCGTCCTGACTTAGCCTCCCTTTTTTGACCACAAACTCTCCGCCTGCCTCTTTTCGGATTCGTTCACCTGTCTGATTGCCATCCTGGTTCTGAACCCCGCCCATTCTCGTTTACGGATTCCCCGCCTGCCCCTCTGTGACCCTGACTGAATTAGTAAAGAACTTGGATTTCTGATTGGATTTCTGTCTCAGAGTTGTGCTTTTGGGGTCCACTACCTGTAACCCTTACAGGCTTGGGGCCAGCGTCTCTCGGTTGGACACAAACTAACTTACAGGCGTTCAGTCTCAGCTGTGTGAGTGTCTCCGGTGAGCGGCCATTTAATAAAGTGTATTCATGCTGTGGCATCTGCTCGCGCGAATAATTCGCTTTGCATTTGGTGCTAATGTACCATTAGGGTGGAGTTCTCGTAAGTTTACCCAAGTGCTTTCCTGTGTTATTTTTAGCCTCCGCTCTGTGATGACGTGTAAAAATAAAATCTGAGAGAGCAATGGCCGTTGTTATGGCGTAACACCGGTATGAACGGTACATGAGATATTTATACCGGACGGAAATCTTATACCGGTATACAGCTTGAACCGGTATACCGCTCAGCCCTACTTCCAGCACAACTCTGTGTCATGCCGTCTAAAAAAGTTCTCTGATGACACGGTCGGGAGGTGAACAATTCGTTCATCATCATAGTAGATAGTTTATTTATATTTTGGATAGACAATCTATGTCTAAACTATATCTAGTTAAGTATGTAACTTTGTTAATAAGTGTATTAAGTAGTTCAAAAACCTCCACTGTTACCAGCTGCAACATCAAAGTGATCAAAACATTAATTCATCAATAATTATTATCCAATGGTTTCAGCCTACCATAAATATATGATTTTGATCATTCTGCAAAGTGAATAGGGATCATTTTTGCTTCAGCAAAGAAAAGGGTAAAAAATAACTGCTTTCCATTTATTAAGTTATTAAGTTCACACGCTGTGTGTGTGTGTATACATATATCGTTGCTCCAAATACTTTTGTTACTGTCACTTTAGGCTTTTCTACCCGTGTTGTGTGTAGTGCTACAGCCAAGACCTGTTGTCATTATAGCCTCAGTAGTTGCGGGTTTTATAATAACATTAAATTGTCTCATTTTATTCAAGGTCATCACAAACCAAAAGACAGTGGAACGAAGATCAAATCCTTTTGAAAAAAAAACGTAATGGACCATTGCAACCTTGGCAAGGTTTCTGGGAGGGCCAGATGCCTGTAATGTATCTAGACATCACCCCTTGCCCTTGTAGAAAGCAGTTCTGAGAGTGCTTTCGGGAAAAAATGTACCCTGCCTTGAATATCATATCTTGTTGGTTTAAGACCCATTCTGAACACTGTCCCCTGGTGGTGGTTTGTAATATGACATATGGCCATGTACGTCTCCACTGGGATTTTCCGGTGGTTTCACACTGATTCAAATTTTAATCAGTGTGAAATCAACAGTGACAATTACATTAGCTTACAAAAAGGCCAGTGATTTCTACATGTTAGATGGGAGCCTTTGCTTTTTTACGGTATCTGCAGGTGGAGAGTTTCACCCAAACTATTCAGATCCGGGACACACACTGTTGAATAATATGTATTAATACCCCTAAATGTTACATGCTGTCCCCTTTTAGATGTGATGATCTAAATACCCATGCTCTGGTTCAACTCCCAATTCCATAAACTTAAAACAACAAAATAAAAGACATCCTGTGTAGACGCTACCTAATTAACAGTCAATCCAATCACTCTGCCAAGAGGCTTGTTGGAGCGTTTGGTTCAGTTACAATCATTCAGTCGTGGCCACCCATCAAATCATTCTTTACTGTCACTCTGGATTGTGGTGAACCAACTTATGACAGGCCAACGTTGTTTTTTTCGCTTATTGTTAATACGTAACAAAAATCCCAAATGACAGTGCACTTATCATTGAATAAATACCCCTTGAAACATCCTATACATGTTGGACCAATAGTAAAACAGAATACTAACATATATAGTTATGAAGGGCAGCTTTTGGCATTTGGCAGAATCATTAAACCCTCTTTTCAATCGTCAGAGTACCTTTCATGCGGCTGTATTAAATATGCAATGCACATACTGGTACCGTCTTAACAAATAGTCTGAGCTGCCGTTGTGATGGCTGTATTTCTGCCAACTGCACAGTGTACCTTAATATAGTAGCGAGCCTGGCATCAGACACAACATTCACACTTTGACACTCTCTAAAAAGAAGATTCATGCCCGTGCTGGATCTTATTAACATTAATAGAAATGGCTTTCTGCTAGAGTCACGTCAGGATCGACACATCTTAGCAGTGGAAAGGGGGCAGAATCAGGATTAATGGCTCGGATTACTTTTATTTGAGGTCTGTGGTGTTTAACAGTCTTGACAGGTGAGAATATAGGCACTAGAACCTCTTTGGCAGGTAATGTCTTTCAATAACTCAGCCCCAGAGCCTTGTTCATCTTCGGAGCCTTTTCACATTCTTTTTTTTTTGGTTTATTAAACAGATGTGATTTTCTTTGCGCGAACAAGAAATTATGAATAAATGTGACATATTTATTGTAGTGCTTTTGCGAAGGCAGAACAAAATGCATTTTATTATTGCATGCTGAAGTCATTCTGTCCAACTTGGTCTAAGGCGTCTGAGAGCTTCAATATAAGCAGCACACTATTATTCCAGTTGAAATGTGGGACGACTCCCACTCTACGTCACAAGATGTTTTCTAACAGTAATGGGAAGCCTCATTTTGTTTTGACAGTAAGTTCTAAGATACTTTCACAAGTGGATATCAGTTACAAAAAATCCCGTGACAAGAAGAGTAACAAAAAAGAAGACTGAACACTGATTGATCTGTTTCCAATGTACTTTTCATTTAGATGAAATGGGACACCGTTCTGTTCCGTGGACTCACTTACCGGCCTCTCCACGGAGCGACGAGGTCAGGGTTGATCTTTCGGAAGAAGTACTCTCCTCCAGGCTGCCTGCCATTGAGGCCTCGGATGGGCGAGTCCTCACTAGACTCCTCCTCTAACAGAGGCTCCTCTGGGTTGGGCCTCGTCATGCCAATGTACTTGGGCAGGAAGTGAATAAACACCTGTACATCAGAGGTAAGTAAATCAGCAAAATCAGGTTTTTACAAAAAACTGAGGGAATTGGTTAAACCCAGCCACACCTTTCGGACCCAGGTCGGCATGATGTGTGTGCTGGGCGTTCTGTGGTGCAGGTTGAGGACAACTACGCTTAGGATGACAGAGAACGTGACCAGGATCATGGTGAACAACACGTAGTTGACAATAATTGGGATGCCGAGGGAAGTCTCTGGGACCCTGTCAGCCAGCAGAAGCATGAAAACAGTCAGAGCGATGAGGACAGAAATGGAGAGAGTCATCTTCTCTCCTGCAGACAAACAGAGTTCAGAAGAATTCGTTAGAACGGTGAAGCAGCAAATCTTACACTGCTGGTTTCTGTTCCATGTTGCCGAGGGCAGACTTTAAGACATTTTGCAGAGGCAATTGATGACTTTGCTTTGCTTATTGCATATTTTCCCATGCTATGTCTGAAATTATAAATTACAGCCACAACAAGACCACAGACATAGTAGATTCCTTGTTGAGGTCACTAAAATATAAAGTAATGCCTTCAAAGTCTGCCCTGCCTCATGAGGCTGCCTGTAATAGACACTGTGTCAAGGGGCACATTTCATCTTGGTGGTGATGTGAAGTCACAACATCAGACCCGGTCAGATGTGCTGACCTGCTCCAGGAGGCAGGTAGAAGACAAATATGGCCAACACGCTGGTGAGGACGCAGGGCAGGATGATGTTGATGATGTAGAAGAGAGGCTTCCTCTGTATGATGAGGTAGAAGGTGATGTCCTCATACAGGTCCTCCTTAATGTTCTTTCTGGAGGGTTTGTGACAGATGGCCCATTCTCCGTTTTCTGAGGAGGAATAGACACATGGGAAGGTCAAACATACAAAATCTTCGGATTATTACAAACATTTAGTGCATGCATCAAGACAATGACAAAAACAGGGCTGTGGCTTCCGTGTGAATTACATGCAGGCACCCACCAGTGAAAGCATTCTCGTCTATAACAATCTCCTGAATCTCTTTGCCCTCATCGTCCAGAAAGTACTGCAGCTCCACCTCGGAGGCGTCATAGGTGTACGAGCGGAAAATCATGCTGCAATTCTGCCAATCAAATGGGAAGTACGACACCTGGGGGAGTGGAAATTAATTAGTGGAAAAACTCTGGATGATGGTTTGTAAAAGTATGAGACAAAGATGTTTTTGTAACAGTTTAACAGTGGGACAAGTACCTCGATAGAGCAGGAGCTTCGGTAGATGGCGGGCGGGAGCCAGTTGACTGTCCCATCGCTGTAGACCAAGACGTTGACGTAGAGAGCCACGTCGAACTGACCGTCATTACTGTGGGGAGAGACAGCAGACATGCTAATGGAACGATTCAGGGCATTCATGTAGATATGAACATACACAAACATGTTAAATATAAAATGAAATATTATCATGTTAGTATTTCACTTGTAAATAACAGGCATATGTTACACACAGTTATAGTTACAGATTGTCTCCGCTTTCACTTATATTTTATGTGTAATTGCTTTGCCTAAAAATAGACAAAGGTTTGCAATATCTACAGATATTACTATTTTATTTGTATCTTGAAATATTTTGGCCACAATTCTATGTGGTGATGATCTAATATTGTGAAAGCCCCATAAATCCTGCACACTGGTGCTTTAAGTATTTCCATCTGGACGGTGGACGAGGGGCGGAGCGACTGTCATTGATGTCTCGAGAGACACACTGCTACTGTATGTTTGCATTGCTGGAAAATTCTCTGAGTGACTGAGCCATGATATGGACGACTATGCGACTGAAAAGGCACTCACTTGTTGATGAGGTAGATGTCTGGACGCCAGACTTTGATGGCAGGAATCCTCAAAACTTGAATGTTGTCAAAGTCCTCTGGGTTCCATGATAACCTGTAGTCTGTCCACGCCTGGCAAGGAAGGAAGGCGGTAGAAGCCGGAGGGAGTGGAGAGCGTGACAAAAGACACAAAGGGACAGTGAATGATAGAAATAGTAGTACGGTGCCCCGATGTCTCCGTCATCCACATCCTAGTGCGTCCTGTCTTTGCTGCGCCATTTAAATCTCAATGACCGCGGCCACAAACATCCATGAACTCCAGTTAGTGAGGGAGAGGGACAGAAATGAAGGCGTGAAAGGGCTAGAAATGATTTGTGGCTAGAAAAGGCAAGACAAGTCCCTTTGAGGACAGAATGTTTTCATCCCCATACCAGGTTCATGAACACGTTGGTTGTCATCTCTTCGTTCTTCTCGTTCTGCAGCGAGAGAGAGAGAAACGTGTTTTTGTTGCCACTGGATCTTCTTCCTGTATCTGACAGTGCTGTTACTTTCAATCCTGTTCTATGGAAACTAATTGTGTATATGCAGCTAGCAGGGATCTGGCCAGCGTTTGTGTGTGTGTGTGTGTGTGTGTGTATTTACCAGGCTGACGAGCTGTGAGAGGGTCATCCCCACTCGAACCATCACCTTCTCCTCCCAGTAGGCAGCTGGCCTGACTTTCATGTTGTAGTTCTCAAAGAGCTTTTGATGGAGCCTCCGCTCCGTCTCTGAGGCTCCTGAATAAAAAGGGCCGGTGCAAAGAGACACAGACGATGAGGGGGAATAAATAAAAAATAAAAAAAGAGTCCACAGCCCCCAGTGGCTGTAAAAATGAAGGGCAATAAAGATATTGGAAGAATAACCTAGTAAGGGAAGTTTACTAGTTTCTGGGCTTCCTTTTTTGTTGTTGCTTTGTTTTGTTTGAAATGGAACATCTTGTATGTTAATTATATAAAAACTGACTTCCTTTTAGGGAACATATTTGTAAAGTGGCTACGGGTTCAATTCCCTCTGGGATGATGCCTGCTAAAAATATACTGTGACTGATTCATATTGTAATAGTGTCACGCACATAACTCAGTGTAATATTGCATCTAATATTGCTTTCTGATACGGAAACACTGGAGGTGGGTGAAAGAGAGAAATGTGTCCAGTAGGATTGTGGTCACCTCCTCAGCAGAATGTGGTATTTAGCACTCCTCTTCCAAAGATGTGTGTGTTTGTGGCCTGATGATGATGGACCGTCACATGTGAGAAAACAACATGTGGAGAAGGACAGACGGGACATGCGGTGGAAGCAGTCAGCAGGGCAGGTGCTGCTGGCGTACGGTGGGCAGCAAAGGTGACTGAGCTAATGTAATTGATATGCAGCAGGGGGCCGGGATCAAAGGCAAGTCTCGCATACCGGCTCTATCAGGGACAGAAATAGACTGATTAACAAACAATGGTGCTCTAATATGGTTCATTATATGTTCCATAATAAGGTGGTCTTGTTTTTTTTTTAGCTGATCAAGTCAAACATCTTTTACAGACTTCTCCCCTTCTCTATATGTTGTTGGTGTAATACAGTTATACAATCAGCCACCGACATAGGGGAGCAATGCCCAATAAGCCCCCTGGTGAGGTCAACAACCTGGGCTTTTCCTTTACACTCCCACTAAAGGGTCGAAAAGTCAAAGTCAAAGCCCATCAGCTGATCTCGGATACAAACCAGTCACCCAAAATCAATTCTAATTATGATTTTATCCACCAGTAAAAACCAAATTGGGGAGGTAGAATCAATAACAGTTTAACTGAGCTGGCAGTTGAGTGCAGTGGGATGTCAAACGCTTGTTATCAGGTCAGATTACTATAGCTAGCTCTAGTGGCAAAGTACGGTCATTTTCAAATGTATTCTTGAAAACAGAGGTGGAAAAGATTCTTCTCAGGACACCCAAACAGGAAATGGGTAGAGGTGACGCCAGGTAGCCAACAAGCGCAGTGCACTTCCCAAAAGGGACAAAAGTCAATGCCAGAGAGGAATATCTATGTCCTTATGTACGTCTCACTTCAAAAGACACAGTCCAGTATGTTTGTGTTTGTTAGCTGCTGATATTAGTGCCAACTAATCCTACATGCTTTACATCCAAATTCACAGGGAAATCCACACCAGCAGTCCTTACCAGCAAAGCCGACACAAAGGCAGCTGCATCCGATGATGAATAAGTTCATCCTGGCATGAATGATCACGTTCATCTTCAGTTGTCCACTCATGCAGGTCATGACATCTTATACTTTTACGTCCAGTCAAAACCCCCACTTTCTGCTGTATCGGCAGTTTAGAATCTCGTTGGGTTCCAAAAAGACACACCTGTCGGCCTCTTAGCTACATGCACACCACCATTTGGCTCGTTGGCACCTCCAGCTGTGTTCAGCTCTGCTCTGCCTCTGCTGTCCCTTGTCGCATGGGTGAAACCGCGGCCTGATAAGATGCACATGCAGGGAGTGTTTGGACCAGGAGGCCTGTGGGGCGAAGCACCTGTTGGTGTTCGCCAATCTGTGGTGAGCAGTGTTGGGAGGGTGGGCGGGAGGTAGAGGAGGTGGGACGGGGTGAAGGAATGTCAATGAGCTATGACAATGGAGATATTTTAGGGGGGAGAACCAATGGGCGGAGTTGACTTTCTCTGGCTAAAGAATGGTTGGAGGCGGTTTGGGACTGAAGTGGTCGATAGCTGCTCTCCTTACTTATTTCACCTTTGATGCCTTTTTCATCTTATAATTGACCTCTCACCCTATTTTTTCCTGTTATATCAAACTGTTTTGCAAAACACCCCAGAAAAAATCCAAATTGAGTCAATGGCTTGTGGGTTTGATTGTCAGTAGTTTACAGGAAGAACTCTTCCTCCAATTTCAAGTCCTTTTTATAAGGCTTTTAATAAGTATTAGTGCTAGATAAAATGATACCACAACAGATAACAGTACCATTTAAATGATACAAATACCAATAGAATACTGGCTACTTTGAAACCTCTTCTGTTATGGAGATTGTGCTGGGGTGCCTCCCAACACGGAGAAGACTCCAGGAGAAAGTCAGTTACTCCAGGAGAGCTGGACAGGGGCATAGAAGGTCCTCAACCCATCAGCAGGACCGATTGATGCTTTGTGCAAAAAGGAACAAACATTCTGTAAGGCTCGCTGCCCGAGCCTTACAGAATGACCTCCGGCAGGCCACTGGTCTGAATGTCTCCGCCCAAACAATCAGAAACAGACTTCACGTGGTTGGCCTCGAGGCGTGACGTCCTCTAGTGTACCATGTGCTGTAGACATGTTCAGGGAGTTATGGTCACTATGGGGAGAATTTTAAGATATCTAATTGATTCTTTCCAATTGTACAATGGAAAGCCTCGGCTCCACAGATTGTTGCAAACTGAAAACCTCCAGGAGGGAAGTTGCTGGTGGGGTGTTAGGGAGAAGACGTCTGATTGGATTCATCCATTTAGGTTTAAGGAGGACACTTCAATGTGGGTGATTTTGTGTTTGAAATGAGCTTGAGGCAAGGAAAGCGCAGCATTTTGAATAGGACATAAAAATAGAGGTGACGTTGTTGCCGTAGAAGTGGTGGGGGGAATTCTGAGATGAGAAGAATACGAGTGTGTTATGATCGATGAGGTGAAAGCCTTGGAAGGAACTCTGGATGCTGCTTCTTGGATCCTTCATGTTGATTTTTTATGAAGGTAATATCTCTATTTGAAGTTTTGTAGGTCATTCAGAAAGACTTACGTTCCTTGCATCGCCTCTCTGTTTCTAGAAGTGCATCTGAGGTCGTGCCATCCGCTCTCCACAAAAAGGCAATAAATCTTTGCCCTCCTGGGAGCCATTCTCGGTATAAATAAATCAGTCACAATGACCAATGTGTGTTTGTTGATCAGTCCGTCTTGGTAATGCAACCGTTTTGTGCAAGGTCAAAGTACTATATAGAAGATAGAAATGCAATTTAAATGCTATTAAATGTGCACTCTTAATGCTGCCAGGTCAATAACAAACAGGCTCATTTAGCACAGTCGGCATAATGAGCTCACACTGCATGTACACACAGTGTATTGACACAAGAAATATCAGGGAAGCCCATACAGCAGGGTCCGGTAACCACTACCAGTGTGTGAGTGCGTGTGTCCAGTCTTAATAATAGCAGAGCAGCATTCTGACAACAGACGGAGCCTTTGATACCTTCTCTTCAGATCTTTATTTAAAAAACAAACAGAGACTAAATGAGACAAAAGATTCAAAGGGCAGGTTTATGTTTATGTCGTGTGGGATTAAAAAAGGCCACATGGCGTGTGTGTCTGAGAAGGCGAGAGACTGAGAGATGCAGGTCTCCTATATAATGGGAATTCCAGCAGCTATTGGTGCAGCTGGTGAACTCCGACATGAGAATAGCCTCCATGCAAACGCACACTCATGCACACACGTCTGTGCCGAAAATACAAAGAGGATTACTATGGCTGCAGAAATATACAGAAAGCATGTGCCGCGCTCCGGCACATTCTGACAGAGGGAAATGAAAGGCATACAGCCTGCTCATTAAAGCATCTGGTTGGTCTTGGTGTTTATGTGTGAACACCCTGCATGAAGATCCAACTCTGGATCCACGCTCGGACCAAGATTCCTACTGTAGCAAAGACACAAATCCACACACAAGTAGCTGGGATCTACACACATTCCAGGTGCACCGACATCGACTTGGTTAGCATGTTGCAATTACTTTGTACACATACTGCAGTTTGGATTTACTTTGATAGAGGATTTACGAAATAAGAGTGATAATATTAAGAAATGAGGCAGAGAAGCTACTGAGCAAATCCTCAAGGTGTTCATTCATTTATTTATTATTTATTCTATTTACTCACAATTCCTAGGCTGTCCAAAAAGGACGCAGTCACCCGCCTTTCGTCTGTGTTGACCTGCGAATCGCATGGTAGCTACGCCCTAAAGCATTCCGTATACATATGTCTAGACACAGTAAACTTTACAGTCTATTTGTTTATAAATGGAACATAATATACTGAATGAACATGGGGAATAGAAAAGAGGGATGGAGATCATAAACTCATGTTTCCTGGTGCAATAAATTAAGTGAATGGTGCTTTTCTCATAGACGTCTATGTAAAGAATGCTTCCCCTTCACAACCAGAGGTCGCTGCTGGTTAGAAATTCAGGTTGAATGCAAAGAAAAGGATAGGATACAATAAAAAAAGGTCAAACAACAAGCCATCCTCCAAGGTTAAAGGGGGGGTGGGGAGGGTCTAGTTTCTAGCCTGCTCTAAAGTTTGGGGTTTGGAAATTGTTGGCTTATGCAGAACTACACCCAGGGGACCATTTGGTAGTTGAATACAGTGAATCAACTTCCCGGTTGGTGGGGAATTGGTGGGGAATCAGGGTTGTGTACAGCTCTAGAAGCACAAATGCCCCACTGCTTCAGGGGGCTTTGAAGGGATCGGTGGGTGTGCGGTGGAAGCTAGCATCAGCAAAGATGGCCAAGGTTCCCACAGTGGTGAAGATGACGAAGATCCAGAGGAACATGCGGTCCACCACCATGGCTACATACTGCCAGTCCTCTCTCAGCTGGACACGGATGGATGAATGAAAGGGAGGTTGTGAAAAGAGAATGGGCGCAGAAAGAGAGTGGGGGGGTGAGGAAGAGGACGGAAGCAAGGTGTGTTGGGAAAGGACAGAAGGGATGAGAAGAAAAACAAGGAAGAGTTCAGAGAGTGAATTAATGCTCTTCAAAAGAAGTGAGCGACGAAGAAGATTGAGGAGCATCATAGCAGAAACAGGCAGACTCACTCACCGCCTCGAAGTCCTTCTCTGCCTGCAAGGCCTCGGCGATGAAGGTGATGGCTTCAATGGCTGACTTCAGCTCGTCGGGTAGCGTGAGGTAGCTGCTGGGGCCGTCAATGTACTTCCTCAGATCCGTACACATGCCCTCCGGGTGGAACCTAGAAGAAGGCACGCGTTAACCTTCAGGTCATAATAAAACATCCACAACAAAATTTTGGATAACAGAAAGAAGTGAGCGTGCATAAAGCGTTGCAGTCCCAACGGACCGAATGAGCAGAACGTGTAGCATCGGATGTGGGTCCGGACTAATTAAAAGCTGTGAAATAGTAACGTTTTTATGAGGCGTCTGCGCGGCTCCTCTGCTGTCATTCAGAGAGGAATAGAGAGAAGGTCAGAGGAACTCCCCCGGCTCGCTCTGCCAGCGCGGGAGTCACCGCTCTGCATCTGCTGACTGGGCATCTCTGGCCAACAAAACCGTGTGTGTGTGTGTGTTTACTTGTTGCCCTCGGTTACCAGCCGACAGCTGCCAGCGGTTGCCGTGTGCTGTCACTCACGTTTCACGCGACAGGTCTGGCAGAAGTCCAAAGTTGTTTTCATTTGTTATTAAAATTACCACAAAAGAACATTGATTGCCTATGAATTCATCTTTTCATTTTCAGGAGGACGGATACGTTATTTCTTGTGACAAAATCGATGTAGTGTTGTTTCAACTTTTGAAGCAGCTCAAAGCCTCACTCATTGAACTTTCCCCTCCTGGACGGCAGACACATTAGCGCGTGGCGCCCTTGAGAAATGACACACAGTCCTTTGGTTGCCTCCAGCAAAGCGTCCCTGCTTTAATATTCTATTGGTTGATACATCACGACTCAAGAGGGACCTCACAGCTACAGGGATTGGTTAAAGTTAAGTTAAGGGAGATGTTTATATTGATCGGTTTAGGTAAACATTTTTACAGTTCATCTCATTCTCATCTTCCAATGGAGACTAGTGAAATGATTGTTAAAAACCTGTCTCACTGCATATGTTGCTTGCCATTACAGATGACCACTTTCTCCTCCTACCAAAGTTATTATCAAACGTGGATGAGGTCAAAATGCAATGAAACCTTAGGACACTCCAAAAGGAGTACACAAACACATTAATTTATGAGGCATTGCTTGTGAAAATGCATTAACCATTTCTATTTAACTAAATTGAAGCAGAAACAATGTTCTTTTATTTTGAGACTCATTCCCCTTTAATGAAGTCACTACTCTTGGTCCTTGGCATGACTTTGTTTCACACACTAGGACCAATTCACAACATTCTCTTTGAGGAACAGCTGCCTATTTCTAATGAAACACCTCAAATATTAAACACCTTGCATTTTCCCGATTAAAAGGAAAAAGAAAACTCCTGTGCTGCAGGCTGGGCAATGCACCACCAGAGTGCAGTAGGGCACCATCTCTCCAACTAGAAGGCATTATGCAGGAGTGAGACCTGGGCAGAGCTGCTTGGTATTCAGGTCTGGTGGCTTACAATGCAGAGCCTCCATCGCTGCTGCTGCTGTTTCAAGGGTGGCAGGTGAAGAGGCGGTGCCCTAAGAGAGGTGGAGCCTCATCAGCCTCATCGAGAGAGGGACGAAGAGAGAGCCACAACTTGGCCTTCTAACCCCTCCCCGCGTCTTCTCCCGTGTGGCTCCGAGTAGCACTTCATCAGCGAGAAGTAAATGACTATTCAGGGGACTAATTCAACTAAAAGTGGTCGCGTCCGGTGCCAAGACATGTACTAAAGCCAATTAAGAAGGAGCGTGTGAATGTGGAGAGGTAGTGCTGTCTCATCGAATTGCTAATAGAGCCCCCCCACCTCCCTCCCCTCCTTCTTGCGTCACCAGTTCTCCCCCCAGACATGCGGCGTCCAGCTCTGATGTGTCAAGAGTCGATTCGCGAGGGGTCATTATTATTTTAGCAACGATTCTCTGCCGTCTCCCGCCTCTCCCTCCAGTCATGTGTCACTTCTCACAGGAGGTGAAGGATGGAGAGGGAGCGGCAGCTGTAGACTGCGAGGAGGATTTTGGTATTAATAGACAGGGAGGCAAGGATGTCACGCAGTCGCTGACTTCCAGGAAGTACACGTCCTCCTTCTGCCGGATTCACCTGAGCGGGGTCAGCCGTTCCCTGTGAACGGGACTGAGAAAGGGCTTGTCAGGTGGAGAGTATAGGGCTGGTCAACGTGCTGTGTTGTTGTTTGTCTTTTGGATTAAATCTGCGGCAGACGAGTAGACGGAGATCTAAACCCGGGGGGACCGGACAGAAACACATGTCATTTTCTGTTTTCTGTCCCCTTTGAATCGAATCCAATAAACAAAGAGACACGGAGGCTGCTGGATAAGCACTCAGGCAGCTCCACTTGTTGGCGTCCTGTTGGACTGAGGACAGGCGGGAGCCACAGTGACGCACATCGGCCCTCGGCGAACGTTACAAGACACGATGGGATGGGGACAGCTGGTGTGCTCATTTCCGCAGACATAACTTCAACACTGTAACGTCTTCACGTGCAGTCCATGGTTCATTTAGTTAAATGTTTATTTGACACACTGAAACTGTGAATAAAAGAGCCTTAATTTATATACTACTTTTTTTTGCATGGTCCTCCCTAAGCATTGATCTAGGCCCTGTAAACACATCTTCCATTTCAAACCAAAGGGTCAGACAGTCAAGAGCTAACTTACTTTGCAAAGGCTCCAAAGATGAGGATGATTACATTTGGCAGCCTTACTTTTGGCAGTGAGTGCAGCCTTTAGTGCAAGCATATAAAACATGACACAGGGCTGTTTGCACGCGGGACCTGTGATATGTGACCTCCAAAGGAGATGGTCAAGTGCGCTTGCACAAATACCTCAGCGCAGCCTTAACAACTGCAATACCTGTAGAGAGTGTGGAATTGGGAACTTAAAACTCCACGTTTGAGGTAACTGCTGTGGCTGGTTATGTTTATTAATTTGGACGGAAAGCTGGATTTCATGAGAAAAATGCAAGCTTTCATAAAATAGTAAATGCTGGCCAGCTGGCTTTAAAGATAACCGCCTGTTTTAACCTGAAACCAATAAACACTGAATACCAGATATAAACACATGAATATCAAACCACAGTTCCAACACATTTTCATCACTTCTGCAAAAATTCCATGTTAAAGAGATCTAGATATGGACCTTGTATTACAAGTGGTTAATCTCTGAAATGTAAGCTCTTGGTGTATGACCTTTCATAGAGGTCATAGAGGAACGTCCTCCAGAGGAAAGCATGAAAGAAAAAGTATTTCTCTATATTTGGAAAAGCTTTGTGTAAATAATCACATCTCAGAAGCTTAAACGTTCATATTCATATGTATATATTACTTATAGAAGAGACACCCGATATTCCAGAGCACGTTGGGGACTCACCTGTTGGGCTTCGGGAACAAGATGGAGGAGTCGGGCTTACGGATGAAGTACTCATCCGCCTTGCTGATGGTGAACACCTTTTTCTCTCGACGGGGCATGAACTCCAGGGACAAGGGAGTCTCAACTTTTGGCCTCAGCATGTACAGGTAAGGAGGCAGCAGGTGGATGAAGATCTAGGGGAGAGAGCCAGTTCAAAAACTCACAATTTAATCATCAGTTTGCAGTGCTTCCACTTCCGTTCTCATGTAAAGCATTATTTACCTGTACTCTTGACTTTCAGAGATTTGTTTGGATTCCTATTCTTTGATTTATTGGACAGCTGGAATGTACTTGCCCTGTATTTGCCTATTAAGTCAGAGGAATGAGTTAAAATGTTGAATAGCTGTGCGATAACCTTTAAGAGCAGTTGCTGCTGAATAATGGGGAAACCAAGTCGGTAATGCTTTCCAATTCTTCAACGTCCACCCTCAAGGTGTCTTTGAGCACCGGAAATATAAACTGGATACTAAAGGTGCTAAATGTCTTCAGTAAAGGCCTAGATTTACTTCAGTTGTAAATAAATGCTTGATGGAAAAGCTGAGTACTGCATGGCTGTCAGACTTGGAGCTGGTTCGCAATGGAACCAGAGAAAACAACAAAACATTGGGCGGAATCTCAGCGTTGATCAATACAACTAGTGCTGTTTGGCTCCGTTAACAGCTCTTTTATCTACACATACAACTGATCGGCGATCCCCCTTTTGAAACTCTCGGCTGGCCTGTATTGACAGATGGCTTTTGATAGCCGCCCCGCTGGCAGCGCCCACGCTGCACTGATGCATCGACGGTAACAAGAGTTGAAGCAGCTTGACTTGCATTCTAGTTTCAAAGAAAAGTCATGACTTAGCAGTCATCGAGCGCCCATGATCTAATGTGAACTTTCTCTTTATCCCCCTGTCTCCCCGTACACTGCAACCCCTGACACACTTCCCTGTGTGGGACAGCATGATTTATATTTGCTTAGAATGAGATTATTATTATTTCCACCAGGCACAAAGCTGCCGAGAGATTAAGAGTCTGGTCTTGTCTATGTACGTGTGTTGGTTTGCCTGTCCAGGGATAATCGATTATACTGAAAGACCCACCAGCCTAATATTTGTTGAGGTAGTTTATGACTTTGTAGTCAATGACCTCTCACGTCCGCTGCGTGAGATGTGCGGGTGAGGGACATGCGGTGTAGATGGCGGGGGTCCTAACCATTTCAGCAGTGGTCTTTGCAGACACACCAGGCGGAAATCTGTTCCAGTTTGGATCCTGTAGTTCATCACAGAGATTTCCTACACTGCACTGCCGCTTACGGTGTCCATTAAAGTTCTTTGCATTGGACAAAAAGGAGTTCCAGTCAGAAAGTGTATAAGGCCGTGCCTTTCCACATCTCGCGGCACTGATCGTCAAAGGAGTAGGAGTGAAGAGAAGCAGAATTTGTAATGTTCTTCTCTGCCATCCATCCAGCACTAAGCAGTTGAGGTCCATTGAACCATGCAAATCAAATCACCTGTGTAGAAGCCTTCCGGTGGTGAGCACTTCCTGAAAGCGTGACAGAACTTGCAGCAAAGTATAGAGCTGCTGCTGCTCAGGCCTGTAATTAGCTTCCATATTGTACATCGAGGGCAACACCCACTGATGGGGGTTAATGGTGAAACATGACATTTAGCTTGTTGAGGACGGTCGACCTAATGCTGCTGCTCTGACACAAGCTACAACTGCCCAACATCTAAAAATGATCATGGTAATTAAGATCACATTAATTCATCAGTAAAAGAGCTCCCATTTACTCCATTGACGGAAGTGTTGATTATGCACATAATGGAGGTTAATTATTTTATTATTTTTTAAGTATTCCGTTATATTTACTTCTTCCTTTTTACAATGAGCACATTGTCATGACTGCACGTGATAACGTGCTCAAAGGCAGCGCCTACAAGACAATAACACGTTGTAGATTTCATTAGGCAATAAGTTTGGTAACCTTGAGAGTATTCACGTATTAAAACCTTAAGTCTATTAAACACCAGCCTTCGTTTTGTTGTTGAATACATTTAGGAGACCACAGCTTTTAAATTTACATGGTACCGTAAGGCTATATGATGAAGACTTGATGGACGGGAAGGTTTACCCAAATCCCCGGACCTCACCTTTCGGACCCACATGGGCATCATGTGGGTGCTGGGTGAGCGATGGTGCAGGTTTAGGACGACCACGCTGAGGATGACAGAAAATGTGACCAGGATCATGGTGAACATTATGTAGTTGACGATGATGGGGACCCCCAGCGACGTCTCTGGGATCTTATCGGCCAGCAGCAGAAGGAACACGGTCAGGGTGAGCAACACGTTGATTGACAGACCCATCTTTTCTCCTGGTGGTGGAAAGAGAACAAGTAGAATGTGCTTAACTACATGAAGAAGACTTTTGACACCAAGTCATAAGAAAAGGTTTTTGGCATCGGTGTCTGCAAACATACTCTCTGAGTTACATTAATGTAATTGATAAAAGGAGCATATAACACTTGCAAAACAGTAATACAACAAGTTAATATCACATGCACAACAATGTAACTAGCGTAAATAAACACATGAACATTCAATGACCGGTGGTCTCGCCAAACAATAGCAACGTTGCTCCTGGGGACAGCGCTGCAAAGGTGTTCCCTCCTCTTCCCTCTGGTTTTACCTCGACATGGTTTGCTCCTCCTTCAGCTGAGGTGCTAATTTAGCCGCTGCTGGTCCACGTAAGTCACCAGTAATGACTAACATTACACTCTAAGTGAGGCTGATGGTCTAACAGAGCCGGGCCTCCCAGGTGCATTAAGTGGGCACTTACAAACCGTGTTTACCGCAGATCGGTTGGAGTTGGTGGGTAATGAGAAGCTGATGTGGTTTAGGGCGGCGGATGCTGCCACACTGAGCAACTGTCGAAACAGACACATTTTATGAGAGGCTTCCCCCTCAAGTTCAACATGCCAGAGTAAAGGTGGACAGGTGATCTCAACGCCTTTTGAAGAGGCACCGGAAGCAGGCCAGGATGGAGGACATCTCCTTCAGGGCTGTAAGCAGGAAAGACTGTGCTCATGCCTCCAAATTCCCCTTAGGCTACATTATCTCTCCTGAGAAAAATCTGACTATAGTCAGCAAAAAGTCTGCAGAGGTTTGGATTTCCCTCATTTCTTCTTCCTCTAATACATTATTTATCTGTGAACTGTTTGATTCCACGTGAGAAGTATCCTCCTACATGAGGATCTAAATACTGCTACAGATGGAGACTGACTTTTAAAAATGTGTTCAGTTATTTATTATTTTACTGAGATAACACATAGTAACAGTATTGGACTCCTCCTTTAAAATGGTTTTGTCACATTGTAGAAAGCAAACCCTTCTCAATGTCATTACAGACCGATTACCTATAGCTGTAGGCTGTATGGCTTCTATAGGAGTTTAAATCAGTCATTTCACATCATGCACTGTGTGTGTGTGTGTGTGTGTGTGTGTGTGTGTGTGTGTGTGTGTGTGTGTGTGTGAAACACACTGTGTAACAGACACACCACAAGAGGAAATGGCCTCTATTGCTCCTCTGAACATTTGGGCCTCCTCTTTACATTTGCTGGTGCTTCTGTGGACCTGCAGCCAATCACTCTGTGTGTGTGTGTGTGTGTGTGTGTGTGTGTGTGTGTGCGCGCTTGTAGGTCAGAAAAGGTCTCAGTTCACAACTCAAGAGTACGTTTTAGCTCAATGTCAGTCAAACAATCACGTACGGACTCCAGAAGCCGAATTTGAAACGTGAGTGAGTGTTAAGGATGATTATTGATATATCGTTTTAGTGGTTATTGATTCAGCGGTGCTCTATGCAAAGCAGCTATCTCCTCTGAAATCTAATCCCTTTTGTGACAGTAATTGGACCCATGTGTGTGATTGCCCAATTCGACCCAAGCACACAAACTTAGAAGGTGGTGTAAGCAGTTTTATATAGTGATAATAGGGCAAATAATCTTAACAAAAGAAAAAAATCTTGTGCATTTATTTTTATTGTTGATTTACCTGCGTCCGGAGGCAGGTAGAAGTTAAAGATGGCGATGATGGTGATGAGGATGCAGGGGAGAATGATGTTCAAGACGTAGTAAAGGGGCTTCCTCTCTATGATGAGGTAGAAGGTCATGACTTCATATTGATCATCGTTCATGTTCTTCCTGCACGGCTTGTGTTTGATGGTCCACTCGCCGCCCTCTGGGGAAACATTCAGCTTTCACACCGACGAAATGAGGGCAGCAAGTCTCCGTACCCCGAAGGGCTCCAAAGTAAAAGAAATGCCCACACATAAAAACACTCTGGTGACTACGCTTCACAAAATAGGTAGGAGGAAAAGGGACAACGAGGGGAAATAAAAAAAAAAGGAGCATTAAAGTTATTCACTGTGTCATGCAGAGGAATATAGCCGCCGGTCATTTCATGTGTCATCAAACGTTCCCCTTGCTTCCTAAGAGCCTCCTTTACCCCTCACTTCCAATAATCTCACCAGTGTAAGCCTCGTCCAGTTGGATCTCCCTGATCTCGTTTCTCTTCGAGTCCAGTGCATACTGCACGTCGATCTCTGTCGAGTCGTACGTGTAAGATTGGAACTGCATGGTGCAGTTCTGCCAGTCAAACGGGAAGTATGTTACCTACAGGGAATAGGAAGGAAAGTATACGAAAAAAGGTACAATGATTTATTTTCTCTTTGGTTAGCATTAAGGGGACAATAGGAAAATCCTCATCCATCAAACGTGTGTCAATGACCAAATCTCTGATGAATCACCGTTTGATGTTAAACGGCATGCCAGGTAAACAAAAAGGGCTGATGAGCCACCTGTCACTCACAGCAAAGCAATCCGCTCCATCTTTAAATCAATTCTCAATGCATGGAGCGGCAATCAGCCATTGTCACTTCATAGGGCTTTATGCACTGTGAAGAATCCTTATACATTATGTGTGATGTCATCACTAATGACTGAACCGTGTGTGCGTGTGTGTGTGTGTGTGTGTGTGTACGCAGGCACATCAGTGTAGTTGTCATTAAGGCCACAATGAATCATCTTTAGTGAGGACGCAAGTATTAATAAATGCCACAAAAGTTGTTAAATTGTATGCACGCACGCACAATTAAAGATCCAATCACGCATGAGGCCCAGTGTCTCCGAGTTTAAGCATGTGTTTGTGTACGTGTCGATATTCACCTTAACTCCACAAGAGCTGCAGTAGAGTGCTGGGGGGGTCCAGGTTACTCTGCCATTACTATAAGCCTGGACGTGGACATGCAGTGCCACATCAAACACCCCGTCATTACTGCAAACACAAACAACATATCATTCCAAACCTTTTAATGGGAACAGGCGAATATACTCTGCACAATGCAGCTAAGTGTAGCACTAAAACTGGATGTATACAGAGATCTTTTTGGCCATTACGCTCATTACACAATGCACTACAAAGACATCCGGTCAATTAGACACAGATCAGGGCGCAGTGTTTGGCTTTTATGGCCCTGGTGAATCGACAAGGAGAAGCTTGTTTCTCCTAAAACGTTGTCTCTGTGAGGCTGCTTCAATTATCGGCATTGATCATACACACAGAGAAGGATGTACACAATTCTGCATTTGTGTATGCACATATTTGTGCGTGTGTGAGCAGTTCCAAGTGAGCTGAAGTAGCTGAGTGGTGCCATCGGCTCAGTTTTTTCAGGGAGCCATGCTGCTTAATTGCCTATAAAGTGTTGATGAATGGAGCGGGGGGATATTTACAGCAGTGTTAATGGGAGCGTGTGCAGGGCTGTAACAGAGAGAGACTACGCCGGCTGTTCAAAGTATCTTAAGTTCCTCATTTAACGCTGTGACATAAGAGTCTTTCCATCACAGAGGTGCTAGGTGGTACCTGCAGCTCATTTGTGGCTGCACCTTTTAACTGCTTATATTGCACATTCTCTTGTCTTTACTCTATATATTGAATAGTAAAATAATTATTGTCACAATCCTAATCCTCAACTCAAAAGGAAAAATAGAAAAAAGTTGAGGAGGAAAGATGAGTCAATAACTATTCAACTACATTTTAAAATAAATAAAAAATGAATGAAAATATACATTTAAAAAGGACAAGACTGAATAAATAGACAGACATGATGCAGAAACCCTCCTAGACAAAATCTAAGTATACATATTTCTTTTTAAAAAGGAGGAAGTGACAACAGTGTTTCTCCTCTTAACTCGTTGCCGCTGATTAATTCATGCCGATGTGAGTGCAGTGCTTGTCCTTACTTATTTATGAGGACTATGTCAGGCAGCCAAACTTTCCCGGCGGGGATACGCATCACCTCAATGCCATCGTACTCCTCGCGTTTCCATGACAACCGATGATCCGTCCACTCCTGGTCAAAAACAGTTTGTGCGGGTATACAATAAAAAGGGCAGGGATGAGAGGGAAACTGAAGACAACATAAGGAGGAAACCTTACATTTACACACGTAACCAATTCGTCATTTTTCACGTTTCCACTCGTGTAATTAGATTCCACAGGGATTATTCCCTTGTGCATTTGTCATTTCATCACAAAATACCATTTGCGAAAAGTTTCACTTTGCACAGATTCTGTATTATTTGCAGTAGTCCTTGTGTTCCCTTCTTGGACATTTCTGTAGTGTATTTGCACTGAGCTCTACAAAAAGGAACTACATGACACAGACACACTTACCAGATTCATGACAACAATGGTGCTCATTTCTTCATTTTTCATGTTCTGGAAGAAAAATGTAAAACGTTATCACCCTCACAACAGGGACTGTGCAAGCAGTTATGGGATGATTTCCACTGCAGTCAACTGTCTACTGGCCAGTCTCCCCTCCAAAGGTTATGCACTTACCACCAACATTGGGGACCACGGAGAGAGTGGCACGAGAATTCAAAGGCTTTCCATGTGACTCAAGTGTCGGTTTTCCAATAAACATTTCACACACCTGCTTCTACTGCAGGGAAACTAAACTGTCGATTTCTAAAAAGCAGATGAGCAGGCGACAGCACCGATGTCCTCATCTTTCCTTTGATGCATTAATTAACAACCTTGATGAGGATGAGGGGAGCTGGCCGCTGTTAAATTGGGGATCTTGTTTTGATTTATATATGTGGCCCTTGTTCAATGTTAGGGGAAACACAAAAAATGTAAGACGTTACCAGCAGGCTCGTTGTGTAAAAGTGAGCAGCGTGCCGAACTAGAATGATGTAAAGGGATGCATGTCTAAAACGGGGCTTCAGAGTAAAGCCTTTAAGATAAGGGAATGTCAAAGTCCCTTTTTAAATAGTCATTTAACTGGACGACACAACATGCACTTTTGGCTAAACCTTTTTTGAGTTATTTGAAAAGTGTTGTCTGTTTCAGGAAGTAAACCAAACTGTGAGATATTTTCTCAATACCAAACAATTAACTGTTGCTAATAATAACTTTTCAGATGCCCCTTGCATGGTTTCAGTACTATATGAATCTGTGGAGGACCAGCACACCACGATTATGAGACACACAACATCAAGAGATATGGCTATAAAACTCACACATGTGTGCGATGTGATTGTTTGTCCAGCAGGAAGGCGGGGCTTCCCGTAGTCTATTTTAAACGCTGGGAGGAATGTCGGGGAGACAGCTGGGACAGACGCTGGGAGGGTGGAGTGGAGAATAGAGGGAGGTTGACTTGAGCCATCTCGCTCTCTCCCCCTCGCACGCGTCTCATCGCTGACTTATCACTCACGGATTGGTACTCACACTGCTGTTATCCAGCTGACTAGTTCAAGGCAGATGAAGGACGTAGCCTCAAAGTGGGTCAGTTTTCAAGATGGTTCCACTCCGGAACTCCAAAAGTCTCATGTGACGTCCTCCTGACCTTGAGCGGAGGTGCAAGGAGCGCGCTCGCCATAGTCCTCTATGTAACTGCGACACTGTGTGAATACGCGTGTCGATGAGTGCGACGAAGAAGAAGTCTTCAACCTTGTGTGCGTGTGTGTGTTTGTTTAAGTGTTTGCATAACTGTTACACAGAGACAGGGGCCCAGGCGGCGTGAGCCGTAAAAACCTTATTTACTAGGAAGGGTGAAAGGAAATCCAGTAGAGGGCATGAGCAGCATAACTGTGTTTCGTTTGACTCAGCGGGACACAAGTGCTGAATTTAGGCTCCGAGACTCACTGTTCTGAATTTAAAACGTGTGTTTTTGTTATCCTGTCATGTTCCACCATCGGAGGACAGCAGGACCTTTTACAGAGACATTAGCAGAGGCTTAGGAACCCAGGATTCTCCGGATAAATTCTAGTATTTACACCCATAAAATAGGAGCTACACAGGAGATCAGAGCAGTATTTAGACGTGAAACCACAAAAAACAAGGGAATGTTGGCATTTCTGCAAGGCACGGGATAAAGAATTATGGCTGTGTCCAAACCAAAAGTATGTTTCAAGATTCCTCTTCATCGCTCTGGTTTGTTTCAGAAATGTGCCGTACCACGGGACTGGTTTCCGTTTCCGGTCACGTCCTGGACACCTGCCACTGTTTTCTTGACATTCTTTTCATGCACGAGTGTAACTATACGCAAGTGTCAGGGTCTCGCGCCTCACCAGTCCAACGAAGGAGGACAGGACCATACCCACACGGACCACCACCCTCTCCTCAGGGCTGGATGCTGGCCGCACCTTCAGGTTGTAGTCTGTAAAGAGCTTCTTCAGCAGAGTCTTCTCCATGTCAGACGCACCTGTTGGACAGAGAGGTAGACGGCTTTTAGGATTTCAAAAACAACGGATTACCAGCAATTATAGTAAGCACCAGGGTACTTGGGGGAACCAGTTCACCCAGAAGTTCACTTTCCATTGCAAAGTGCTGTGTATAAAATCCATCACAGTTGTGATATGTGAGGACGAAGCCAACTGATGATGCCTGATGAGGCATGTTGTTTCGTGCAATCAAATAAAAGAACCCTGCAGCTAAGTAGCAGACTCGATACACCACTGTGAATGCTTCCCAGAGTCAGACAGATTAATTGTAGATACTGTAGGTTAGGGGTTAGTCAATTAAATCAATGGAGCATCCTCTCAATCTTTCCTAACCAGATGGCGTCTCGACTTTTGCCCCACGACCCCCTCACATCGACTCCTGAGGAAAAGATTTTAGCGTCGTCTTAACATAGAAAAGTCGAGTTGGACTTTCTGCAAAGCTGGCAAAGGTGTAGTGAAGCAATCGTTCAATCCAAATCCAGGGTGGACGTCTATTCTTTGTTCTTTTGCGAAGCATCTGTCTCTCTAATTCATGAAATGTATGGCTTGTCATACAGCCATATACCTTTTTCTTTTAGGATGCAAAGTGCCAACATCTATTTACAGGAATTGATTCTGCATTTATATGCTACGTGTTGCAGACAGACAAAGCACTCTCAGTGACGCAAACTGCATTACCACGGTTTTGCATCTGACACTAGCTACTAAATCCTACACACTGTCCCTTGAACGTTGTTGCAACACATACAGCACATACAGCTTACCCCGCAAAATCCAACTGTCAAAAAGGCATTAAATGAATTCCCTGTGCTTACAGTGGCAGTTATTGCAGTGCCTCTCACAGGCCTACAGACCCCGTGAACGCGCCAAAACCCAAACGATTACACTCGGCAGCCGTTTCATACATAACCGCTGCTTCATTTCCTCCTGAGTGTTGGAAGGTTAGACACATTTATAATCAGCAGCTCTGGCGATGCAGCATTCATCACGTTTGGCATAGCTGAGGCCCCAGCGGCATCGGAACTGACGGGAATAAATGGCAACGATCACCAAAAAAGGCACCCTCCATTATCTATAAGCACGGGGCAAGCGGGGCTGCTGATGGGCGAGGCCACAAAGTTTCTGTGGAAGGTTCAAATGTAGCAGCCTCTCTCCTATCTGCCCAGCTAAGATGACTTGGTGAAAATAACTGATTGACGCCTGTTGTGTATATGAAATATGGATGTTATGAATATAGCTGACAGCAGTAAAATACAGAGCTAACTACTAATAGTCATTCAAGATCACTTTGATAAAGGCCAGAAGGAGAATATGTGATACTTTCTACTAAAAAAAGCCCCTTAAAATGCTTCTGGGCGGACTTGAACGTGAATTTGGGATATGACATGATTTTAAAAATGGACGCTGGTCCTGTAGTTCAATATGAAAATCTTTCTCTGGGTGGTTTGAGTTCACTGTTCCTGGCACCAGAGGTCTGTTTCCAAATGAATTACCTAAGAAAGTGTGTGAATTGGGACTGTGAATTCTCTGAAGAAATGGAGGCCACATGTTTAAAAATCATTGTTTAAGACGGTCTCTGATGACGTTTATTTTTGTTTGTTTTTTGCCTAGTTGACATTAATATGGTATCAGTCCTTTATCTGCTGCTTTCACCTAAAAGATATGTTATCATGCTCATTGGAGTGTGGGTGAAGTACCATAAGTACCATAATCCATTCCTTTGCCATTTGGTAGCCTAAATATATCCAAGGTCCTTAGAGAATGAATAGAAATAACACTACTCAAGTTTTGTCAATTATGGCCAAATGCCTGCAAAAAGTATTACATTAGCACTCAATGCTAAATAGCAAACATTAGCATGCTGTCACACCGGTAAACATGCTAACCACTAGCCGCCCAACACGAGCGCGTTGGCATGACGCAACAAGGAGCTTGTTAGCATGTTTATGTCTCTAGCTAAAGACTTACTCTTTTTATAATGTGTTTAATAAACCAATAATGTGCCTGTGTAGAGAAAGATGGAATTCAACAGGTTATTTCTTTGTTCATTGGGGTGCATTCGACATGTGAAATTAAAGTAATAAGTAACGCCATAAGCCGGCCATGGGGCTCTGTGATGTGGGTGTGTTGTCAGCTCGTGGCTTACCTCCCAGTAAGCACAGGGTGCCAACGCAACATGCCAGCAGGAACACATCCGGGCTCCTCATCGCGAACACCCCTCCCAAACCAAAAAGAAGATTATTAAGTTAGTCAACAACTTCAAACTTGTATTGGAGCTTCTTCTTTTTCGATCCCAATGCAAGCTCCTCGGGGTGCGCTTCGGTCCGGTCCGTGTGGACTGTTGTTGTCTGTCAGTCAGGCCGAGCCAACTGCTGTCTGCTCCAATTACAGCCTTGAGGAGGGGGAGAGGGGGAAAGATGGGGGGAGGGTGTCTGTGTGTGTCACTGTTGACCCCCATTGGGAGTGAAACTTCAGATGGAGACTCAGGCCTAATCAAAATGCCCCCCCCCCCCTCCATCCAGCATCCAGGCCTGTCCTCACAAGATGAGAGTTCATTTTAAATCATGTCTTTGTCGAAACGGCTTCCATGATCAAATTAAATATTTGATGAATAAGTCAGCAAATATCCAATGATTTCAGGTGGGTTTTTTGTTGAATATTACAATCTGAACACACACGCTTCTTTGTTTGCCTTTTCTGACGTCTCCATTCTTTCACTGGTTTTCCTGTCTTTAATGTCACATTGGAATGGCTTGTGGGTAATTCCCTTGGGGCAAAGTCAGGTTCTAAAAAGGGTTCCTGACCCTCAAACACTGTCTCACGGAGTCCGATCGGGATTGGGCCTCCATGTCCCTCGTTCCTCAGCTCAGTTGAATCTCTTCAACATTACGTTGAGTAATTCATTTCCTGGAGCTTTCTCTTAAAGCACTATCAAATGCATAGCCAAGATACAGACCAGGATGCCATCCAGGAGAAATATTTGCTAGAATATTTTCTTTTCGGGGTTTAAAATGTGGCAAATGTGTGACGAAAACAGCAGTGGCTAAAAATGTGGTTATACATTGCAATGGATAATCTCTCAATGTTATATGCAACGTAAATAAACAATGAGATGAAATGAAACCAGTATTATCCGTAAATTGATCAATCCGTTCCAAACTGCCACACAACTTCTCAACGTACCCCTCCAATAAACCCCTCCCCAAACCCCACCAACCATATCCCATTACTGGTTTCTTCATGCCACTCTGCCCTCGCTCACATTCGTCGGCCATCCACGCCACTGTAGTTTATGATCCACTGTCCCGGCCATTTGGAGTGCCGCCAATTTAATTAGAAGCTAACTATTAACAGCTAGCCACGGGTGTCAAGTCACACATCAAATCTGTGGTCATGAGGGAGTGTATAAAAAGCTTCTGTTGGCACCAACTCAGTTTAAGAGACCTCTCCGAGGGGAGATGGCTGTTTAATTCAGTGGTAGTTCATTTCAATTAGATGATTACCCACAATTGTTATGTTCATGGGCAACCAGTAAGATGAGACGATACTATAGTAATCTGATTACCTAAAATGTTCATACCATTTGAAAAACAAGTTATGGCGTCAAAGCTCCGACTTTCTTTCTCACTCTAATTCTATTAAACTTGTTTTTTTATTCAACCTAATTACCCCAAAGAGATAAACCTCTTCTAATCTGAATTTTCAAATGAAAACGCCTGCCAATGGAATTCTGTGTTCAGATTTCACATTATGGGCGAAAGGTTTGTAGACGCCTGAACAAAGTATGTTAACAGCTTAATCTTCCACAGTTGGACACCAAGGCACGGGGATTCATTTGCCTCTGTTAATGCGTCAGCCCCCCAGGGGAGGTATTTCATTATACTTTGGAACCTGGCAGCAGAGATTTGGTCTCCTTCAGCCACGAGAGCATTTGTAAAGTCTGCCACTGGTGTGATAATCCAATTAATTATCTCACAGCCTTATGATGGAGTCTGGGACTGTGTGTGCCGGCCACTCACCTCATTCCACAACAAACGTGGTCATGTTGCCATGCTGTGCGATATGCATTCTATTGTCAAACATATTCTGAAGCAAAAAGACATGTAAAATCAATATATAACAATGCACGTGACTTCATGTTTAATCCTGTTGGTGTCTGGTTTGGTTTATCATTTGGTCCATATCAAACTGTCAGGCTAATCTCACCAGGGAGAATATGAGGCAGATACCGAATTGCGGAAGTTAGTCGTCGGTCAGCCGCTTATCTACAAAGACAGCAGCAGCAGCGGTGTTGGTGGCAGACAGTCCAGGGAGGCTTTCAAGCAACTTTCAAATCACACTCTCGGGGTCGTAACTGAAAACACAGACATAATGCTCCCATTTCTGGGCTGTCATAGAAATATAACTGTGTGATGTTAACACTTAAAACTGCCTACATAGAAATAAATGAGACACCACAACTCTAAAAGTCCTTAGTAGTAGAAGTGGTCGTAGTACAGTGCAGAGCCACTGAACTGCAGGTGTGATGCAGAGCATAAAGCTTGGCGTTAACTTAAGTTCAGTGCTACCATACTTCATCAAATGCAGTCCTTTTTGTTGGAGGAATTAGATCAAAGCACTCCCAAAAAAAGCTCTCAGCAGACAAGCGTTACAATCATACAAATATATTAGTTGGTTTTATTGAATTTTATCCAATAATACGTCTCCCTTTGACTTTGTGTAAGTTATTATAGAAATAAATATAGATCATATTGCAAATGTAGAGACAAGAGTTCAGGATAATAGAGTTGAGGACGGGGGGCTTAAAGAGCATATGTTGGGTAAAGACTGTTTCTTTTGGGGTGTCCAGTAAATGATTGGCGCATGCATGCTTGTAGTCCAGCCTCAGACTGCGAGTCCCCGCCTCTCTGTGGTCCTTTCCGCTCCTTTCTCCAGGGGACCCGTAGATTTGAATGGCGTTCCGTAGTCTTTATTCCACCTTGCCGGCAACAAGGGGAAGTCCCTGCGCCCCAACGACATTTGCATGGATATATTTATATATTTTTATATATAGATATATATTTTTTGCTCCATTTGAATAAAAAATAATGTCATTGTGGCTTTATTCACTGGAAGACTGAAGCACTCATTTTGCATTTGGAAGACAGGAAGAAAAGTAAGATTATGTTGATTTCCTTAATATCTTTTCTGGAAGACTTTATCAAAATAACTCATCCATGCAGTACCATAAAAAAAAAAAAAAACCACAAAAGTTGAAAATCCCTCGAGGATCGATCACAGAATGACACACAAGTAGACGATGGGTTTGTGTGTTTGAGGGAGAGACAGACGGTTTATGAGCAGGACCACGTGCTGCCAATGGGCCACTTCAAGATCCAGTTTAGAGATCAAAGGTCAGAGGTCACTGACAGGTGAGTGCTCTAGGATTGTGGGGGATCAGGAGGTTGAGACCCAACAGTCTGTTCTGTTCTTCTCTTTGTAGACATGAGTAGACGCACAGCAGTATAACAGCAAATAAACACATCAAATCAACAAGCACACATACCAACACCCAATACTCTAATTCCTTGTATCGTTTCATCAAAACTCACAGTACTTACGATGAGAAATACCCACAAAACAATCCGTACTTCTTTTTTCTTTTAATACTAAAAACACTGAGAAAAAGGGATAAATAAAGACTTTTTAGCATAGTGTACACAGCAAAGTCACCACTAAATACATTAGCTTTGAGAGGTGAAGACCCTCCGTCATCTGTTTGTAAAGGTCACCTCATTTAGCCACATCTGCATTGGCTTGCTGCAGGGTGCTATGTGTCTGTAATATGCAGATGTTTCTGGCAATTGTGGGGGCGGTCTTCTAGAACTCACAGATGGATCTTTGCGCATGAGTTTAGTGTTATTAACACCAAACAGGATGTGACCTTAGGTGCTCTCGATTCCAGTATAAAAGCACATTTTAGGAAGCCACGTAAAAAAAAAAAAGATCCGAGGACGGCGTCACTCTTGTCACATGCCGCCTCTCTCTTCCTCTCTCTCTTTTTTGTGTTTTCTACTGCATTGCAGATGTGGTGAAGGGACTCCACCTCAAAGTAACACACACACACACACACACACAATCCAGATCACAAAAAAAGGAAGTTTTAGAAAAATAAAAGCTCTAATATAACACGCAGTTGGTTTCTATATCAATATTAATGCTTTCTTTTACATCCTCCAAGATAATGTGGCTGCACCTTGTTAATGGAGTTTATTGCTTTCTGCCCAAGGACTCGTACTTATCGATTCGGCCTCTGATTTATCCTCCATTTTCCTCCTTCCCATTCTGTCCATCTATAATTTATTCCCTCACACATATTGGACATACAGAGACATTCAATCACAGTTACAAAACAATTACACACAAAGATCAAAGCTGATGAGTGAATCTAGAACACACACATCTATACCAGTGCGCACACACAAACACACACACACACTCGGGTCAAAGGGAAGTTGCCTTGGATTCTGGGATCAGGGAGAGGAAGTGAAACGTCAAAAGGAAGAGATACACTACAATGTGTGACACATGCCTTTCTGTCCCTCCCTCCCTCCTCCCTCCATGCCTCCCCCTCTACGAGTCCTTCACCGATGATCCTCGGCTGCAGTTGTTACGCGCACCGTAAGCAGGGAGGGCTTTTACCCGGGAGCAACGGCGGCCGGGGGTGTTCCCAGGGATGAAAGTGTGTGTGTGCGTGTGTGTGTGAAGCTTGCAGATATCCATCATTTAACCCCCTATTATATCAATATACACTCCCAACTTTTTTCCCCCCCTTCTGGATATTCAAGAGAAATATGCCAAGCCCAATGGCCAATATTTGACATTCGAAGATTAATCCATAGATCTTCATCAGTGAGTTAAAAGCAGTAAATGAAGCTACGCAGAGGGGTTTGCTAATCAAATCTGCGCTCGCCGATATAAATTGTAATCTTTACATCTTGTTATTCACGCGGACCGGTTTGAAGTGAAGCCTGAAGGCTGCTGGCAGGAACAGAGAAGCTGATTACAGGCTTCACAAAGGACTTCCAGTGGGGACGAATGGGTGAGTGTGAGCTCTGCAAATCACAAACACACTCATGCAATCATGCAAAGTTTCCGCACACAATAAATTATGCTGCCTTCATGCAAAGTGAAATCATGGCAAACAGAGTCGGAAGCACATCTTCAGCCCTCCTCTTTTGAACCCCCCCCCAACCGCTTACCCAAATATACTATTGAAAAGAAGGTAACTTCTAATCATCAATCTGAATACAAAAGACAAAGTCACATTTACAATAAAGTACCAAGTCAAGTATCAAGTAATTTCATGACAGGTGAATGAAAAAGAATGAATCACAAGATCTGACGACTTGGACTAATAATAATCTTGCCTTTCGTTGCCTTAAAGTCACTTTAATACGGAGTCTGAGGCAGCATATTAGATAATTGTAGCCCTACAAATATCAAAAAACTAATTACGTTTAGAAATGCCAACTCGTGTGCAATTATGTTTTGCATCTGTACCGGCAACAGCACATGATACTGCATTTCTTTCTAGGGTTAACGAGGCTCTCAAGCTATTTATTATAAAACTTCCATAAAGCTGTATGACTGAGCAGAGAAATACTAAAGAGAATGGTCAACATTGAATCAAGAAGACATGAAAAAGGCTCTAGAAGCATGCATTCCTAAATTCCCCATTATGGAATTCATCTTTCATTTGAGTCTAAAGGTCTCTTACACGTATTTTAAACCCCATAACGCAAGAGCAATGAAGGCTTGTGTGCATTATTTTAATGTAATTAATGTTAGTGTCATCTAAATCACAGAAGACATATCTTTTTGGATCACTTCCTTATTAATAGCCTGAACTAAAATGTTAGCCCTTAACTCTTGTTTGCAGATATATATATATATATATTTTTCTTTTTCTTTTTTTCAAAACTCAGACAACAAGAAGCGTGACTTATGCATAAGAAAATATTGCAAAATAGATTTCCAAGCCCTTAATACTCACAGTAGTAGTTGTCACAGAAGTCATGGCTTTCTCTCTCTCTCTCTCTCTCTCTCTCTCTCTCATTATACCTCTTATTTAATTAAACACTTGTGTAATCACTTTGTCAATAATACTTAAACATTGTGTTGTGGATTTAGCGATCCACGGGGGGGGGGAGTGGTCGGACACGCAGACACGAGGGTCTATTTGTCACTTTAATTAAGGTGTTTAGTGCGATCGCGAGGTTTTAACAGTAGCTTGTGTTCAATAAAGCAAACAAATCATGTCTATGATCGTCTATGATCCTCACAAGTCCTTCCTGTAGTGTGTTTATTCAAACCTCTTTCTTCCCGGTCATCCATCCTCACCACCTTCACCCCATCTCTCCCCTATTCCTCCACCGTGAACTATTCTGTCCTCTTTCTCTACCCAGGAACACAGAGGTGAAGCTGGCTTTATTTGCTCTGCAGCTCGCCTCTATTCTACCCGGGTTATCAGCTATTATTATATACAACACCAGGTCACATGGGAGCACAGTGTGTGTAAATGTGTGTGTGTGACTCTGTTCAGGGAGCATCCTCCGCATTACCAGAATTCCTTCTTGAAACACGTTTCTTTTTCCCGCTCGTCATCACTAATTATTTCCCCAAAAAGTCTCTTCCCTTCCAGCTTTTCTTTTCTCTGGTTGGTCTCTCTCTCTCTCTCTCTCTCTCTCTGAGCGGTGATATCGTCAATCTGCCCTCGCCACCGACTCCCTCGCTTCCCACAATACATAAACATTAGGCAGAAACAATTACCCTGCCGGGCATATTGTACCAAGGAATTTTGATGAGAAAAAATGATTGCTTTTTTTGCGTCGAACGGAAAGAACAAATGGAAACACATACAAAGCCCACTCCTGAATGAGCATAGTGAAATATCTCAAATCCTTTTTTTTTACCACGAGAGTTCATCAGAAAAGCAAGGAAAAAACGACATCCGTCATTCCATTGTCTCTTTTCTAGAATCGCCATCCCATCGTTTTCATTATTTCTATGTGACTTTGGTCATATAAAGTCACGACAAGTATGAACTAAATCATAATAGTATAAAGATGAGTGAAATGATGAGTAAAGGCTTGAATTCCTTTGCATCATAATCAACGTCTGCTGAAGAGGTCTATGGGAAATACTTTGAGTATGTGGGTGGGGTTGTTTGCTGTCATGCACATAGACTCATCCAAGTGCAAAAGACTTAAAGGGCCACTCCAGTGATTTAGTAATGCACCTTCATGCAGTTGGAAGACTGAGTATTGAGGATTGAGAGACAAAATAAAAAAAATATGTTGTGTTCAGGTCTGTAAAGTATTACATACTTTAATTGATCTGACACGTTAAACAGTTAACAGTTCCCAGCTGTTGGGGAGTAGCGGTGCAGGTTTTTACAAAAATAAAGTTATGTTAAGCTTTTTGTAGCTCCAGAGTTGGCTGTTATAAATCTAATAAAGTTCCTCTACTGAGGGGATAATAACTTGCTTTGCTGCTTGGAATAACTGGAGTGCAATGCTAAATCACAGGAGAACTCTGTGTTGCGAGTGGAGTTGCAATGCCCTGTGCATCCAAATACCTGACTCCATATCAAGTGTACACAGTATACTATACACCACCTCGCTATACTGTTTTTGCAGTTAGTTTCAAACCAACAGGAAGTATTACATCTACCTGCTTGATATTACAATGTAGTTTTATGCCATTGTGTTGCATTAGTCAGTTAGTAATGTAGCAAAAATATAGGCTCTTGGTGCCAGAGTGGCAGGTACTGTTACTTTAAAGGTCCAGTGTGTAGGATTAGGAGGGGCGGCGGGCTCTGCTTATAGAAATGAAATTTAATATTCATAACCATGTTTTCTGAAACTGATTGTTGCGTTTTCATTAGCTTAGAATGAGCCCAGCCTGCCATGTTTGTAGTGTAGCCAAATGCCAGTAAAAGCTACACACTGGTCCTTTGAGCCGTGTGGTGTCTTAAAGGAGCGGGTTCGGGTCTCACAGGCCTTGATGGTGCACTTCGCACCTCCAGCTCAGTAGCACCGCCCATGACAAGTAAACGCTTTAGAAAAGAGCTGTACATTCCGCACACGGAGGGTTTCTGGCATGTGGACTGCGATGGGTGAAGCGGTGAATCTGCAGATCATAAACACATTTGTTTCATTCATCATAAGGTGATATGACAGTATAGATATGGTAATTAAATAAATATATATATATATATATATACATATATTTTGTATTTCTAGGCGAAAGAGGCGTTTGTGCAATGCATGGTCAGCCACAGTAGAAAAAACAACAACTGTGGTGCAATTCAAAGCTCCGGCGTCGGGGTCCATCAGTACCCCATCTCACTGATGACATCCTCATCATCTCCCATAACCTACACAAAACACGCGCGCACACATACACACACACACACACACACACCACAATGGGATTCTTTTCCGCGTTCCTCAATCGTGGATTTCATAACACTAAAGTGTGCGCACACAGGATACACACACTTCCACACGTTTATAAATGTCAATGTGATGATGAATGTCTGTGTGTGTGTGTGAGTGTGCGCGTGTCGTTATGCAGTGCGTCAAGGGACCGTGTGGCCCCTCGTTTAAGGGTCGAAAGACTCTGATCAGGCCCAGACTCCATTAACAGAGCCAGAGAGGAACGGGGGGGTTTTCTTGTGCTGCCGAGTGGAAAATTGAGTCCGTGTCACAAACTAATCAAATCGTGCCAAAGGTGAATGAAAGAAGAAAGGAATGAACACACACAGACAGACACGCACGCACACGCACACAAAAAGGGGATGACAAGTATCCAGGCCATCTCACAATGTCGCTGACACACACAGAAGATGTGGACTGAGCAGATGGCTGCAGGACAAAAGTCTCGGCGGGTGTCGGTAACAGCCGAGCATTAGCGTTGCTCTGTGGCAGGCTAACGTTAGCATGGAGCCCTGCGGGGAAATGAAAACCCATATGTGAAGTATGTGCTGCAGATGCACCAATTGGACTGTTGCACCCGTTGTGGTAGAACCAGGAAGACTGTGATATTTGGTCGACTGGAAGGGTGTAGCAGCTGGTGACCTTTGGAGGGGTGTGTGTGTGTGTGTGTGTGTGTAAGAGGGATTTCCTTCCCGCCAGTTTAACGTGCTGCGGTGACATGCTATAACGCTGCTGGACGACTGTTCACCTCCTCGTGGAGTTATTGCTTTTACATTCCAGGCTTTGATAATCACAATCTAATACAGGAAGAAGGTGGAGGGACTGGATGGGGGTCTGTGATGGCAAAAGTTTTTTTTTTCATTGATCAGTTCCACTTTCTCCTTTTTCTCCAACTTTACACCAGTGCATTGTAGTATGCAGAGTACACAGGGGTCAGTGTTGCAGGTTCGGGGGGTGGCAGGGTAGCGTTAACAACCCCGTTCAGCTGTTTGCTGGTGCCTATTGTCCTCCACCCCTCCTCTCCCGCCCATGTCTCTGAGTGCTAGGAGGTGGAGCTTTTGGTTTTGGATTTAGGGTCCTTCTTGCCGTTTTGGAGCATGGGTGAGTCACTGGAGGTCTTGGGCGTTTTCCTGGGCGGACTCTGCTCAGCTACGTCGTGTAGAGAGGGCTCCCGGTACATGGCCACTGAGGAGGGAGAAGGCTGCAATAGTTAGGACTGGGTAAACATGTTAAGTCCATATGCTATACAATATATTGTTGTGGTTTTTGTAGAAGAATTAGACTGACATTTTATATGTTGCTTTCAACACCTTGTTGTCAAGTTTCCAGCAATGAGAAATGAGTTTCTGTGAGCTTATAAACAGAGGTCACCAAAGTCATACATGCAGTGGATTTAACGAAATGGACAGTAAACAAACAGTAACTGGGCATTGGATTAATCCAAAGCTTTTATTTTGAAGTGGCAATGAATATGCTTTTTATAGCAACGGATCAAACAACTAGCGACAGCTTAGTCTACTAACTGATCTTTTATACACGGAAAACGGCACTGCTTTGTCAACAACAAAAATGGGTGTCTGTTTGTTTCTATTTACACAACACAATGATTACTGAATGCTTGACTGAACTGATGCCGAGCACCCTTCAGGAAGACACTCACTGCCTCTGGAACAGCATGCAGAGTGGGCTACGTATTAAGCGCTGGTACCTTCAATGAGTTTGGGAAGGAAGTGCGCAGCCCCCTTTGTCTTCTTCACACGGTTCCCTTTCATGACCTGCCCGTCCCGGTTGATGCCGATGTACCACGCCCGACCCGACTGGGTCTGTCTGTACAGGATGGACGAGTAGGTGACGTAGTAGTTCTCAAACACGCACTCCTTAAACTTACACTCCGGCGTGAAGTGTTCCTGAAAGACACACACGCAAAGGAGACAGAGGCACACATCAGGGACGGGGGGGGAAGAATAACACATTTGGTGTCTACGCCATTCTTTATCTGTTCTTCTATTATGTATAAATGTACCCTCCGATTCCACTGGACTCAGCTGGGAACGGGAGGAAATGAGCCCCACATTTCATCGTGACAGGAGTTACTGTACAGGGGCATTTGTGGCGGAATTGGCGCGCTGCACAAAACGCACGCACGGCCAACACGTGCGATGCGTTTTGGCCACGCGGCCAAAGCGGTCTGTGAGCTGGGATGCCATAACTCAACGCATTCGGTTTACCTGCAACAAACTGCAATCACCCGGATCCTTCACCCTCTGTGTGCTTAAACTGCCGGCCTTCAGCCCTCCAAAGCTCGTACACGCACACACACACGCGCACGCACACACACACACACACACACACAAATACAGCTCTGTATGAGACAATACGTCAACAGCGGGACATACCCCACCCTCCACCCTCTGTCTCTCTCTCGTTACAGCGCTCACATATTCCCCCTTTCATCTCATATTCGGCCTCTCCTTCTCCACTTGGTCCCCCCCCATCCCGTTGTCATTTGTAACCTTGTTGAGGAACAAACCAATTTGCAGGATTGATTTGGAGCCTTGATGTGACGTGTGGGCAGAAAAGGCCTGAATAAGGAGTTTGCTCGCTCTCTCCATCTCTCTCTCTTTCTTTTTCTCACCCCCTCCTCCCCCCTTTCTCCCCCTTTCTCTCCGTCTTCTACCTCTTCTCTCTCCTGTCCCTTGGCTCGGGTGCGCCGGTCCCCAACGTCTGCCTCCGTCCATTGTGCTGCACATAAACAAGCTAATCACATTGACTGTATCGCCCATTTCCTAATTACACATTCATTCACTTAGGAAGCCATTCATTTCCTCAGCCACCCATTAACTGGGCTCTTATAGCGCCGAGCGGGACGCAAAGGTCTGCAGTCTCCTGGAAGGTGTAATCAGATGGCAATCATTAACCGTGTCTGCACTGCAGCGTGTTGCATCTTCTCCGTGGTGCATGTGTGTGTGTGAGCCTCGGTATGTTTCAAAGGATTCAAATCTGCTTTGTCAAACCGGATAGCTAGCGCACATAATCTCTCACACACACACACGTATGTACATGCATCCACATGCATTGCAGATTTCTATCACCAGGCAAAGTGGGACTCTGATGAAACATGGAACCTAGAGGACATTTGTACGGTTTCCCACTCCTGGACCAGTGCATGTATGGCAAGGGTTAGGTTTTTGTGTCCTTTCTCAGAATAAAAAAGGTCACATTGGCCAGATCATTGGTGGAAAGTAACGTTCAGTTTTCACGCTTGTTTTTTGTTTGTTCTTTTTTACAAATGTTTCTGAGACGTGTCTACACATGAACCTTCATAATGTATCCGTTAGGAACAGAAGGTATTTTGTTGTCCCTCTGTTGCCGAGCTGTGACCTCTATGGAGGATATCAAAATAAAAGATGACTATAAGCTAAACTAAAATATTAATATGGAGACATTCATATTATTCTAAATGTATTTAATAATATATTTGCTTGATAGTAACATTCAGCCATTAAATATAAAAATCTATTACAATTCAAAACATTCCGTCTTCATTTTGTCCGTGGCCAGAAGCCAGCCAGATGTACTTAGTCACAAACACTCACTCCGGGTGCCATCAGTGGTGCTGCTTTATAGGATAACAGACTATTAAGCAGTCATTTATAGAGAGGCATCATTCACACAGCAGACACACTGGGGACAGATGCACATCTGTCTGCAGAGCGCTTTTTCTCCGACTAGACTCGGAGCAGGTTTCACACCTAATTATTTCCTTTCTGCCGTAATCTCAGTAAAAGGCGGACTTCCTTTCAGCTCTTTTTCTCCCGAGGTCCAAATAAAAACGCTGAGAGTTCACCGCCATCCACGTCCAATAGCTCAGAGCGGACTCGACTCCCGCAGTCCCTCCTGTGTTCAGCAGGGGGCGCTCCCAACACACAGGCAGTCTGGGGCTGCTGTCTCTGGTGTTGCTGCTATTGATGCTCCAAAATTAACTTGTGTGTCTACTTGCCACTCCGCAATGCCCGTCTCTCCCAAAAGGGCCACAAATCCAGCCGAGGATTTGTGGCTGCTCTGCTATTTATGCGCCAAACTCCATTTGGTTTCTTTTCACATTTTAATCTGTCCTTTCTAAAACGTGGAATCATGTTGCATTACACGATTTAGGATGCAGGGACGTATATAAAATATAAAGCAGTATGCATATCATTGCCTTGTCCAACTTCCTGGTTTAAGCGGTTGTTTTTTAACTGACTTCAGAAAGACCAACAAGTTAAAGAAGAATATGGACAAAATCCTACACTCACCAATCAGATCAAGAGTTTGGAGCTAGATGTACTAAAATCCACACGCACACAGGTCATTTCAGAGGAGACAAGAGGATTGTGTGTGTGTGTGTGTGTGTGTGTGCGTATATCCACTCATGCGTGTCTGCTGTTGTGACAGAGGGACATGACGGATTCCTCTTACATCAGTGGGAGGCCACCCGGCGCCAGATGACATGCATACACACACACACACACACACATGCTTGCAACATCGATGGTGACAAATGGACTGGTTGCCTTCCTCATCCGTCACCCCCACGGGCAGGAGGGAGAAAGAGAGGGATGGAGGGAAAGAGAAGGGACAAGATGAAACAAGAGGAGGTGGATGAGATGAGGGCTGAGGGAGGAGACAGGATTATTCTCCGGTAATGACACGCACGGCACCGTCTCATTTCCATCCGTTGGCACTTAAAGACATCGTTCAGCCTTGGTTCTCCGGCTGCCGTTAACCATTGAGTCTCCAGTGCACTCAGCCGGGGAATTGATCCAATGTAAGACCTCTGTGAAAAGTCGATAGGCATTAGTCCAGAAAAAAAAAAACCTGGATTACGCTTTGATTGGACACACGGCGCGGAGACACAACCGACCATGAAGAACTTAAAAGGAGTTACGAGCTGTGAACGTGCGGCTGCAGGTTAATTCAGAGGATTTACGCTTCATTCCAGAGGGCAAAGGGGCGTCAACAGTCTGCACGAATCAGAGGGCCCGTGTGCATGGTCACATGAGGGATGCATGGGGGGACAATATGAGTAAAGTCTTGTTGTGTCGGCAGGTAAACCCGATCCATACTGGCTTCGCTGCAGTTGTCGGGGGAGCAAATGCAAACTGTGAGCACGGAGTCTGAGTCAAGTCAAGTCCCAATTTAGGACGCGGACGTGTGCAGTAGAGACAGCCCGATCTCAGCCTCAGGGGCGTCTCTCCGAGACTTCAGCTAACTAACTTCAACTATGTCATATGACGTAACATCACTGCACCACATGACAGAAAGACAATGGCACTTTGACGTGAAACTGCTGAAGTAATACTACTCAAAGATATCAAGTCAAAATACATAAGGTGCAAACAAAGAGATTAGATCTAAAGTTCTAAACCAGATTAGTTAAATCTTATTATAAGCCAAATATATGTTGAACTAAGTGTGTATCAACTTATCAATTTTAAATTTTTTTACAGGCAATTCTATATAATTTTTGGATGGACGGATGAGGTCCATGTCGTTCTGAAGTTTTCGACACCAATTCAAGTCGGCTCGACCGATCTGTCAGATCACATCATCACCATCTGTCTCCGTCCTGTCCCTCCTGTCTCTTCATTTTCCAATCCAATAAAAAAAAAAAAAAGAAACTGCCATCAATGTATCCTGCGGGGAACATTTCTTTGAAAAAGATGGCTGGGTTTTACAAATACGCACTTGAGTGTTTTTGTTTTTCATGGCAGGATCCGTTTGAGACACAATTCAGAGAAACACGGCCCCAAGAAGTGTATGATGCAATTATATGTAAAGCACTTTCTACCATAACTATACATTGGGAAGATCAGCGATGAGGGAAAAGTAGTGCAACAGGACACTGTGCTAACAGCTGCAAGTGATTCGTTTTGTAAAATGACTGGAAGGTATAATTATGAGATGAATATGAAGCGCTGCACGACTCTGGCTGAGATTTACCTACAGACGCGACCCTTGTCAGGATAATATGAATCAGCACTAAAAGCACACGGAGCAAGGTTACCCTTAAAAAAGCGTGTTTACCAGCCACAGTGATTATCATCTGAGCAAGTGAGCAGAAAAACAACTTTAATTGAAGACAAACAGCTGAGACAGTGACAAAAATAATTGTCTGAAGAGTAATTATTATGTATTAATTTATGCGCAACATGTGGCCCCGCTGGCATTCTGTCGTGTAATCATCAGCAGTGCTCTTTCAGATGCTTTGTAGGAGCCCTCACTCAGCACTTGGGGAGGAAAAATCAGCAGCTGTCTACGTCAAAACCATTTGCGAGGCAGCATTGTGTTCTCTGGTGGCTGCAGCCAAAAAGCCCCATCGACCGAATTGTTTGAATGAGTCTGTGGCTCCGAAAAACATTCGTCTTCCTCCATTTCTACAACCATGAGGGGAAAAAAGACAAAGCCGTCATTCAAAGACATTGTGTCAACTCCAACAATAATTTTGTCTGCGCAATGGTTTATTTACAACTTGTAAGCAGACAAACAATGCTTCGCTCTGAAAAAGGAAGTTCTCTGTGATTGTACCTTCAGGACCATTTCAGCATATTTGTAGAGATAAGCACATATGATGCTATTTGGAAAGGACTTCCTCTTCTCATTCTCGATGAGACCACATTGGCATATTTACCATGCATTCATGAGAGCTTTGGCTCATTTTGTTAGTCCAGGTTTGACAATTAACTCAACTTTTAACCCAAGACGTTCGGCTCGCCACCAAGAAGGAAATAGCTACAAAACCACTTTGAACCTGCGGGTGTTTTTCACGTGGAATACAGAGAAGAACGGCACGGCGAGGACGAACCGTGACAGCTGGCACAGAGAGCGCCACCGAGGGATGTTTTAATGTAGACGCACACTGTGTCAA